GAACATTCTAGACTAGTGCATACAATGCGACGCCTGCAGAAGGTCCACGTCGCTCAGTGCGTGGGATCATACTTTTTTTTTTTTTAAGGGGGGAAAATCATCGAATGACTGCTCCCGCCTGGATGAGGCGGAAGGGAGTGTCAGACTCTTACTGACTAAAAACCACCCCGTTCCTTCTCCTGCACGTCGAGCCGGAGCCCCGGTTACCCGTTAGGTTCTCCGCGAGTGGGATCATACTACTAATATTATAAATGCGAGAGTTCGTGTTCGTAAGTATGTTTGTAATTTACTATCGCTTATACCACGGGGAGTGCTATGAGGAATTGTTTGACCTGATACCTGCCGCATCTTTTCGCCATCGACCCTGACGACAGCATATGTATCCCCATCATATAGATGGTCGGCAGGCCACAACTGTGCGCTTCTCACGATGCTTTCTGCCTCGCACATCAAAACTGTGGAATGATCTGTAGTCGGCGGTATTTCCGAACCGTACCTTCAAACCTTCAAGAAAAGAGTGTACTCCTTTACTTTTTTGAAAGGCCGGCAACGCATCTGGTGTTGCGGGTGTCCATTAGCAGCGCTGATCGCTTACCATCAAGTGATTCGTCTGCTCGTTTGCCTCCTATTCCATAAAAAAAGTATCCAGGTAAACCTTCTGATTGATATTTTGGTCAGTGACAACTACCAAATGCATTGTACAGTTCATATCCAAGTATTGATCGTGACCTGCGCAGTGCAGGTAGTCTGGACTAGGCTAGACTTTAGCATTACTACGTCGAACGCCGTCTGCACCGGCCACGGAGTGGTGAGACGACCCTTCAGTTGTGATCCATCTTCCGTGATCAAGAGTCTAAGGTAAGAAATAGTACTTTTTATATTTGATGGGCCGACGTTTGACCACTATCTCGCCTGGTGGTAATAAATATCAGCTTGGAGTTGTCATGTTCACTCAAAGGTTCGTTGGCGGTGGCGCGTGCAGTGGATCGCTCGATTCCCTACAATATGGTTGAGTTGGGCGGTGGGGTACGTGTCATGTTCGTGAACGGGCGCCGTCAACTGGGACTGGTCAGCTCCAGACTGTATTATTTATTGTCCTTAAGGTTATTTTCTTTTTCGATCACTTTGACTGGATTTTGGTGTAACATTGTTCTCGCACAATCCAAACAACAAATCTATGTAACTAGAGAATTGTATTGTGAACCTGATTGAAAAAGGGTATACTATGGAGTTTCATGCTTGTTCTTCTCCATAGGAATCTTAATCTTGGAATGAGCAAATAACTTCACTTTTAATTACCTTTTTGTTGACGTTCAAAGTGCATTTCTGGTCTAATTGAAATTGATGATTTTGACTTTGACTTAAGCGATGATACGGTCTACGATGGAGCACGTCGTCCCATAAGCAACCTATTCACTCGGGCCTTGAAGACACCCAGGTTACCCTTTAGGATATACAGACTCTGGCAAAGATGTTTCTATGCGATTATGTGCTAACTCTATGAGAAAGATCAGCTAGCAGTGGTTTGATTGAGAATATTGTCCGATCAGTGTGCTTACTCTTGAAACCAATCTCAATATCAATGCAATTTCAATCTAATAACATCTCAAACATTATTCAATTTCAACACTATACAACCACAATTGTAGCTGTTAAAATAGCATTCAGAGTACGGAATATAAAGCTAAACTCAAGACCATTTAGTTCATTCAATATCCACGCAATACGGATGCAATGGGCGCTAGTGTTGCAACTCAAGATTACGAAATTTCACAATACCAATGTCGATCGATCGGAATTGGATTCAAGAGTAAGCCCCAGGTATACCCTTAATTGAGAGGACTGCCTTAATCCTCATCAAGCCTTTAAATGACCACTACTGAGCAAATGCCTCTTCTGACACTAAGGTTTGAGCATTAATCACTATGCTTGCTCAATACGGGTTGGCGATTTGAAACTTATATTTAAAGTCAAGTCAAAATCATTTATTTCAATTAGACCAGGAAGGCACTTTTGAACGTCGAAACAAAATATTGAAATATTTAAATAAATGTCCGTCTATCAGTCTGTATATCTTATATGTATATAAAAAAATGTCAGTCTATCTATTAGAAATTATAAGCCCAGGTTTCCTCGCGATGTTTTCCTTCACCGTTTGTCAGTGGTGTCTGAATAATCTTAGAAAGTACATATAACTCGGAAAAAGTCACATTGGTACTTGCTGTTAGTAGGTTTCGAACCCGCACCCTCCTGCACGAGAAGCGGGCGTCTTAAGTATAAGAATTAATGTTACTATTATTATCTTTTCAGAACCATTATGCTACAAGGTCATTGTGCAACCAGCCACTCTCTGCCCATTGCTTCCCAGACACATCGCGGGGTTCGAAACGACCTGGATGAAGCGACGCCCTGCGACCTTAATCAGGTCTTCTGATCACCGTGTGAATGGACATCCTACACTCCACTTATCAATACGTACATAAGTGGTCTCCGAAGCGTATTAAAAAAAATCTTTATTCATTTTAAGAAATCGGTCATAGTAAAGATAAACATTTTAATTTTAAATCAGAGATCTCACTAGGTTTGATTGCCTGTACTAGGAAGAATATCCTGTATCACAGACGAGAGGAGCACTCACAGTATTACTAAATCTAGGACAAGTTATTTATATAAACAAATTCCTTAACATAAGTAATCGATCAAAATTAAAGTTGATTATTTAATATAATATACACACGTATGTACATAACTACATAACATGATATATAACTAAATATTAATATTATCGTATAAGTACATTTATTAAACAAGTAACTATATTAGAGGATAGAGGGCGCCCTAGACGGACATATAGTGACCAGATTGGCGATATATTAAAGAAGGGCCAAATTAAAAGTACCCTTAACCGACGAGCATGCATGAAAAGATTGATGACTGTTAATGAAGCGAAAGAGGTATGTAAGAATCGTAGTAATTGGCGTTCCTTAGTCTCTGCCTACCCCCATGGGAGACAGGCGTGAAGTTATGTATGTATGTATGTAAATATATTAGCTTAAATACAAATATTATATCACTAAACTTAGACAGCACCATAGGCAAGCACTTTATACGCGCCACTAATTAGTGTAACCTGGCGTCCTAATCACTTGCCGGATAATACGGTTCTATGAGCTCTTCACTCGAGACAATGGGGATGATGACAGGGTATGAAAATTAAAAATATAATTAGTCCGTAAGTTAGGTAATGAAAAAATATTAGACACGTATTTTTTTATTTTGTCGTATAATAAAACAATACTTAGATAAAACGAATCAAAGTTTAGGAGTGGGGGCTAAAACGTCATTCCTTAGTATAAAATGTACTGAGAAGTGACGTCACGCGACATTTCAAATCAATATATCTTCGAAACTATTCGTTTCTGTGAGAAAATAAAAAATACGTGTCTAATGTTTTTAAATAATCTATCAGACGGACATTAAAATAAAAATTAGTCGTCTACCCTATTATGATGATGGGGTGTAAGTGGCTGCTCCGACATCAGAAGAGCCAAAGTCAACCTCACCTGCCCGTGGTACACCCTGCTGATTACCAAAGGAGAATCAACTAACGAGGCTCTGGCGCTCCAGACCTTCATCAATGTAAGTCCAGGGCAATAAAACACGACGGTTGGAGACGGCGAGCGCTTACCATCAGGCGATCCGTCTCCCCGTTTGGCCCGAACAGCTTACCATCAGCTTGATAGGAATATATTGAGGAAGGTCGACCATTGAAGAGCTTCTCTAGACCAAAAAATTCCCGTCTAAAGGACTTCTTCATATTTATAGGGGTTGACATCTTATTCATTTACGTCTGAATAATATGTCTACCCCCGGTTGTAAATAAATATGTTGTGGTGCATCTAACATGTTGGTGTTTATATCTTACGTAAAAAACATAATATTATATATAAACTACCTGTACAAAATTAAAAATAATTAAATAATTTTGTCGTTTTATTTTAAACTGTCAATACTTAATGTTTTTTGTAGATGCTTCCAAATGTAGGTTTTTTTTTTAAGGGGGAAAATCATCGAATGGCTTCTCCCGCCTGGGTGAGGCGAGAGAGAATATCAGACTCTTACTGACTAAACACCACCCCGTTCCTACTCCTGCACTTCGAGCCGGAGCCCCGGTTACCCGTTAAGTTCTCCGCGGCTCCATATCGGCATCAGCCCTATTGGGCTCTATCCGTGGTGGTCTGATGGCTAGTCACATATAGGACGCTCGACGCCGTACGCACGGGTCTGGTTCTGGTCGGGCGGCGAGCTACCCTTCTTCGCCGTCCGCAGGCCCGTGCTGAAGGTGGCCGGTGCCTAACGTGTCGCGGGTTCGATTCCCAAACGAAACAACTATTTGTGTTATCCACAGATTGTTGTCTGTGTCTGTGTGTGATGTGTATGTGAACTTGTATGATGGTTGTTAACGCAGAATATACCTGTTTATTCATAATGTTTTCTGCAATTTACCATATAGAAGGTGTAGTTTTGAAACCGTGTCATTTCTCGGGGGCATGTCACAGAAGTCATAAAGGTTCAATGTAAGAGAAAATTTCGGGCCAATAGTTAAAAATACGGCTATAATAAATCGTTTAAGTTCGACAGTATTTCAGAAAAAGTGACAGCAATGCTTTTTATTGGAGTTTTATGGAATTAGGAATAATATTAATTACGTGTTTGAGTTTGTGTGTGTTATAAAACTAGTTAAAAGACGGCGGCGTATAGTTCACACTTACAAATATCCGTAATTTACAGAAAAATGAAAAATATTTACTTACCTCTACAATTTTTTTTATTGATTTGGACTCAGAATCGATAGCCGAGTTACCTCCTAGAATATGCCGCGGCTTTAAAATAACACCTTGTTTATTGTACTAATACAATATTATGTTGACCAATGACGGGGTAGGGTAAAAGAAAAACAGCACTTGCAATATTTAAAGCAGTATTTAATAATATAATGTTTATTCCGAGTCGCTGGAGTCGGAGGCGGCCTCAGCGACCTCTGCGGTGAACTTGTACTCCTGGTCGGCGCCGAGGTAGGCGTCCGACATGAAGTATAGAGTGTACGTGTGACGCCCTGGGGCCCCGCAGACGAAGTCCAGGCGGACCTGGGGAATTGGGCCGTATTGTTAGTGCCGTAGGGGCCATTGTCGCTACTACACGCTGACTGGACATGCTAAAGTAATAAACACAGGTCGAATACAACCTTCGAACATAATTTGTTCCGGTGAATGAAGATCGATTCTATTTATTGTAATTTGACCAAAAAGGGCATTTTGTTAAGTAGTATAACATCATTGATCACGCCTTCTGTACTCTACAGAGGTAAGCAAAGATATACAGGGTGGAATTTTGTAATGCCACCTAAAGGGTACATATATAAAATACTCTTAATACTCTAGGTAGATAATTTTACTCAAATAAGACTTTCCTTTATTTTTGAAAAGAAACAAAACTGCATTCAAATATTTTTAAAATTCGCTTGCCGCACACGGTAATAGAACCTACTGAATTCTGTAAAAGTTGCACCTTGTACATTTATTGCATCGATTGTTAGGGGCAATAAGGATGAAATCTCTCTAACAAACTTCATAAATCGATCGATGCAATAAAAGTACAAGGTGGAAACTTATAGATTTTAGTCAGTTCGATTATCGTGTAAGACAAGGTAATTTTTAAAAATCTTTAAATACAGCGCTGTTTCTTTTTAAAAGCCAAAGAAATGTTTCTATATAAAGCATCAAGAGTACTTCCCCTTCAGGTGGCATTACAAAATTCCATTCTGTATATTATTATAGTGACGCCCGAACACTGAAAGGTCAATTATAAGTCGTACTCAAACATCGCGCCGTCTCAGTCATTGTACGAACAATTCGTAGACGGAACTATACGTCAGCGCGACGTACGATCGAGTGTCGTTTGAATATTGCGACATTACTCCGAACACGTTCAAGACATCAATAATAACGAAACACAAAGTGAGTGTAGTAGTTACTGCCGTACGGGGTAGGCAGAGCCCGTGGGCCGCCAGTACATAAACAAACACGTATCTACCTTGGCGCTGCGAGCCAGCGACACTCTCTTGATGGAGAGCAGAGTGTTCGTCTTCGGGTCACCGATCACCACCCACCAGCCTTCCTCGCGTTTCTGGAAGTAATTCCGAACATTCAATAATTATAAGGGAACTACTCGAACTCCTCGTCAGACATAATAATAAACTGTCGATGTCACCATTCCCCACGACGAGGACCTCGTGGCAGCTGAGGAAGATAAACAAATAGAATATCTAGACTTGGCTCACGAGCTTGTCGACATGTGGACGGTGGACTCGGCTATCATTGCGCCGATAGTCGGCCATTCTTTGTTTGGGACAAGCCCGCCACAGCCTCCCAATACCGCTGCAACTCCTGTAAGCCAGGATCTACAGGAGATACAACCATGAAGACACCGGGACACTGAAGTCCGGCGCGTCCCAGGGACATGAGTAACTGTCTTGGTTCCCGCGACGAAGTGAATCAGAAGATATTATGGAAGGGGTCTTTCCTAACTGCCTCGACGACCTTAGGAGGCTGGCGTTAGGGGGACGTGGTAGTGGGTTCGAGCCCGACCTGCGGGAAGAAGGGCGCAATGACAGGTCCGACGATGTCGTCCTCTCTCTCCAGGGACACCTCCACTACTATCGGCTTGCCGGCGCGGAGGTGGCGCTCGTTCAGGACCTGCAATGTTCCGACATGTTATATTTTATACCAATGTTGGCGGGCAGACAATTGTCTCGTGAATTGTGCGCCTCTAACGATACCAATATTATATATTCTAATGTCATGAATCGAGTGGGATTTTCTTTTAAAAAGATAATAGACCACCCCTACTCTTCTCGTGGGTATATAATACCCACAGATACAAATTCAAGTAATACTAACTTACTTGAGAATTGAACTCATGACAATATCACTCATTCCCGCGGGTGTGTAATACCCATTATAATACAAATTATTCAAAAAATACTTTACTCAGGAATCGAACCCAAGACAATAACAACCGTATGCTCCCGAGACAGAGTAGAACACATCTACTATCAATTCCCCACCTCCGCTCATCCCGCGGGTGTGTCATACCCGACCCTGGAGATTGCTCACCTCGTAAGTCAGCTCGACGTTGGGGTATCGGTTACAGAAGCGCGCCACGTCTGCCATCTCTGTCGGTGACAGCTGCAGTAGTTTGGCGCGAGCGTTGTCCTCCAGTTCCATCACGTCGAACACTGTGTCCACTCCCTGTACAGTAAACAAACTATTGCAGAAGGAATCGACTTCTGGGAAGTCTCTTGGAGCGACGACCGAGGACCTGGCGCCTGTACACCTGGCGTCGTCTCGGTCTGTACCGGCCAGACATACTCCGACCTCTATATCTACGTCCTCGACGTGGCATTATATATTTACTAGCTTTTACCCGCGGCTTCGCTCGCGTCAGAAAACGATAAAAAGTAGCCTATATGACATATACCAATACACACAGCGCCATCTATACCAATACTTTTGTTTTTCCTCGGGAATATCAATTTTTTCCGGATTAAAAAGTACCCTATTATTTAATCCAGACTTCTAACTTTACATCTGCAAAATTCAAAGCAATTGGTTTAGTAGTTACGGCGTGAAAGTGGAACAAGCAAACAAACTCACTTTCCGATTTATAATATTAGTAAGGATACACAATGTAACACCCACTTCCCCCCGTACTAATAGGGGGAGAATTACTACTATCGTCACAGCCATACTTTCAAGACCCGGACATCGAATCCGAGATGTTTCACTCGACAGTCGTGTCGGTGACCACTCGACCGACGAAGTAATCAGTCACAATAAATGTAGTATTAATTCTGGAGTAACGAGGAGTTGACTGTCTGCACAGAATGTCGCTAGCTTCGGACCGATTTCATTTTGCATCTGTACACACGGATTTGTTTAAAAAATTACTTTAAACCACAGAGCATTAATCACCACGCTTGCTGAATGCGGGTTGATTTCAAAATCATTAGAAATTATAAGCCAGGTTTCCTCGCGATGTTTTCCTTCACCGTTTGTCAGTGGTGTCTAGATAATCTTAGAAAGTACATATAACTCGGAAGTCGTCCCATTGGTACCTGCCGTCGGTAGTTCCGAACTCGCCCTCGTGCATGAGGACCGTCTCGACCTCCGGCCACCGCGACACGGCCGAGATATTGATACGATTGCCAATACATCAATTACAAAGCGTCGCCTAGTTCCCCATACCTTCTCGGAGCACCTCTGCACCAGTTCCGCGGTGAAATGCGGCAGCTGCCTGAGGTAGGAGTCCTTGGCCCACATGGCCTGCGTCACCATCTGCGCCAGCTCCATGGCCGCCACCGCCGGGGACAGCCAGCCACTGCTGGACACCACGTCCACGCACGCCTGGATCAGGCGGATGGCCTGCGGGAGGGACTTCTGCGGTTACATCGCGGGCCTTGCTGACATTGTCAATGCGGCTCAAGGGATCGGAATAACATTTGGAACAAATGTACCGCACATTACGGCCTGCAGTAGGTAACACAGAGGCTAGAATAGACAATACATGTTCTCTTCGCTTATATCAAACTAGCTACTTCCGCGCGGTTTCACACGCTCTGCTCAGCTCCTATTGGTCATAGCGTGATGTTTTATAGCCTATAACCATCCTGGATAAATGCGCTATCCAACACAAAAAGAATTATTCAAATCAGACTTGTAGTTGCGGAGATTAGCGCGTTCAAACAAACAAACAAAAAAAACAAACTCTTCCGCTTTATATAATAGTATAAGATGATTTAAGATTCATGGATGCTCGATAAATTTCAGTGTCTCCGGTGAGATTCGAGAGTAGTCGAGCTCCTTCAATGAGTTTAAGTTGTCCTCAAATATCGCACTAACTCTGTCATTTATAAAGTTCACAAAATCTAAACTAATATATCAAACAAGTTTGTTTGAACGCGCTGATCTTCGAAACTAGTCGTTCGATTAGAAAAATTCTTTTTGTATTGTATAGTCCAATTACCGAGGAAGGCTATAGTCTATGAAACATCACGCTGCGACCAATAGACGTCCAGCAGCGAGTGGAACGGCGCAGGAGTAGGTAGTAAAGAATAATGTATGAGAACCGTGCAAGTTGATTCTGTAGTGGTCTTTAGAGGTCATTATCTTGATGATTCTCTTTCCTGCAGCTGGGAGTGGCCTGTCGATGGAAGGATCGGCCCTTAGTACGAACTAATCGACCGACTGACTATAGTTGCTTATATAAATATTCCTCATTTCTTTTAGTTTTACTTCATGTCGTTCACTCTCCTGTGTTTACTTGACGCATGCTGAAACACTCTGTAATTGGCTCGAGGACTATATGTCTCGTTATTATTATATATGTACCCTGTTGAGGTTTCTGTACAAAAATAAATAAATGATGACGATGAAGAAGACTGACCTTGGCCAGCACGAGGCCAGTATCCGCCTGCAGCTCTGCAGGTAGCTGCATGCGAGAGAGATGTGCTTGTAACAGTACGTGGGCCTTCACGTGTGGGTCGTTGTATTTGACCGGAGCGCCTGACGCCGCGGTCGGCTTGTGGGGGACCCTGGGGAAGACAGGCGATATAAATCATTGTTTCATTCAAATAATCACTCAAAAAACCGACTACAACCCCCTTTTATGAAGTCGATTAATTAATATACTACTAAAACCTTCTCCTAGATGTAAGGAACACACCGCATCAACATCGGTCCAGCCAGTCGCGAGATAATCCCGCACGAACATACACACAGACAGGTCAAGCTGAGAACTGTCCTTCTTTCTGTTCGAAGTCAGTTAAAAATGAATAAATATTTAGTTTCCACGTCTACTTACTTGGCAGCTAACGCCTTGATGATATTCTCCTCTCGGTGTCTGATACACAGCTCGGAGTACTCCGCGGCCGAGGATATGATCTCCAGCAGGCCACGGATCTTCGTCTTGTTTGTGAGGGAGAGGGAGAACAATTCTGCAATTAATAAATAGAATGTCAATTATCCTTATCCTTACTTCCTTACTTTTATTATAAATCGGAAAGAGAGTTTGTTTGTTTGTTTGTTTGTTCCACTTTCACGCCGTAACTACTAAAGCGATTGCTTTGAAATTTTGCAGACGTAAAGTTACAAGTCCAGATTAAATAATAGGGTACTTTTTATCCCTGAAAAATTTGATATTCCCGAGGGAAAACAAAAGTATTGGTATAGATGGCGCTGTATGTATTGGTATATGTCACATTGGCTTTTTATCCTTTTGTGACGCGAGCGAAGCCGCGGGTAAAAGCTAGTATAATTTAAATAAGGAGGTTTCTATTCAATCGTACCAAGACAATGTTTACTTTTGTAGTAAAATGTTATTGTTGTGAAAACGAACACGTGTCTGTCGACGTATCAATCCGTCAACCCTTCAATCGGTCAGTCAATCAATTCTTTTATATATCTAGTCAGTCGGTAGAGTCAATCATGTAGTTAATCAGTCAGTCAGTCAGTCCGCCTGCCAATGTCAGTATGTCAATCAGTGGCTCAGTGAGTCAGTCATTGCATTAGGCTGTCAGCTAGACAGTAAGTCAGTAAGTAAGTCAGTCAGTCAGTCAGTCAGTATGTCACTTACCTATAGTAGTATAGTTGATATAGTAGTAAGACGCGATCATCCCCAAGTTGAGTGGCTGGACATCCATATCATCCTCGATGGCGATGCACTTGGACTGCTCCAGGTCCGTCAGGGTCGTCTCCACCAACTCTGACAGGTGGTCTGATAGGTGCCTGGCGGAAGGTGGAAACATTTTCTGAATACATTTGATAAAATCTAATATTAATGTGTGTTTGTGTAATAGTGTACAACTGTGGGCTCGCCATGCTTCGGTCTCGCAATGTCGGCTCCACCGGAGTGATACCACCAACGAGCAGAATTTGCGTCGTGTGAGTGAGGTTACCGGAGGCCCAATTACCATCCCCTCCCCCCTCTTCTCTCCAATTGCAGAATCCGCAATAATCCTCAAATTCCTAGTCCCCAAAAGGTGTCGCGGAGAACCTAACGGGTTACCGGGGCTCCGGCTCGAAGGGCAGGAGAAGGAACGGGGTGGTTTCTAGTCAGTAAGAGTCTGACACACCCCGATCCGTCTGGTCGTCTGCGCCTAAAGTGTATCGCCAGATATGTCCGCGGGACTGACCTGTGAGTGACTCCCTGCAAGTTGTAATAATTAGGGTTCTGCGTCAGACGGCGGTAGAGGAAGGTCCAGGTGAGGTAGTCGACGGCGTCCTGCTTGTTCTCTATAGTCTTTGTTACGATCTCCGCGTTCATGTGGTCGTGGAGTCTGTGGTCGAGGTGACTCTGTAATTGATCATTTCGGGGATTGAAATATTGGAAAAATAAAACAAGATACGAGCGATGGTACATAATCATAATTGATGCTGCTATAATATGAAATTATGAAATGAAATATATATGAAAAATTGGTAAACTAAATTTAAACTGTCAAGCACCAAGCGGTCACCGGTGACCGCGACCTATTGTTCTTTAATTGTGTCTATAAAACCGGTACTCGACGAGTTAATACATTTGGTTTATTTCTCATTAAGCGCTAGATTATTAATGGTGAAACAATTTTGCACGCGAAGAATGGAGCTGTTTACATCGTCAAGATTATTAGCACGTCGATCTATTTTAAAAATTAATGAAGTATCATCTGCAAAAAGCACCATTCTTGGTTCATTCTTGAATATAAATGGCAAATCATTTATATAGACTAAAAAGAGAAAGGGACCCAATATTGAACCTTGGGGAACGCCCATATTCATCCCAGAGCCCTGTGAGTTAATACCGTTAACATGAACCTTTAATTGCCTTTTTTCTAAATAAGACTTTATTAGACACAGTGCGGTGTTTCTGATCCCGTAGTGATCTAATTTCAGCAAAAGTGTCTCGTGGTCAACGCAATCGAACGCTTTTGAGAGGTCACAAAAGACACCAATAGCATCTTGTGCTTTTTCCCAAGCACCAAATATTTCTTTCATTAAAGTGACACCGGCGTCAGTTGTGCAACGACCTTTAGTAAAACCGTATTGTTGTTGGTGAAAGATAGAATGTTTATTAAAATGATGAAGCATCCGAGACAGCATTAACTTTTCAAACACTGCTGAGAACCGGCAGAACGGATACTGGCCTATAATTGTTTAGTTCTTTAATGTCACCACTTTTAAAGAGTGGGATAATAATAAACTGGTTGAAGCGCTTAGACAGAAGAATACAAATAATACGTAAAGAGATAGGTAGATTAACACAATATATCAACGGCAATAGAAGTTTAGGACTAATAGCACATATTGAAAGAATAAAACACAAATATCGGAAACATTCCAGTTATGAAGAGCCCAACACAACAAATGAACAATTCATGGACAGCTTAAAACAAAAACTCACCGCCATTACAAGTCGGCGACGTAGGTACTCAAATTGCACTAAGCGTAAAGATCAAAACACTCAATTCATAAATAGCGAAAGACAATTCTATAGAAACCTAACCATAGACACATCAAATACTCAGAACAGACCACATACATCACAAAATACTAATCCTAACTCTGAACAATTCCACACTTACTGGTCCAACATTTGGTCCAAAACCACACAACACAACCACTCAGCTACATGGATACAAATTGACAAAGAAAAATTAGAAAATGTGCCAGAAATGGCATTTGATGCAGTACCACTAGACATTTTCGTTAAAGTCATTCAGAAAGCACACAACTGGAAGGCTCCGGGCACCGACCATATCCACAACTATTACTATAAGAAATTAACTTACTTACACCCATCAATTTATAAACATATTAATAATTTTATCACAAACCCGCAAACTATACCAGAATTCGTCACTCAAGGCCTAACCTATATGATTCCCAAGGACACCGACCACATAAACCCAGCTAAATAGAGACCGATAACATGCCTGCAAACTATTTATAAACTAACTACCGGTTGCATCTCAGAAGTAATGTACAAACACATAACACACAACAATATTCTAGCGGAGGAGCAAAAAGGATGTCGTAAGTATAGTCAGGGATGTAAAGAACAGCTTACAATAGATTCCATAGCCATGAAACACAATATTAAATTAAAAAATGATATTTGTACAATGTACGTTGATTACCAGAAGGCTTTCGACACTGTCCCTCATAGTTGGCTGCTCTACATTTTACAGCACTATAAAATTAATCCCGTCATTATAAATTTCTTAACAGTAACAATGGAACATTGGAGCACTAAATTAAAAGTAGGTAAATTAATAGAAACGGAACCCATACCCATTAAGCGAGGAATTTTTCAGGGTGACGCCTTAAGCCCACTCTGGTTTTGCCTTGCTCTCAACCCCCTATCAAATCTTCTTAACTCCTCTGAAAATGGACTCTCAATACAGGATACTTCTGCTCCATCTTTAAAATTGACACATTTGTTATTTATGGATGATATTAAACTATATAGTAACGATATAGCAGGCCTCCACTCCCTTGCAGATCTTACACAGAAATTCTCAGAAGACATTAACATGACATTCGGTATAGATAAGTGTAAAACTTTTACACTTCGAAAGGGACGACACATTGAAAGTAACCCATACACATTAGAGTCTGGTCAGGAAATAGACCCAATGTCACCAAACTGTACTTATAAATACTTAGGTTTTGAGCAATCACATCAAATCGATCAAAAATACACCAAAAATAAAATAATCAGCAAATACAAACAAAGACTCAACATGCTAATACGATCGCAGCTATCATCTCGTAACCTCGTGAAATCTATAAACTCATTTGCTATTCCCGTACTAACTTACTCTTTTGGCATTATAAAATGGACAAAAACCGATCTCATCAAACTTCAACGATTAATTAACACTTGTTTGACCACCAATAGAAAGCACCACCCGCGGTCCTGTGTACAGAGATTAACACTGCCAAGAGAGGAAGGAGGACGCGGCCTCATAGATATAACAAACCTACACAACCAACAAATCATTAATCTAAGAAAGTTTTTCCTGCAGAAAGCTGAGCAATCTCCTTTTCATAGAGTGATTACACAACTTGACAAGTCCCACACTCCACTTAATTTACAATCCCCTGACCCGCAGGCTAACGAACACATTGTCAGTAAAACAGATAAAGTAGCAGCTTGGGCACAGAAATCTCTCCATGGAAGACATCGCCTCGACCTGCAGCAACCTCATGTCGACATGAAAGCGTCGAACGCGTGGCTGCGGCGAGGTGAACTTTTCCCTGAAACGGAGGGATTTATGGTTGCCATACAGGATCAAGTCATCGACACAGCTAACTACCAAAAATTTATAATCCATAGACCTAACTACAATGACTCTTGTAGACGTTGCCATGGTGCTTCGGAGACCATTCAGCACATCACGGGAGCATGTAGAGCCATAGCCCAAACCGACTATAAACATCGCCACGACCAAGTTGCTTCAATAATACATCAGTCCTTAGCTATCCAAACAAATTTGATAACAGAAAAATTAGCATATTATAAATACAAACCACAAGCTGTACTAGAAAATGAAAACTACAAATTGTATTGGGATAGAACCATAATTACAGACAAAACTATATACAATAATAGACCGGATATTACAATGTTAGACAAAAGAAATAAATTAGTTTATATAATAGACATTGCCATATGTAACACACACAACCTTGTAAACACACACTCCGAAAAAATTGCAAAATACACAGATTTATCCATAGAACTAAAAACACAGTGGAATGTTACTCAGACCAAAACTATCCCAATCATATTATCCACTACGGGAGTTATTCCAAAAACCCTACACAATAGTCTCACCACATTACATATCAGTCCCTCTACTTACCTCCTTCTGCAAAAAGCAGTTATTTTAAATACATGCCGCCTTACTCGCAAATTTTTAAATGGTTAGCTTTTAAGTTCATTTAAACGCACTTGGCTTCGGCCCGTGCTTCTTTAAACCCCACCAAGATGGGAGAAACGTAAGAGTTATCGAGGAATAATAATAATAATAAAGGAATTTATTTCTCTCAAAAAGGTACATACATAGAAACATTATATCACTATTTAAGTTACAATAGGTTCAACCTTTGTGAGAGCTGGAGTCTATACTGGGTTCAAGACCTGTATGACAGATCTCCAGGTTCACACCCGATGTCACAATAATATAGTAGGTAATTATAATGCAATAGAATACAAGCAATTAAAAGAAACAAATTCCGTGGTCTGAGGGTAGACCAACACCAAACCAGAGTGGATTATATGAGAATGGATGATGAGAATGTGTTTGTCAATTGTGAAAATGAATGTACAGTGTGTGAGTGTTCATGTCTTTAGTGTGAGTGTATCTGAAGTTGTGTGTTTGTGTATGTAAGTTGGTGTGCTGTGTAGAATAAGTAGACATTACCGAAAGCCGACAACGACGAAGTACCCAACAATGTACCTATGCGAGATTTAAGATAAAACGTGCAGTAATTCTTCAGTGCTATCATAGTCCATGTCAAGAAGCCAGTTCCTGACCGTTTTTTTACATTTAGATTTACACAGAGGATATATGTTAAGTATATTGTTTGCCTTGTTGTATATGTAGCCGCTAAGAAAAGGGATAACTTTACTATATTTCATTAGGTCAGGGAAAACACCGTCATCTATACTTTTATTGATAATCAAAGCCAAGTATGGCGCTATAGTTTGAATGAGTGATTTGCAAACTTTTACCGATAGTCCCCATAGATCCTCAGTTGATTTGATCTTGATCTCTTTAAAAACTTTTATTATTTCTATAGGATTCGTATATCGAAAACTAAAGTCGTGCTGTCACGATTGTAAGCCGCGCTAAGATCGGCTCTAAGCCAGGTGTAGTCCAGCGTACCTCGAGCGGCAGGCAGTCGTTGAGCAGCTTGGTGAAGAATGTCTTGTGGTGCGCGACACACATGAGCACGACGACGGCGTGCTCGTCGTCCAGCGGCCTGCAGGCGCGGCCGATCATCTGCAGCACCGTCGTCACCGGGTACTGCTCGTACGCGTGCAGCTTGCCGTTGTAGCTGCCCAGACATTGCACATTTTTAATTAAAACCACCATTGCTACCCGCCATACCCCCCATTCGAAGCCAAAACTATTGTAAAGGCATGGCTGCGTAACCTGACGTACGACGATACAGAGAACGTCTTGTGCTCGCTGAAATAACCTAATAAAGGAGCACAATATAACAATTCAACAACACACATACATCCACACTTACCCCCGCACGCGCACACAGTAACTAACTGCCTTATCTTTGTCGTAGTTATTTTTATTTATTACTATGTTATCTCTTGTTATTTTCCAAAAATAGTAAGGAAATGCGTTATTAGCTCTTAAAAGGTTTCCCTACAGTGATTAAGTTTCATAATGAAATGCTTCGTTATACCTACTACCTGCACTTGCCTGATTATCTAATCATTTGTATTTGTTACTCAAAATGTGTTTATTATTTTCATGTTAATGTTACGTCCATTATTTCATGTTATTAGTCTGAACCTGTACCACTGGCCCCCAAGACACAGGCGGTGCCTAGTTGGGGCCGGCGGGCTACATGTAAGCGTGCAACAAACTGGACTGACACATGGGTGTCGGCGATGATGACGGTGTGGACGTGCGCGGCCAGCCCCCAGGCCAGCTCGGCGGCCACCACGCACAGCGACACGGCGCCCGACTCCAGCAGCTGCTGCACCAGGCGTCTGTCCGCCGGCTCCACGCCCTCGTGCAGGTAGGCCACGCCAGCGGCCAGGGTCTCGCGGAGCATCTGGGGAGACGAGTCAATATACCAACTGTCCACAAACACAACGACACAACTTGGTCAGGTCATATTAATAACGTGGTCGTATTAATAACCTGAATAGTGCTGCTATCCCCTATCATCCCATTACATATTATGTATTTGCGATGACAATACAAAAAAGGTTGGACATTGTTCCCCAAAAATGTACGAAGCAAAAAGCTAGAATCGATTAAAATAATTTATACATGGCACCTTTACAGGGTGCCTGAGGGGTCATGCGCAATACAAGAATTTCTTAGAAGCTCTTCAGCCTTCAAATTCACTCTCACCTTCACGCGGTAGCCCCTGTCACGTTGACCAACCTTACGGAAAATTGTGGTGCGAATACCAGTGGGACGTGAGATCAACAAACGGACGAGGACTGGGTACCCTTCGCCTGGCAGTCGCACTTGCGACCACTTGGTGAACGAGTGTAGTTGGCGTAATTATAACCTCATAATCCAAAAGTGTTTTGATTTTTTTCAGGATTCTAGTGTTTGTTGTTTTAATTTAGGTTCAATTGATTGTAAGGTGTATAACTGCCTCGTTGGCCGTTGCGTAATACAACAAAACATGACATAATGCCTTTTATCCCCGAAGGGGTAGGCAAAGGTGTTGTCGTACCTTGTCGTTGACCCTCTTGAGGAAGGGCTGCAGCATGTCGGGGCGCGCGCGCAGGAAGGCGGCGGGCGTGGCGTGCGCCGCGGCCAGCGCCAGCAGGTCGGCGGCCAGCAGGCGCGCCGCGCGCCGCGACGGCACGAACACGGCCGCCGGCCGCCGCCCCGCGTGACGGACCACCGCGTGGTAGATGGGCTTCGTCATGGCGGCCAGCCGGGAGCCCGCGTGCGAGATGTTGAAGCCCTAGGGACAATTTTTTAATTTGACAGGGCACCGTTAAGATATTTATCGTTTTAAACAATTCTCTTAGCGATTCGCAACGGCGTAAGTTATATATTGCTCGGATAGGCCGCTTTCGAAGAATAAAAATTGATTCTATTTCTGCAGCTCGACTCCACAACAAAATGCCGTACGACATAATGCTGTGAAAGTAACTAAAATAGAAAGCCTTGTCGTATCCACATCCGTGAGCTGTCTAATCTGTCTAACTGCAAAAGCAGCTGAGCTCAATCTCCCCGAAAGCGCCCTTATATGCGGGCCCCATTGTAGCCTATTGTCTAATGTAATGCCTAAAAATACCGTCTCGTCGACAAATTCTAACTTTTGACCGTTCAAAACAACATCACAATCATTACTTCGGACGTTTGGTAAATAAATTTAATACATTTGGTTTTTTTTCATTAATACGCTTGAGTATTAATGGTGAACCAATTTTGCACTCGAAGAATGGAGCTGTTTACGTCGTCAAGATTATTAGCACGTCGATCTATTTTAAAAATTAATGAAGTATCATCTGCAAAAAGCACCATTCTTGGTTCATTCTTGAATATAAATGGCAAATCATTTATATAGACTAAAAAGAGAAAGGGACCCAATATTGAACCCTGTGGAACGCCCATACTCATCCCAAAGCCCTGTGAGTTAATACCGTTAACATGAACCTTTAATTACCTTTCTTCTAAATAAGATTTTATTAAACAGAGTGCGGTGTTTCTGATCCCGTAGTGATCTAATTTCAGCAAAAGTGTCTCGTGGTCAACGCAATCGAACGCTTTTGAGAAGTCACAAAAGACACCAATAGCAGCTTGTGCTTCCTCAAAAGCACCTAATATTTCTTTCATTAAAGTGACACCGGCGTCAGTTGCACAACGACCTTTAGTGATACCGTATTGTTGTTGGTGAAAGATAGCATGTTTATAAAAATGATGAAGCATCCGAGACAGCATTAACTTTTCAAACACTTTGCTGAGAACCGGCAAAACAGATACTGGCCTATAATTGTTTGGTTCTTTAGTATCACCACTTTTAAATAGTGGGATAACCTTACTATATTTCATTAGGTCAGACTTGCAAAACTTTTACCGCTAGTCCCCATAGATCCTCAGTTGATTTGATCTAGATTTCTTTAAAAACTTTTATTATTTCTAGAGGATTCGTATATCGAAAACTAAAGGCGTGCTGACACGATTGTATATGATTCTTAAGCAAAGTTACAGAGAGTGTTGCTGATGACTCTAAATCTTTGGTTGTTTTGATAGGAATGTTGGCAAAAAAATGTTCAAACTCCTGGGCTACATCTACGTTGGATGAAATCTGTCCCCTTTCAGTATTTAAACTAAATTCTAAATTTCTTATTCGTTTACTACCAGTCTCGTTGTGTATAACTTTCCAAGTAGTTTTTATCTTATCATCACCTGCTTTTATTTTATTCCTAATATAAAGACGTTTCGCGGTTCTGCATACTATTCTAAAGGTTTTTGAATAAGTTGTTACATACTGGTGAAATTGGAGGTTGGTGTTGTATGGTTTCATTCCATAAAGCTCAAAAAGTTTATGTTACGTCGCGCGACCTACTTTCGCGAGTCGATTTAATTAATATTGTATTATTTAGTGTTCAGTTGATTATAACTATACCCACGGTTAGCATCCCACATAACTATTGTAACTTACACAATAAACTATTGAACGGGAAATTTGTAGTCTCTCAACTCAAAACAAACTAACGACGCCTGAGGTCCATACACTGAATATTTTTTTAAAAGAATGCTTGGGATGTCATCTACAGACGCACCGAAGCTAAAAATATGTTTTAAAAATTTTTTGTCCGTCTGTATGTATGTATGTCCGGGCTAAACTCAAAAAGTACTGCACGGACACATAGCTGAAATACGAAGGAATGGTGATATAATAACAGACCCTAGTGATATCGCTAACGCATTTAATGATCACTTTGTGGAACAAGCAGAATTACTTTCTTCCTCATTGAGGGCCGGTACCGCCGTCCGTAAGTCACTGCAGGGTGCCACCTGAAAATCAGTGTTGGGCAGGAACGCTCAACTATATGCTGAGGTGGAGTTTTTGCATGTGCACACGCACTACAATATTACTATGTATTATATTATTTATATTATGTTTTTTTTTGTATGTTTAATTTCTCTTTATATCAAAAACTTATTGAATTTGTTTCGTATTGTATGTAAATTATTTGATTATTTTTGTTATTTTGTTTACGCTTTTATGTTTGTTATTAATATTATGTATTTATATAAGTATCTGTATTTATATTTTTCATAATCTTTGTTTGTGTGCCATTTGCCAAATAAATGATATTTCTTTCTTTTTTTCTACTTTCGAAGGTCTCAAAATCTGCATTAACTATGAAATCCCCTATACATATGTTGTAAATCAATGTTCTTGGCTCCCACTACACCTGATGAAATACGTAGGCTAATAGATAATCTAAAAAATAAAGTTAGTGTAGGAGATTACATCTCGACAAAAGGATTAAAATTCGTTTCCGATATAATATCTGGGCCCATTTGGCACATAATATACCGGTTTTGCATAAAACAAAACCGATATTAAGTGCCGAGAGGGAAAACATACAGCATTGCCGGAAGTTCTTCCTGGTGAAGACTATGACATTCGAAGTCTAACGCTCCGGCGCGTCTTGCTGGGGCAACCTAACGCCATCTAGTTACTTTTAGGTGAAACCATGTGTTTACTAACGTCGATCATAGATGGAGCTGAAAGTATACGACTGCTTCTTCAAAGTAATGCTGTATGTTTTCCGGAGGCACATCAATTAATGTTAGTATCTCATCTGGAATTTATCCTGATAAACTCAAACTAACAATAATTAAACTGTCAAACACCAAGCGGTCACCGGTGACCGCGACCTATTGTTCTTTAATTGTGTCTATAAAACCGGTACTCGACGAGTTAAACCTATATTTAAGAAAAATGATATAAATAATTATATACCTATTGCCCTAATACCTATAAAATATTTGAGAAAGCGATTCATCACCGCATGCATTCCTTTTTTACAAAACATAATCTATTAGTACAAGAACAAAAGGGTTTTATAAAGAATACATCAATAAACATGGCTATCTACGATTTCCTTAATATCTTAATGACAAATATTGATAATAGAATCTTTAATTAGTGCTATATTTATGGACGTGACGAAAGCTTTTGACTTAGTTGATAATAATATTTTACTACAGAAACTAAATGATTATGGAATAAGAGGCAAAACATTTTTGTTTTGTGGGAGAGCCATGCTTCGGCACGAATGGGCCGGCTCGACCGGAGTGATACCACGGCCTCAAAGAAAACCGACGTGAAGCAAAGCTTGCGTTGTGTTTCGTCGTATGAGTGAGGTTACCGGAGGTCCAATTGCCCTCCTCTTCCCCAATCTCCCCAATCCCTGAATCCTCGACGATCCTCAAACTCCTAATCCCCAAAAGGCCGGTAACGCACTTTTAACGCCTCTGGTGTTTCAGGTGTCCATGCGACGCCGATTGCTTACCATCAGGTGATCCGTCTGCTCGATTACCGGCAAATGCCATAATAAAAAAAAATTGACTTATACAATCATATCTTGTGAATAGAACGCAGTGTACGGAAATAAAACGAGTGTCAAAAAAAGGCAAAAAGGTACTTAAATATATACACAAAACACGTAGTCATTTATGGCGTGCCACACACGGGTAGCGTACTGGGCCCGCTGTTATTTTTGGTTTACATAAATGTCTTTCCAAAACGCGTCACTTTTCCTATGATTCTTTTTGCTGATGACAGCACAATAATTGTTAAACAAAATTAAAATAGAAATTATGAACGTGACATTAAAGATTCATTGCAACAATCAATTAATTGGCTTGATCAAAATAATTTACAATTAAATTAAAATAAGACTAAAATTATACAATTTAGACAAAGAACAACTACTCCTGACATAAATATATTTTTGACGATAAAAGGATTGAAGAAGTAGAGCATACAAGATTTTTAGGACTAACTATTGACTGTAAACTGACTTAGAAAGAACATGCATCAATTCTTATAAAAAAAATTAAGTCGCTTTACCTTTGCTCTATACAAACTTAAGAAAATAGTTAACCAGGCAGCAGTTGTTGCTGCATACTATGGTTATGTTGAATCCACATTGAGATATGGTGTAATTTTTTGGGGAAATTCCTCCGAGAAATGTATTATATTTACCGACTTCAATAAAAGGAGGAGGTACTATGTTCGGCTGATTTTTTGTTTTGTTCGCGCAGTACTCCGCCATTTGTGAACCGATTTCCAAAATTCTTGTTTTGTTTGAAAGGGTATACTCCCGAGATGGTCCCATTTTCATGAGGTCAGAATCTGATGATGGGATCCTAGGGAAACCGAGGGAAACTTTCGAAAATTCTATGGGCGAGTAATGCGTCTATTATGTTTATCAATAACGATTTTGTATATAATATGCTAGCTTAGACTGAGTTGGCGGGCCCTTTCGTCGTGGACATGCTGCCACCCTGTTTTTTTATTTTGCTTTTTTATGTTTTTTTTGCTTTCATTGTTGTTTTATTTTTTACTGCTGTTTTTTTATGTTATTTCATGTTGTTATTGTTTTTTATTTTGTTTTTTAATGTTATTTTGTTATTGTTTTGTGTGTGTGTGTGTGTTATTCGGTGGTCCATGTCTGGTGGCGAATAAATTATTTTTCTTTCTTTCTATTTTTAAAGCACAGAAGAGGTGCATTAGATAGATGTGTAGCTTGAAAGTAACGGACAGTTGTGAACCTCATTTTAAATCTCTTAGAATACTAACTTTACCTTGCCTTTACATATACGAAACTGCACTGTTCGTCAGAAAAGTAGTACTTTGTTTAAAAAAGCCTCTGAGGACCGTCATAGATCGACAAGATCAGAATATGTCTATATACGAATTATGTCTGAGAGCCTCAATGACAGCCCTTAAGCATAAAAGTATCCTTTGCATGGCACCCAAAATCCTTACTTATATTATAAATGGGAAAGTGAGTTTGTTTGTTTGTTTGTTCCGCTTTCACGCCGTAACTACTAAACCGATTGCTTTGAATTTTTGCAGATGTGAAGTTAGAAGTCTGGATTAAATAATAGGGTATTTTTATCCCGAAAAAAAATATATTCTCGAGAGAAAACGAAATTATTGGTATAGATGGTGCTGTGTGTATTAGTATATGTCACATAGGCTACTTTTTATCTTTTTGTGACGCGGGTAAAAGCTAGTATATAATAAAATCCCAAATACTATCAAGAATCTGAATTTGACACAATTTAAACGTAAACTTAACAATTTTCTAATTGATAAATGCTATTATACCATTGCCGATTTCTTTCATGACAAAATGTAATAAACTGACAACTATGTGTATAATTAATTATGAAAACTTGGACAAATTATTGTTTATTTAATACTACATTGTAACTAAATTTTGACATTTTATTAATTAATCATGTTAAAATTTTGATGATGATGAATATTTTTATACTTTTTAAACAGTGTATGCCTAATGGGCAGCTTTTTGCACTACTATAATAATAATTTTAAGACCCTTTTATATCACCAAAAAGCACACGAATAAATACTTTGACTTTGACTTTGGATTTACTACAACTTTTGCATGAATATTACTAACAGGTCGGGTCAACATATAAGCTACAAATTATGACGCCATCACCTACGGGGGAGGAGCTGTGAATCACTATTCCACGCGAACGAAGTCGCGGGCAACATTCCGCGACCCGCGACGCGGCGACTGTCGTCGTATAAGCCGAAGACTTAATAATTAGAGTAAATATTCCATGACGAATTTTATGTTAAAACTAGAATACACATAGTCACTTTCAACAGCCAGAATATGTCTACTACAGAAGATAATACATATAACACATTATCACATCACGCGTTTAATAATTTATTTAGTATATCTCACGAAAGTTATAATTTATAATTTTCAAATAAGATCACTTTCAAACGCGATGTTCACGATTTCTTTTTAAAGTCACTACAACGCTGAGTCTAGGTCTATTATTATTATTATATATGTATTATTATAGAATTTATTTATTTAGTATATATATATATATATATGAGCATGCATATATATATACCTATATATTTATGTTGTATTTATATTGTAGTGTACATTTTAAATATTTTTTGTATCTATCTATATTTATTAAAGTCTATTTATGTTATTTGTTTCTTATAATTACCCATGCCAATTTTTTCGCCGTTTTTCAATTTAACCCTAAGGTTGACTGGGAGAGAATGCCATATGGCATTAATGTCCGCCTTATGTACCATTACTTGTTTCTGTGTACATTAAAGCTTAAATAAATAAATTTAAATAAGACTTAGAAAGTACCTGAATATGCAGCTGTAGAGGCAGTGGTCTGACGCTGGGGTGGAAGTTGAACGTAGTGTTGGCGGAGCAGCCCAACCACTGCGCCACGTCGCGCGCGTCCGCCAGGGGGAGCGACAGGGCTACCATACGGATTTGACGACCTGTGGACGAATATATTACATCATTATTATTATATTTACCTGAAAAACTCTGAAATCTGCGTTAGACTACAGTGTTGCGGGTCTGGAGTGTGACACAGTGAGCGCGGTATGTAACACTGTTTTGGCGTCGACCCGGGATTCGAACCAAACACCAACGCAGCTGCCGGCGGGCGAGTGTAGCGTGCCAACAGTGCTCCGCGCGCCGCCGGGACCGCGAGTGGAGCACAGTGCGCGGGGGGCGCCAGGGGGCGCGCTGGGTGCACTCGAGTAGCCAGTAGCAACGACAGTCGCCGCGGCGCGGGGCGCGGAATGCTACTCATGAATACGAGCCTCTAGCATGGCTTGAAACTAGTCGAGTTCCTCATCAAATAATTACGTGAGTGAGCCGAAAACATAATAATTTACCTGAAAAACATTTATAGTTTATATTTTTTTTGAGGACAAACCCGCCACAGCCTCCCAATACCGCTGCAACTCCTGTGCACCAGGATCTACAGGAGATACAATACTCGAAGGAGGGGGATAATTGGGCCTCCGGTAACCTCACTCACACGACGAAACACAACGCAGTCGTTATTTCACTATGATTTTCAGCTCGGCCGTGGTATCACTCCGGTCGAGCCGGCCCAGCAGGGTCGAAGCATGCCGAGCCCACACACACACACTCCACATACACAGATAACTATACTCACCAATCTGCGAGGATATATACCGCATCCTGGAGCAGACGACCTCCAGTACCGGGCCCTCCTCCCCGCCCAGCAGTTGGAGCGCGTCCACTATGAACAGGGACACGCTCTGGACGCTCTTACGGACCTTCCATCTGGAGACAAAGACATATAATATTAGCAACTAAATGACATAACATCACGCCTTTTATCCCCGAAGGAGTAGGCAGAGGTGCATGTTACGGCACTTAGTGCCACTGTACAATGTAACACTCACTTTTCTGTAATAGGGAGTGAGCCTATTGCTATACACCGGGCACAATTCCAGACTGAGATATTTTTAAAACCCAGTATTACTTTGCCCGACCCGGGAAGCGAACCCGAGACCCCTTGCCCTGCAATCGCACTCGGACAACGACGTAGTTACAAAATAACATAGTAACTTAATGACATAATATCACGCCTGTTACCCCTGAAAGGGTAGGCAGGCAGAAGTGCCTATTATGGCACTTAATGTAACACCAACTTTTCACTATTTATGTTATGAGTCCCATTATACAGGCATTAGAAAAAGCAAACTTCGAAAGCGCATACGAACTCATAGTACATAGTATTCTATCCACCCAAAGGTTGCCTGGTAGATATCGCTTTTAGCGATAAGGCCGCCTTTGTACCCTATTTTCTTTATTTGTTCCTGGATATACTATCTCAAATTGGTGTACAATAAAGATTATTATTTATTTATTTATATACATTATCAAAACGTCAGGCCATGTAATTGTCGAAGAGGTATTTCTCGTCGGGTGGCACGTGCGATGCGAATAGTGCCTACAAATTCACGCCTAGTATTTCATGTGCGTATTTCTATGGATTTTTTTTCTTTGTTTTTACTTTATACATGGAAAGTACTCCTTATGGCAAGTTGTTTTGCCATGGGACGGAAACGAAATAGATTTGAAATGAAATGAAATGAAATAAGTTTATTCGGCATAAGACATGCACGCCAGAAAAGACATATAAATATAAAAAAGTATAAAAACAGAAAAATTAAAAGATAAAAGTTAAATTATAAAACTAAAACTAAAACAAGCCAATAATTCAGGTGCGCGGTGTTGGCGGACATGCCCAATCCGAACGGGTCACCAACTCAGCATAAAGCTGGGCACAATGAGCGCCCAACACTGATTTTCAGTTGGCACCCCTGCAGGGACGCACGGACGGAAGCAACACGATTTCACATTGTGTAACGTACCTTCTAGATAGAATGTCCCATTTGTCAGCTGTGGTGACAATGATTTGACCTTTGTTGAGCAACTTGTGATCCGTCGCCGTCTCACCGGTCAGCTGTACCACCTGGGGACAATGAAATAATTATGAATATCATGTAAAACAGAACATACATAGCCGTCTTGCTCCCATGAGGGTAGGCAGAGTCTACGGAACGTCAATTGCTACGATTCTTACATATCTCTTCGCTTCATGAACCATTTTATTAAATATTCTTACTCCTAAACTTTTTTTATGGGATACGCCGGTAAACGAGTGTACGGATCACCTGATGATAAGCAATCGGCGCCGCCCATGGACACAAGGAACACTAGAGGCGTTACAAGTGCGTTACCGACCTTATGGGGATTAGGAGTTTGAGGATTGGGGAGATGGGGAGATAGGGGAAGAGGGATGAATCGGGATGAAGTTAGGAACAGGGGTAAATTATGGTTTAAGGATATATATCCTAGACAGCTGAACTAATTTGAATGAATTTTTGTTTATACATTCAAGTGGATATGCAGGACAACGTCTGTTGGGTCCGGTAGTATCTTTGTAAAGATGTGCACTTGTGCCCCACGGCCCTGAAGTTTCAACCCCAAACGGTTCGAAAGCATAATTGCCAATCAGGCTATTATACTTTCGCCGTTTGAGGTCCTCGGCAGCGGCAGCGGCAGCACCGGCTCGACACGCTGAGCTTGGAAGATGGGATGGCGCCAGAGTATCGACGCAAGTGGCGTCCCATACTAAAGGCCTTTTTTTAAGGGGGGGGAATCATCCAATGACTTCTTTCGCCTGGGTGAAGCGAGAGGGAGTGTCAGACTCTTACTGACTAAAAACCACCCCGTTCCTACTCTTACACTACGAGCCGGAGCCCCGGTAACCTTTTACGTTCTCCGCGGCTCCGTATCGGCATCAGCCCTATTGGGCCCCATCCGCGGTGGAATCCATAGGCATAAGGTAGTATAATTACAAATTTCCTTACCTTAACATTAAACCTAGTTCCAAATTTATGGTAACAATCAGCGAACACGATGTCAGCCAGTGCGTCCTTGGGTAACAGGTACACGGCTCTCCCCGACGGGTTAGTGGCCAGTAGACGAAGTAGTGCCAACTCAGCCACTACTGACTTGCCAGCGCCGGCTGGGGCGCCGACGAACACGTTCTCATCTGAATTGTAGACTGCGTTGAACACCTGCGAAGAGATTTGTTAAAATATAATTAATAAATATACGATTACGTAGATCTTACCACAAGATTATACATAACTAGAATAGGGTAGATTTCTAAATTTTATTTTAATGTCCGTCTGGTAGATTTTTCTAATACATTAATTGCCGGAATACTGAAACGTTACTCAATTTTAAGTTGTGCTTAAATATCGCCGTCTCTGTCATTTTACAAAGAATTTGTGGAGACAGAACTATACTTAAGCGCGACTTAAAATTGAGTAGCGTTTGAGTATTCCGACATTGGACACGTATTTTTTATTTTCTTACAAGAATAAATACTTTTGACGATATTTGATTTGAAATGTCGGGCGACGTCACAACGAATTACATTTTGTAGCGACTAGGTACTTGCGTTCATCAAAAATAAAAACTATATCGACTGTTCAATACAATCTATATATATAAAAGAAAGTCGTGTTAGTTACACTATTTATAACTCAAGAATGGCTAAATCAATTTGGATGAAAATTGGTGGGGAGGTAGCTTAGAACCAGGAGACGGACATAGGATACTTTTTACCCAATTCTTTTTTTTTTAACTTTTTACCGAAAATCAAGAACGGGAACGGGAAATATCGGGATTGCGCGTACGAAGTCGCGGGCAGAAGCTAGTAAAGAAATAAAAAGTAATCACATTTTCATTACTTGATTTTATGACCAACTTAATTTTAGTATTTTTCCAGCAAATTTTTAAGATAACTATGCTGTTTGCCGCTAAAAAAAATAAACAATCTCGTGCAAAATTCATTCAAAACTGTCGTTTTTGACAGTTCTAAAAAAGTATTGAATTTGACTAGTGGGCAAGTACCTAAGTAATTGGTTAATACATTAATATTTGAAAATTTTGTTGAGAAACTGGGCGGGAGAAAGACAGGGGTGACCGAGATAATAGGGTAAACGATTGGAGGGGGAGAAAGAGGGGGATTGAGTAACCGGGAGAATGGGGGATGAATAATAGGAAGTGCGAGTGAAATTGAAAACAGAGTTAAGACGTTAAGTGTCGGAGGGGGGGGGGCGGACACAGGGGTGAGAGAAATAAGGGGATAGCAAGGGAAAGAGTGAAAAGGAGTGAAGATAAACAAAAAGAGAATGCAGAGTTACTGAAAGCCTTTGAATTCGATAATAATTAACCCATACATCCCCAAGTGGTCAGACCGCTCTCCACTACCTACATTATAGACCTTATTTCCAATGTTTAGAGACTACTTTTGTATGAACAAATTTAGGGGATGAATTTCAACGCGTTAATTTCTTTGAAATCTTGACGATAATTTGACATTTTATTATATTATATTTGTATTAAATTATTATTATTAGACTTAATATGGCATAGATACTAATTAATTTTTGTCGTTAATTTGTTTTGTTTTAATCAGACATATGATAATTATATAGAAAATTGAACTAGTTAAATTCTCATTTTAATGTGTGTATGGTGTGGATTATTGTTGTTATTTTCTTTTAAATAATTCTCTAATTGGATTTTATTTTTAAGCCACTGTTAAGCCTTTGAATTGCCAGTGCTATGTACGCCATTATTGTGGCCTGAATCAGACCTTTATTTTGTTACTATTGTGTATTTTGAATGTTATATGTTTGTGATGTGGCCGTACTTCTTCGGATAAATAATTTTTTTTTTTGTTCTCTCCTAATGCTATCTGTCTTTCTGACATTTAGCATTACTTTTGGTGGTCTGTGTAAGTGGCCTGGGAGATATATGTCCAGCGACATATTCTCATAATTTATTGTTTAGAGCAGGTCCTGTGGTACTCGTAATTTTAGTCTGCGAACTCCTGGAAATATGTTACCATCCATAAGATGTTGCGCGAGTATGTTTGGGTGTTTTCTTGGATAAATAAATAAAGAAATAAACGCCTTAACTCGTCGAGTACCGTATTTATAGACACAATTAAAGAACAATAGGTTGCGGTCACCGGTGACCGCTTGGTGTTTGACAGTTTAAAAATAATACGTTTTAATATCCATCTTACTTGAGTCTGCACCGGATTGAACTGCGGGAATGTTTCATTATACAACTCCTCGAACTTGGGGTTTCTTAGTGCCGATATTGGGAGCGGCTGTAAGTCCAGCAACTCGGTCGGGGGGAGGTTCTTCTCGGGGAGGATGAGGTGACGGAATGACACTGGTAGCTGAGTCTCTGCTGCTATCCATCTGTAATATAAAAGGGCATGTTACTAGCTCCACTGACGGACAGACTGACGGACTATTGTGGATTTTTAGACGTTTCCAAATTACCTATATATATGGTTTAATTAAAATGTATGCTTTGACTTAACCATAAATAAATGTGCGTGGCGAACTGGTCTTGAGTTTGATTCCAGGACAAGTAAGAGGTCTTAAGTTTCATTTCAGGGTAACGCAAAGCAATGATATTTTCAATTTTAAACACATAACATAATATCCCATCTTTTATCCCCGAAGGGGTAGGCAGAGGTGCACATTACGGCAATTAATGCCATAAAATGTAACACTCACTTTTCACTATTTATGTTATGAGTCCCATGTAGGATTGTAGGGGGTGAGCCTATTGCTATATACCGGGCACAATTCCAGACTCCGTGCTACTACTGGGATTTTTTTCATCCATCCTAGTATTTAATACTTTGCGCGACCCGGAAATCCAACCCGAGACCCCCTTGCTTTGCCGTCTCACTTGCGACCACTCGCCAAACGAGTATTATATTCTTTTTTATGGTTTGAGCCGGTAATCGAGCAGACGGATCACCTGATGGTAAGCAAGAGGAGTTACAAGGGCGTTAGCGGAATTTTAGGGGATGATTGGGGATTTAAGGCTTGGGGTATTTGGGGATTTGGAAAGAGGCGGAGAATTGGAGTTGCATAAAATTATTCAGAAAAATCATCTTTAAATTGTCTACAACTAGAATTTAGACCTTACCTATCGGAGACGACCCTCAAGAAGTACTGTGGGGGAAGGGGTTCGAATACCGGCACGAACAACTTGACATGGTGCTCGTCCTTGCAGTACTTCTCCTTGAGTAGGAAGTACTCGTGGTGGAGTACTACTTCCGAGTCCACATCTTCTACGAGGATCCAGAAGGCTTCTGATTGGCCGTGAATCTGGAAAGAGAAAAAAATATTTTCTACATAACATAACATAACATCACGCCTTTTATCCCCGAAGGGGTAGGCAGAGGTGCACATAGAAGTAACACCCACTTTTCACTATTTATGTTATGAGTCCCATGTAATAGGGGGTGAGTCTATTGCCATATACCGGGCACATTTCCAGACTCCGTGCTACTACTGAGATTTTTAAAAAACCCCAGTAATACTTTGCCCGACCCGGGAATCGAACCCGAGACCCCTTGCCCGGCAGTCGCACTTGCAACCACTCGGCCAATGAGGCAGTCTATTACCCCATACTACGGTTAGCTCCTGTGTCGTGTGTACGTTTACAAACATACAAGTTCACATACACATGACACAGACACGGAACAACAATCTGTGGGTCATACAAAGAATTGCTGCGTGCGGGAATCGAACTCGCGACACGTTGCGCGGCAGCCATTTGCCCAACCACCGCACCAACCGTGGAGACAATTGATTAATTTATATCAACATCATCACTACACAGTAAAAAACAAAGTCGCTATCCGCCGTCTGTCTGTCCCTATGTATGCTTAGATCTTTAAAACTACGCAACGGATTTTGATGCGGTTTTTTTTAATAGATAGAATGATTCTTAAGGAAGGTTTATATGTATAATACATGCATATTGCGCCCGTGCGAAGCCGGGGCGGGTCGCTAGTTAAAACTAGTTGACAGTCTGCTTTACTATGAGCATACTCTACATATATGAAGTTCATGATCTCCACAGTAAAATTTTACCATAATAAAGGGATTTTGTAGCATAATAAGAGATGTCGCGGTGGCCTGAGGTCGAGACGGTCCTCATGCACGAGGGCAAGTTCGGAACTACCGACGGCAAGTACCTACCAATGGGACGACTTCCGAGTTATATGTACTCTCTAAGATTGTTTAGACACCACTGACAAACGGTGAAGGAAAACATCGCGTGGAAACCTGGGCGTATAATTTCTAATTATTTTGAAATCAACCTGCATTCAGCAAGCGTGGTGATTAATGCTCATTTATAGGCTGTTGATGAAGAGATTAAACCACAATCTCCCGTCTCCACACAAGGTAGGCGTGAGTAGAAAACATTTTGGCATACCTTCTAGTTTACTGAAGTGGGGTATTACACACCCGCGTCAAGAGTGACGTTAGTAAATATAATTAAAATATGAACATACCTTCTCGTCCCAGTGGAAGTCAGGCGTGATGGTCAATTCGACCCTCAACGTGGATCTGGTGATGGGCTGTATATGCGTCGCCAGCTCCAATTTAGGGAACTGATGTACGTATTTATGTATCATTTTGCCTAACTTAGGCGCTCGAACGAGCTCGCCTATCTCATTGGGACCCAGTTCGTACAGCTTCTCCCATGGGAAATTTTTCTTTTCTAATTTTTTTATTACCTGCAAAAACATATTAAAAAGTTATTTACTAATGGAGGTTTGAAATCTACAAATTATTATTTATAGGATAAGCCGGTAAACGAGCAGACGAATCACCTGATGGTAAGCAATCAGCGTCGCCCATGGACACCTGGAACACCACCGGCGTTACAAGTGCATTACCGGCCCTTTGGGGAACGAACGAATTTGTTCCTAAAATAACATCACGCCTTTTATCCCCGAAGGAGTAGGCAGAGGTGCACATTACGTCACTTAATGCCACTGTACAATGTAACACCCACTTTTCACTATTTATGTCATGAGTCCCATGTAATAGGGGGTGAGCCTATTGATATATACCGGGCACAATTCCAGGCTCCATGCTACTACTGAGATTTTTTCTAAAAAACCCCCGTAACACTTTGCCCGACCCGGGAATTGAACCCGAGACCTTTATTTTTATATATTATTTAAAATAAATTGTGTTATTTAATTATAATGTTTCTTGTTTATAAATAAATAAATTAAAAAAAAAACATGGCTAACGTGTGCCCAAAAGGAGACGGCGGGACGAATTAGACATCTATGACAAGGATTGGCCGCAAAAAGCTTTACATAGAGAGGAGTGGAAGGAGGGTAGGGAGGCCTTTGCCCTGCAGTGGGACGATCATGGCTGAAAATAAATAAATAAATAATAAAATAAACACGTGTTCTAATAAATACTTACTTCTTCGGGCATCTTCCTGAACTGTCGTAGCGGAGACATGGATTGCCACATGCGTCTGTCCACCATCTTGCAGAGAGCTAGCGTCTTGTCCACTAGCTGGGCCCAGCCTGGACATATTAAAACAAAATTATTACTACAATGTTATAAAAAAAATCTTTACAATGTATTTTGTTCTGTGAGTGCCGTATTGGAGGTCCAATCCTCCTCCTTCCCATCCTTAATTCCAAAGTCCCCCCATCCTCAAATCCTGAGAATGGAGGAACAGGGAGGAAATGTGATTATTGGTATTTTAAGAGTTTTTTTTATCTTTATTTAATTACAGGGTTTTTTCTTAAAAAAAACGTCACCCCTATTATTGAGTACGAAATAACAAAAAAGAACACTTATACTTAGACTTACATTTAAGTTAACCTACCCGCAACCTAGTAACAATTATAATAATATTAATAAGAATTCTGGATTTTCTGGATTTTAAGAGTTATAAATCATAAGTTTATCGTGTATGTTCATTCTTTGCCAGAGTCTGTGTTTCCTGAAGGGTATATAACCTGGTTGTCTTCTAGGCCCGAGAGAATAGGTTGCTTATGGGACGACGTGCTCCATCGTAGGACGCACCATCAGTAAGGTACTTTAAAATTAAGTATTTCAGATACCAGATACAAAATACTATTGACAGTAGTTGTCATTTTATCTTTAAACTACTTTTTAAAGATAAAATATTTTTCTAGGCAAACAACACTTGAATGAATGACTGCACGGTTGGTGCGGTGGCTGGGCAACCGGCTGCCGTGCAACGTGTCGCGGGTTCGATTCCTGCACGGAACAACACTTTGTGTGATCCACAGATTGTTGTTCCGGGTCTGGGTGTCATGTGTATGTGAACTTGTATGTTTGTAAACGCACACACGACACACACACATTTCTTTATTTTAAGGTTTTGCACAAATAAAATTAATGAGATTTTTAGTGTGATCCTAATAAAGGCTTTATCAGGGGCATCATCAAAATTGACGGCTGCAAGAAATAAAGGCTTTATCAGGGGCATCATCAAAATTGACGGCTGCAAGAAATAAAGGCTTTATCAGGGGCATCATCAAAATTGACGGCTGCAAGAAATTGCTGTTTGTAGCTCATTTCTTTTTGTTTGCGCCTAGGTTGGGTTTTTTAGATCATTGTCCTTTATAAATGTCAGCTTAGAATCTGATCACATTTAATTTTTATTGATGAAAAGAATTTAAAGTATCTTATCCGAAAAAGTATTTGTAAAGTACTAAGATACAGAATATTTAAATACAAGATATAAAATTGAATTTTTAAGAAGTATTTGATATACAAGATCGAAATATGTATTTTGTATCTTGTATCTGTACTTCAGATGTAGTTGTATCTTAAATAATTATCATCTCTGAATTTATGACGCGATATAACGCATATCCAGGTTGTAAGTTTGCATGCTTTGTATCTTTAGCAAAACACGCTCTGATTTCATTGTAACACCTATAATACCATGTTTTAATGCAAATAAATGAATTTGAATTTTAACTTCATCTCTTGTTGACTTTATTTGAAATACTAAATATCATTATGACACCGTTCCGAACACAAATAGACTATAATTGGGGTCCAAATCATTTTTTATTGTATTGCAAGGGTGGTGATTAATGCTTAAACCGTGTGAGAAGAGGCCTTTGGTTAGCAGTGACCACAAATAGGCTGTTTATGCTGATACAATGATAAATAAAAACAATTATTAACATACCTCGATGCAGCACAATTTCGAATATAGCTCTCAACAGTCGACAAGCGGACTGGGTGACGTACACCATGTCCGCCATAAGAGCAAAACCTTCCAATTTCAGCTGCGATATATACGCTTGGAGCAAGACGTTGATCTTAGCTGAGGGCTCCTCTATACTCTCTTTTATTGGGATTGGTACCTGGAATAAATAAAAAAGGATAATAATAATTGAGTAGTTTCCAGGGGATCAAAATTAAAAATGTAATTAGTCCGTCAGTTAGATAACGAAAAAATATTAGACACGTATTTTTTTATTTCCTCGTATTAAGTTGCAATACTTAGATAAAATGGCGCTAAGGAGTGAGAGGTTATTACGTCATAACGTGCTACAAAATGTGGCACGCTGTGACATCGCACGATATTTCAAATTAATATATCGTCGAAAGTATTTAAATTTGTGAGAAAAGAAGAAATACGTGTCTAATGTTTTAAATTAATGTACCAGACGGGCATTAAAATAAAATTTAGGAAACTACCCTATTGGAATGGTAGCTAAAATTATGTGGCCCATAGATTCGTTAAATACACATTTTTAAGTGTTGTAATATTAAAATTAAAAACTTAAACGCGTTACAAAAAATCACACAAAACCTAGATAACTTCCTTCAAGGAGTAGTTCGGTATTGGGTCCAATTAGTGTGTTAAGTAAAAAATTGTGCTATTCGGAAATGTCTCAGTTGGAATCCAAAATCGCACCTTACATATGACGCCCTATTATATAACTAGCTACTTCCGCGCAGTTTTACAAGCTCTGCTCAGCTCCTATTGGTTGTTGCGTAATGTTTTATAACATATAGCCATCCTCGATAAATGCGCTATATAAATAAAGCGGATATAAAGCTGAAGAGTTTGTTTTTTGTTTGTTTGTTTCAACGCGCTAATCTCCGAAACTACTGGACCGATTTGAAAAATTCATACTGTGTTGGATAGCGCATTTATCGAGGATGGCTATAGCCTATAGCCTATAGCCATCTATGGGCTATAAAAAATATCACGCTACGATTAATAGCGCATTTATCGAGCCCATAGATGGCTATTTTATAAAATATCACGCTACAATTAATAGGCGCCGAGCAGAGCGTGTGAAACCGCGCGGAAGTAGCTAGAGTTTTATATAGCTTTTAAGGACACTCTGAATATAAAAACAAAACTTATAAAACTCTACTCACCCTCTCCATGAGCTTGCAAAGCTCTAGTTTTTCTTCCTCCCTGACAGCTATATGTTTAAACTCAGCCGACAAAGAGAATACTCTGAACAGTTCAATTTCACCAAGCGTGGGCTTCAATAGCTGAGAATAACATTGCATCGTTTCATATGTGCAGTAGAAATGGGACGCTATGCGGCCTAACTCCGTAGGTTGAAAGTGGCCGGATTTACGCTCGTATCGGATCAGGCCCGCTCTGGAATAGAAGGAATTAGGAATGAGTTAAAGATATACTATAAGATTCTTCACCAAAACAATGCATTTGTAATATCTCTAGTGTTTCGGGTGTACATGGGCGACGCCGATTGCTTACCATCAGGTGATACAACCAGTAATACCGATCAAATATAAAATATATCGATCGAATTAAAAACATCCAGAAGCGGTTTGTAAAATTTTTATGTTATCGCTTGAAAATTGACTATCACAGAGCTGACTATATAAATCTTTGCAAGAGATTTCACTTGCAACGCCTTGTAAACAGGCATAGATTGGTGGATTTTTCATTTATGTTAAAAATACTATCTAATGATATTGACTGCCCTAAAATACTGCAAAGACTTCATTTTAATGTTCCCCGTAAGTCATTTAGGTTCAGTGTACCGATATCGGTACCTTCTTCCTCAACCAACTATCGGAGTAATTCGTATATTGTGCGAGCGAGCAATGATTTCAATAAACTGTGTAAAGAGTTTTCATTCGACCCATTTAACACAAAACTTACTGTGGCACGCGGCAGGCAGCTGAACCTTGATTTCTTTAATTCATAGTGGGTACCTATATGGTCCTTAATATTTGGAGTAATTTGTGCATAATTATAGACTGCCTGTGGTTTAATGAGTTTGACAAAAGTAATTTTAATACTGCGTTAGCATGTTTCTACTTTCTGTTACTAATCGTGGAAACCAGTAATTGGCTTCTTGTTGCATACCACATTCTATTTAATCAAATTGTATAGCTGTTGGTTTTCCAAATGTATAAATAAAAAAATAAATACATAAGAACTATTTTTTATATGTTAAACAGTTGACTTTGTGACTGCAAGGCTGGGCAACCAGCTGCCGTACAACGTGTCGCGCGTTCGATTCCCGCACGGAACAACGCTTTGTGTGATCCACAAATTGTTGTTCCGTGTCTGTGTCATGTGTATGTTTGTATGTATATGGAGTTGTATGTTTGTATACGTATACACGACACAGGAGACAATCCTAGTGTAGGGAAAAGTTTTTAAAAAAAGACTAATGGAGTTGTGGAAACAATTAGAATATATTGTATGGTCATCAAGATTATATTGTGTACCAAATTTTTAAGTGTGGGAGAGCCAGGAATAGGCCGGCTCGACCGGAATGATACCACGGCCTAACAGAAAACCGACGTGAAACAACGTTGCGTTGTGTTTCGTCGTGTGAGTGGGGTCACTGGAGGCCCAATTACCCAATTAAGTCATTACGGTGGCAGTGGACTTTTGACGTTTGACTGTACATGAACTAGTAAATAAATAAGAAAGACATATACTCACTTATCCAACAAGCTAGCAGCAGTGTGTATGAGGTCAGCTCTGTGCAGTTCCAGCAGAGAGTCCTCCTGGAACTTCTCCTGCGAGATGCCGTACAGCGCCGGCTGACGCAGCATTCTGATGTACAGGTATGTGTAGCCTGGAATATCATTCATTTATGATTTATTACATAACATCACGCCTTTTATCTCCGAAGGGGTAGGCAGAGGTGCACATTATGCCACTGTACAATGTTGTTGAGTCAAGCACTCAACGGCCTCCGCTGCGCGCTGGAGGGGACGCCGGACGGCGGCGCGAGGGGCGACAACCGCCGGCCCCGCACGGCCTGCACAGCCCCGCACGGCCCGCACGGCCCCGCACGGCCCGCACAGCCCCGCACGGCCCGCACAGCCCCGGCCCCGCAAGGCCCCGCACGGCCCCGACACACACCAGTCAGCTGTTAGACGCTACGACGCACGTCCGCGCTCGCGCTTTCTTATCGATAATCTATATTCATTTTTCTTATAACCGTTATTTTAACAGTCTGATTATTATATTACCTATTATACAGTCCACAAGTTCATTATTTCTCTCCACTTAACTATCGAGCCAACAATGTAACACACACTTTTCACTATTTAATTTAAGAGTCCCATATAATAGGGGGTGAGCCTATTGCCCTATACCGGGACCAATTCCAGACTCCGTGCTACTACTGAGAATTTATTTTAAAAACCCAGTAATACTTTGCCCGCTCCGAGAATCGAACCCGAGACCCCTTGCAGTTGCACTAGCGACCACTCGACCAACGAGACAGTCCTTACATTTTTATAAGCATAGCATTAGACTGCCTGTGGTTTAATGAGTTTGATAAAAGTAATTTTAGTACTGTGTTAGCATGTTTCTACTCTCTGTTACTAATCGTGGAAACCAGTAATTGGCTTTTGTTGCATACCACATTCTATTTAATCAAATTGTATAGCTGTTGGTTTTCCAAATGTATAAATAAATAAATTATATTCAGAATTTTAATTAGCTTCCAGATTTGACATTGGTTACTGTCATTTTGTGAAATAATGATACCACATATAATAGTGTAGTGATGAACACAAAAATCGATAAACAATCAGTGTGTGTGTTTTATAATAAATGTTACAGAAAGTGACAGGATAGCGATAGCGATGACGGCGACAATTTATAAAATAAATTATCACCATAATACATCTATCTGTTATATTTGTTATGTTCCTTCATGATTACATTTTTTTATTTATTTCACACACAATTATAAAAGAAAAGTCTCAAATCGTTAATTAATCGTCAAAACTAAATTATCGATCAGAAATATTTAATTTCCCTGATAAACTTAGTTTACGAGAGTAAAATTATAAACGAGAAGAATCGATCCCGAAATATTCCATTCCCATATCGAATAATTTCGCAACGTCACTATTTAGTACTTGTCATAACGTTGCAACACTGAAATTGTCAAATCTGGAATCGAATTAAAATGCCGAGTATAGTACGTACCGAGCCAGGTGACGGCGTCCCGCACGCTCTGCACGGAGCCGAGCACGACCTCCGCGTTGAGCATGTATAAATATGAGTACGTACCGAGCCAGGTGACGGCGTCCCGCACGCTCTGCACGGAGCCGAGCACGACCTCCGCGTTGAGCATGTATAAATATGAGTACGTACCGAGCCAGGTGACGGCGTCCCGCACGCTCTGCACGGAGCCGAGCACGACCTCCGCGTTGAGCATGTATAAATATGAGTACGTACCGAGCCAGGTGACGGCGTCCCGCACGCTCTGCACGGAGCCGAGCACGACCTCCGCGTTGGAATCGAATTAAAATGCCGAGTATAGTACGTACCGAGCCAGGTGACGGCGTCCCGCACGCTCTGCACGGAGCCGAGCACGACCTCCGCGTTGAGCATGTATAAATATGAGTACGTACCGAGCCAGGTGACGGCGTCCCGCACGCTCTGCACGGAGCCGAGCACGACCTCCGCGTTGAGCATGTATAAATATGAGTACGTACCGAGCCAGGTGACGGCGTCCCGCACGCTCTGCACGGAGCCGAGCACGACCTCCGCGTTGAGCATGTATAAATATGAGTACGTACCGAGCCAGGTGACGGCGTCCCGCACGCTCTGCACGGAGCCGAGCACGACCTCCGCGTTGAGCATGTATAAATATGAGTACGTACCGAGCCAGGTGACGGCGTCCCGCACGCTCTGCACGGAGCCGAGCACGACCTCCGCGTTGAGCATGTATAAATATGAGTACGTACCGAGCCAGGTGACGGCGTCCCGCACGCTCTGCACGGAGCCGAGCACGACCTCCGCGTTGAGCATGTATAAATATGAGTACGTACCGAGCCAGGTGACGGCGTCCCGCACGCTCTGCACGGAGCCGAGCACGACCTCCGCGTTGAGCATGTATAAATATGAGTACGTACCGAGCCAGGTGACGGCGTCCCGCACGCTCTGCACGGAGCCGAGCACGACCTCCGCGTTGAGCATGTATAAATATGAGTACGTACCGAGCCAGGTGACGGCGTCCCGCACGCTCTGCACGGAGCCGAGCACGACCTCCGCGTTGAGCATGTATAAATATGAGTACGTACCGAGCCAGGTGACGGCGTCCCGCACGCTCTGCACGGAGCCGAGCACGACCTCCGCGTTGAGCATGTCGGGCAGCTTGCTGACCAGCTGCGACTCGATCGGGAGCTGCTGGTTCAGCAGGGACAGGTAGTACTGCAGCTCCGAGTGGTTCGTGATCAGGATACCTGCGGGAATGTGTTTGGGAAGTCAACGTTAAATTATAACTTTAGTCTTGACGTGGTATTAAATCAAAACTCGTTCAGTAGTTTCAGCGTGGTTGACGGGCCAAGATCCAAACATACACACAAAGAACTTTTCAAATTAACTTTAAATCGCGAGTTATTCTTGTGAATATACTGAGAAAAGCTCTACTAGTTTCGAACCACAGAGAGGTTCTTCTTCATGAGCAGCGTGCGCGATCGCGGCGATGTCGCACAGCCCACTCAACCTAAACGCTTTGTGGGTCGAAACTAGTAAAGTATATTCACGTGAGTAACCCGCGATTTTTAGTTAATTTAGTATGTATCACGATCATTATTATACAATCGTTCACGTTAATTATAATATTATTGTTATAGTGTGATGTGCTCACCCTCTCCTTTCGTGTCGTACTGCGGCCGGCCGGCCCTGCCCAGCATCTGCAGCACGTCGAGCGCCCCCAGCTCTGCCCAGCGGCCCCGCTCGGGCGAGTACACCTGCGTGCCCTTGACGATGACGGTGTGCGCCGGCAGGTTCACGCCCCACGCCAGGGTCGCCGTCGACACCAGCACCTGCGGGGGGGATTGGCTATTTTAAATCTTATTTTACTAATTCTTATTCAAATAAAGTTGAAGATATGCAACATTTACTGATGGATTGTGTCCGGAATGAGCGGGAACGTGAGTTACTCATTAGAGAATTAAAACTTAATAAACTGGATGTAGGCTTAATACAGTCAATTCTGTCTTCACCATGTTCAGAAACCACAAAAAAAATTGTAATTTAGTCACAATAGGTACTTGATGAGTAACTCAATTTCTTTTCTTTTTATTGTAAGCAAAAATTTTGTATGTATTTGGTAGGTTACATTTTGTTAAAAGGTATGATGGGGTTGGCATATCAAAGATAAAAAATCCTTAAATAAAAAACAGATAAAAAAAATTCTTATTCAAGTGTGAAGACTGTATAAGGGGTCTAAGGTTAGATTCCACGCGTTTTATATCCGAAGTGGTAGCCAGAGACAATGTACAATGTGTGTTACATTATACAATGTAACAAGAATAACAAGTTTTTTGCTCTAATATCTATTCTTTTAAGTTTATTATAAGTATTTTGTTTATATATCTATATTTTTATTTTCTTATAAACTTTGCTTAGTCTGCTAATTGTCAAATAAATGTTTTTTCTTTCTTTCTTTCAAGTGTACCACTATTCACTATTTACGTTATGAGTATACCGGGTATGAGTATACCATATACCGGACACAATTTGAAATTCCGTGCAACAACTGAGATTTTTTTTAAAAACCCAGCAATACTTTGCCCGACCCGAGAATCGAACCCAAGACTCCTTGCCCGGCAGTCGCGCTAGCGACCGCTCGGCCAACAAGACAAGGAGATATATTTAAACACATATCCAAAAATAATTTCACCTGTATATGTCTATCGGCGAACAGATCTTCAACAAGAGTCCTGTCGACCCTGCTCATCCCGGCGTGATGTATAGCAAACCCGTACGGCAGCAGCTCACGTAGTTCCGGGTTCTTTACCTGCTCCGCCTCTGTACGGAGCACTTCCATGCTTGCCGAGCCTTCCCTGTGGAACAATATTGAAGGGATATAAGAAAAAATATAATATGTTAATTAAGTGTGGGGTCGCCATGCTTTGCCATAGTGAAACAATACTTGCGTTGTGTTTTGTCGTGTGATTAAGGTTACCGGAGGCCCAATTACCCCCAGCCCCACTATCCTAATCTCCTCAATCCCCGAATCCACAACTGAATTAATTAAATCCACAATTAATTTTTGATGATTGTGAAAGTCTCAATAATTCGCCAGCCGGTAGGATTCCGAGCCAACCGTGGGGGAAGAGGGAAGTGATACCACGAACTTGCCCTCTTCATGCTCCGCAGTAACCGTGCCGGAGCGACCAGTTTCGAGATCTAATACATTATTGAGAAACATTCCTCCCGTAGATTATAAGCCTTATTTGTAATATTTAATTTCATTATGATCCTTATTGATATTTGTGTCAAATAGGGGAGGAAATGTTGTGTATTTGTTATCTGTGGAAGTAGATTACTGGCCACTTGTGATGACAATACTTTATGCTTGTATATTGTCTATGCTATGTTAAAAGGAATAAGACAGTGTGCTAATGGCGGTCTGCAGTTTTAGTTGTTCCTGCATGTAAACATTATATACAACAACAACAATCCTCAAATTCCTAATCCCCAAAAGGCCGGTAACGCACTTGTAACGCTTCTAGTGTTCCGTGTGTCCATGGGCGACGCCGATTGCTTACCATCAGGTGATCCGTCTGCTCGTTAACCGGCTTATAGCATAAAAATCACAATCAATATTGGTGATCTGACTTAGATGAAATATTTGCTCAACTGCCAAGCAAAAAGTTTTGATTCAATTAGCGGATAGGTAGGTAGATTTTTGGGAAATCTATCACACACTACAACCTCTCAAAACTGCTGCACAAACCATTATTTTATGAAGCAATAGGTCTACTTTTTTTAATGGAAATAAACTACCACCGACAGTTACTCATGTCCCTGGGACGTTGGACTTCAGTGTCCCGGTGTCTTCATGGTTGTATCTCCTGTAGATCCTAGCTTACGGGAGTTGCAGCAGTATTGGGAGGTTGTGGCGGGCTTGTCTCAAAAACAAATAGTTATGAAAAGATTTGCCAAAAACAAAATTGCCGTGCCTATGGATTTGGTGATACAAATGGTTTTTATTTTTTGTTTTATTTTATCATAGCTACACTAAAGAATGCTTGTATTACTCCAAGTTACTACGACCACAATGTTTTCGTTGTCACCCTAAATAAATCGTATGTTAACGCCTTGAATTTCTTGATAGACCACTTGAGATCCTGGCCTACAGGAATTGCAGCGGTTTTGGGAGGTTGTGGCAGGCTTGTCCCTTAAAAATAAAAAACTACCACCGGAACTGACCTGAGGAACTGCCCGAGCGTATCCTTCTCTAGACACATGTCTCTGATAGCGCGCGCAGTCTTGCCTGTCTCCTTACGGGAGTGCACAAACACTAGGATCTGGAATGGAAATGAAAACAATACTTTTAACATCATCTATCTTAGGAGGCAGATCTCTTCTTTACTCGGATGGGCAATTATATTTTGAGAATAAAAAAATGGCTGTATATTATAATAATGATAATGCTTCAACTTTGATAATAACATAACATCACGCCTTTCTTTCCCGAAGGGGGAGGGAGAGGTGCACATTACGGCACTTAATGCCACTGTACAATGTAACACCCACTTTTCACTATTTTATGTTATGAGTCCCATGTAATAGGGAGTGAACCTTAAGAAAATAATACATATTTATATTATAAGAATAAATAATACATTATTTATTGTCCTTAAAGTTATTTTCTTTTTCTATCTCTTTGACTGGATTTTAGTGTTACATTGTTCTCGCACAATCCAAACAACAAAACTGTGTAACTAGATAATTGTATTATAAACCCGATTGAAAAAGAGTAACCTATGTAGTTTCTTGCTCGTTCTTCTCCATAGGAATCTACACCTTGGAATGAGCAACTAGCTTCACTTCAAAATTTTTGTTGTTGACGTTCAAAAGTGCCATTCTGATCTAATTAAAATAAATGATTTTGACTTTGACTGTAGTCGTTAAAATGAAAAATACGCTAGTGGCTTCGGTTCTTTTTTCCTAAGTACATTTTAATACCAAAATAATTAGTATACACACCTGATTCCTGCCAGCATGTTCCATGGTCTTCTCGTACACTATATCGTTCATGACCTGGAATCGCTTCAGCGCCTTCTTTTCAGTCACACCTATGTACTGCTGTTCTAGGGCTACGGGTCTGAAAACATAATAAAATTATATGAGAACTGCTGGGCCGGCTCGACCGGAGTGATATCAACAACGAGCAGAAAACCTTAGTTGTTTTTTTTTGTTTTGTTTTTTAAAAAACGTTGCCCCACACTAGGATTATCTCCTGTGTCGTAGGTGCGTTTACAAACATACAAGTTCACATACACATGACACCCAGACCCGGAACAACAATTTGTGGATCACACAAAGTGTTGTCCCGTGCGAGAATCGAACCCGCGACACGTTGCACGGCAGCCGGTTGCCCAGCTACCGCACCAACCGTGCAGCCTAGTGAAACAATACTTGCGTTGTATTTCGTCGTGTGAGTGAGGTTACCGGAGGCCTAATTACCCTCCCCTTCCCCAATCTCCCCAACACTCAAATCCCCAACAATCTTAATTCCTATTCCCCAAAGGGCCGGTAACGCCTCTGGTGTTCCAGGTCAAAACAGCGCTGTTTCACGTCATGTGGGTGAGGTTACCGTAAGCCATATTACATCCTTCCTAATCTCCCCAACCACTGAATCCTCAAATCCCTAATCACCAAAAAGCCGGTAACGCAATTATAACGCCTCTAGTGTTCCAGGTGTCCATGGGCGACGCCGATTGCTTACCATTTTTTTTTGTTTTATATTTGATGGGCCGACGTTTGCCCACTATCTCGACTGGTGGTGCGCGATGATACGGTCTACAATGGAGCACGTCGTCCCATAAGCAACCTATTCACTCGGGCCTTGAAGACTCCCAGGTTATATATACCCTTCACGAAATACAGACGCTGGCAAAGAATTCCACTCCTTAGCAGTACGCACAAGGAAGCTTGAAGCGAAGCGCTTCGTGCGTGTGGGCGGAACATCTACCATGAATCGGTGACGCTTCGCCGATGTCTTGTGGTACGATGATGGAAAGGACTAGGGGGAATCAAGTTGTGCAATTCCCCCATCAGGCGATCCGTCTGCTCGTTTACCGGCTTATCCCATAAAACGAAGTAATAATTTTACCTGAATGAGTTGTCAAAATAGAAGAGTCCCTGGTCCGGCTTCACACGCAGGAAGGCGGCCACGTCGGTGTAGTTTGGCAGCGTGGCTGACAGACCAACTAGACGAACCTGTTACGGACATAGAATCTATATTAATAAAAATGAATTTCCGTTCGTTAGTCTAAACAAATATAATATTGTCTAATCTACATATTTATTTTACTTATTATTATTTGACTACTTCGTTGTCTGAGTGGTCGCAAGTGCGACTGCCGGGCCAGGGGTATCGGGTTCGATTCCCGAGTCGGGCAAAGTATTACTGGGTTTTTTAAAAATTCCCAGTAGTAGCACGGAGTCTGGAAATGTGCCCGGTATATGGCAATAGTCTCATCCCCTATTACATGGGACTCGTAACATAAATAGTGAAAAGTCGGTTTTGCTTTGACTTTGAAGTATCGTGTGACGTCACAATTAACTACATTTTATAGGGTAGCGTGACGTAACGACCTCTCACTCCTAAACTTAACTCCGTTTTATCTAAGTATTGTTTTATTATACGACAAAATAAAAAAATACGTGTCTAATATTTTTTTATTTTCCAACTGACGGACTAAATACATTTTTAATTTTCATACACTGTCTACTACCCTATTTATAAATATTTTTTTCTCTTTACCTCCTCCTGAGTCTGCTCGACCGTCCTCAGCGTCCTGGCGACGAGTGCCTCCAGAACTGGCCCTCGCTCGTCGTGGAGAAGGTGGACCTCGTCAATGATGATCAGGCGCACCAAGTTTGTGAAGGAACGCTCGCCACCTGGGGAGATGTAGATTATTTTGTATGAAAGGGCATTGACTAAAATTGGTGCCTTTCTTTTTTCTGGCGGCAGTCAATGATTTATGGAAAATATTATCTAGAATGTCATTACAAACGAAATTGTCTATGGGCTCACATATGGAAATCTCAGTCTGGACTGAGTTATAAGCGTTGAAAGGAACTGGAATCAAACATTTTACTTTCGTTTTTTTATTCAAATTATTCATATTTTTGTCATAATTCCTAACTTCAAATTGCGCACCACTGTACGCCGGGCACAGAAACACCAAATTACACCACAATATATCCATATTGCCAGTCGCTAATTTTTATTAGCTATTTTCTCTCAGTCGATAACTTGTGGGATACTTCTTCTAGGAGTTGTGTCATGAAGCTTCATGAGTGTCAGCTGTGGTACTATTGGTGGGTTGAGTAGTTGTTAGCCGTTCAAACATCTAATAAAGTATTTTTGCCGTTGACTCCTGGTGGGAGACTCATCTACTTTATTGTTAGCATAATCTTTTGAAGAAAGCAAACCGTCGACTTTGTAAAGTGATGGACTTTACGTCAGATAAGCGCATAATTTTTTCATATAATGTGATCATTCGAATTGCATCACTTTGTGAATGACGATGTCTTTGTACAGATTCTTATGCTAGATGTAGATTAAAGTATTAAACTGTAGTTAGATTAGTTACTAATCGGAAGTAAGTCGGGAGAAGTAGACAGAAAAATGATTTTTCATGTTTTTGACGACTGTTACTACTCAATTCCGCTACCGACGCCGCAGCTGACAAACATAGCATTTCATGATAGGGCTAGTAAAGTATTTTGCGGGTTTTTGACTGAGAGGAAATTGACCATGAAAATCTGTCATAGGCCATAAACCGTATACATATAAATTGAACACGCTAACCAATCAAACGAAATGTTTTTTTTTTCTTCAGCAGTGGTCAGTTAATGGTTCACTCTGTTCTGATTCCGTGGCCTTATAACAAAAAAATAAAAAATAAAAAAAAGAAATAACAAACAAAAAAAAATTATTAGGTATAAAAGTCCACAATAAGCTTTATTATATTCCTTGAAATCGTCTATAAACATTTATTACAAAATATTTCTGACAAGTAAATGAAGAAATATGCGTTGTGTACGGTCACCATCAACAAAATCACAGGATTATATAGCTCTATTTTCACATCTTTGAACTGATTTAACTCGGTTTGGACTGTGTTTTTGATATAAGACCCCATACATTTTTTTGTTTTTAATGTTATTCTGCATCAGTTTATCCACATCCGATCAACTGCCGCGAAAAAATGAAAAGGCACCACGCTCCATACAAATTTGGTCATTGTCATTTGATATAACTATCGTGAACTACCAAGAACCCCTCTGTGGTTCGAAACTAGTAGAGCTTTTCTCAGTATATTCACGTGAGTAACCCGCAATTTTAGTTAATTTAGTATGTCTCACGATAGTTATTATAAAAACATGAAATACGTTTCATAGTAGTCTCGAAACTTGGGCTTGTAATTTCTAATTACACGTTTGAAATCGCCAAACCGCATTGCGCAAACGTGGCGATTAATGCTCAAACCTTATCCGTGTGAGAACAGGCCTTTGGTCAGCAGTAGACACTTATAGGATGTTGATGATGACGATGATGTAAAACATACCTTTTCTAGTAATAATATCCCATTTCTCAGGCGTGCAAACAATAAGCTGTGTGGCGTCAATCTGCTCCCGAGTGAGCTGGTGATCCCCGGTCAGCTCCGAAACACGGAGGTTGTACGCTGACAGGCGCTTGCTGAAGGTACCGACCTGGAGATTAATAGTTTATGTTATTTTTGTACATTAGGTCAATCATTAAAACACGGCGATTTGAAAATAAAATATGTATTTAATTTAGTCATAATTAGACCTAAATATGTCTCTAAATAAATACATCTAACTATAATCCCCAATCAAATCTCCAAGTGTGGGGATTATCGAAATACCTGTCTAAATGCCAAACCTTCATTGCTCGTGATGATTATAATGATCAATAATGAAATATCTCACTATCTCCGCACAAGTGACCACATAGGACCTACACAAATCATCTAGAAATCATGCACATTGATTGGGCCATCAGTTATTTATTATTTATTATTACTTCTTCACGAAAGATAACAGTGAATGGCGGACTTAATGCCTTAAGGCATTCTCTGACAGTCAACCATAGGGAGGTGCAGAGAAATGAAGTGCTTGATGCGAAGCCAGAACACATAGAAAACCCATACAATAAATATAACAATATGATATATTATAAATCTAAATAGACATACATACTACATAATATATACTGCTAAACCAATACTTATACCTACTACATAAATCGTTGACAGGTTAGCTCAATAGTACCATAGTACCATATGTAATACTAGTACATCCAATCCAATACAGTATATCCTAAGAAGACTACACCCAAACAACAAAGGATGGCTCTAGCGGTTCACTAATAGTAATCCCCAACCAAATCACCAAGTATGGGGATTAACGAAAAACCCATCTACATATATAGTCTTAGTTTCTAATGACATATATAATTAATTAACTCACCATTTCCTGCACAAGTGACCGCATAGGAGCAACATAGATCATCTTGAAGTCGTGAACGTTGACTGATCCATCATCGTTGACATGTTTGCCCAATTCTCTGAGCAGACAAAGTAAAGCTACATTGGTCTTGCCCGCACCTGTCGGGGCACAGACTAGGAGATTTTCATCCGTTTCCAGAGCTGCTTTGCAGATTCGACTCTGTGAAGTAGACGATAAGGTTTAAAGTTAGTAATACCATATTTAGCGTAGAATATTGTCTTAATCACCACCTCTACTCTTCCTGTGGATGTCCTATACTCGACTAAAGGACATTAGAAAGAGAACAGACAGAAGATTATTAAATGGATCCATTTAAACTGTAATCTTCAACATGTCTGCCAAGTCTGGGGATTATGGGAAAACTGCTTATTTATATAGAGAAGACCATAGTCAAGCAGTGCACTGTCACAGGTAGTTAGTATTTATATTAATATGAATATTCTTTCAAATATGTATTATAATTTTTACAAAAATACTTTGAAGATTTTCAGATGACTTTGTTTACAAAAGCATAAACTGTACTATGCGGGAATCGAACCCGCGACACATCGCATCGTCCAGCCACTGCACGAATCGTACCATATTACCAAAATAAGACAAATAAACGAACCTGTATCCTGTTCAATGTCTTGAACCCCTCGAAGGCTGGCTGTGCGTATTTAGGGAGCTTCTCTATCGGTAACAGGGTCTCTCCTTCATCAAAAGGCTTGGGCTTCAAAGCAGGGACGTGGACTTCTTCGTAACCTGATGATGAATAGGATCAAGTAGATAATTATAATTCATTTATAAAGTACATTAAAAATACTGCCTCGTTGACTGGAAACCACCTCGTTCCTTCTCCTGCACGTCGAGCCGGAGCCCCGTTTACCCGTTAGGTTCTCCGCGACATCACTACCTCTACATAGTATAAAACAAAGTCGCTATCCGCCGTCTGCCTGTCCCTATGTATGCTTAGATCTTTAAAACTATTCAAAGGATTTTGATGCGGTTTTTTAATAGATAGAGTGATTCTTAAGAAAGCTGTATATGTAGATACATGAATATTAGAGAAACACTGATAAATTTAGAGGTTTCTAATGTGATGTCGTAAATTACATAAGCATTGCACCCGTGTGAAGCCGGGGCGGGTCGCTAGTATTTTTATTTATTGTGACAAGCCCGCCACAGCCTCCCAAAACCGCTGCAACTCCTGTAAGCCAGGATCTACAGTAGATACAACCATGAAGACACCGGGACACTGAAGTTCGGCGCGTCCCAGGGACATGAGTAACTGTCTTGGTTCCCGCAACGAAGTGAATCAGAAGATATTATAAGAGGAGAAGGAAAGAAACGATAGTTTCCCACTTAGTGGGTCCCTAGTATATGAAAAGACTATGCTAACCTTTCCTTTGCTTCCTGAAGGATCCAGGTGGCAACTGGCACCGTTTGTTAGCCATGAAGTGAGCTCCAGCTGCAAACATGAGCTCTTCCAGCTGTAACACTTTCCGGTTCCCTGTCACCTGACCCGTGGAGGATGTGGACTCAGGGTCTGATTTATGACGCTTTCTGGGCGCTTCGGATGATTGCTGTGATGTCTGCAAAAAATAAATAAGGTTTCTATATCATCATCATATCAAGTAAGGACAGAATGGAAAAGGTTGGAGGAGGCCTTTGCCGATTGGCAAACAGATCTGCAAATGATCACCAAACAACAAACAATAGATTAATTTTTAACTTTAAGTTGCTTTTAAATGTAAGTGTAATGTAATGAAAGTTAAGGATCTGAATAAAAGGCTATATTATTATATCATCATCAATAGCCGAAAGACGTCGACTGTTGGACAAAGGCCCTTGACCTTGTCGGTCCAGGTCGAACGACAACTCGCCACCTGCATCCACTAGCTCCCCGCAAGCAACTCTGGCGATATCGTCGGTCTCCCTAGCGAGAGGCCTTCGTCTTTCGAACCGTAGTCTCCACCATCCGTAGTAATGTTTTTTAAAAGAGTAACGAATGGAGTTTCTTGCTCGTTCTTCTCCACTCGAATCTACATTTTGGAATGAGCACCTAGCTTCACCTAGCTTCACTGACGGACTGACTGACAGACTATTATTTATTTTGTATTTGTTGACGTTTCATACATACATACATAACATCACGCCTTTTATCCCCGAAGGGGTAGGCAGAGGTGCACATTATGCCACTGTACAATGTAACACCCACTTTTCACTATTTATGTTATGAGTCCCATGTAATAGGGGGTCAGCCTATTGCCATATACCGGGCACAATTCCAGTCTCCATGCTACTACTGGGAATTTTTAAAAACCCCAGTAATACTTTGCCCGACCCGGGAATCGAACCCGAGACCCCTTGCCCAGCAGTCGCACTTGCGACCACTCGGCCAACGAGGCAGTGTTGACGTTTCAAAAGTACCAAATTATGGTTTAACTCGTCGAGTACCGGTTTTATAGACACAATTAAAGAACAATAGGTTGCGGTCACCGGTGACCGCTTGGTGTTTGACAGTTTAATTGAAATAAATGCTTTGATTTTGAACTACTAAGTCACCAGCTAGCTGGACCAGTAGTACATAGACAAGTTCCTTACCTCGTCATCCCCCTTCCCAGTCTCCAGCTGAGCTAGTATCTTCTGTAGATGCGGTTGTTTGGACATCTCCTCCCTGATGGCGGCGCGCTCGCTCTCCGACTGAGACGACGCTAGCTTCGTGCAGTATAGAACTGGGGAAAGATATATTGTACTATAGATTTTTTTGAGTATTTTTACAACTGCCTCGTTGGCCGAGTAGTCACAAGTGCCACTGCCGGGCAAGGCGTCTGGGGTTCGATTCCCGGATCGGGCAAAGTACTTCTGGGTTGTTTAAAAAATTCTCAGTAGTAGTACGGTGTCTGGAATTGTGCCCGGTATATGGCAATAGGTTCACCCCCTATTACATGGGACTCATAACACAATTAGTGAAAAGTGGGTGTTACATTGAACATAATGTGCACCTCTGCCTACCCCTCCGAGGATAAAAGGCGTGATGTTAAGTTGGCGTGTCCCCAATATAACACCCACTTTTCACTATTTATGTTATGAGTCCCATGTAATAGGGGGTGAGCCTATTGCCATATACCGGGCACAATTCCAGACTCCGTGCTACTACTGACAATATTTTTAACCCAGTAATACTTTGCCCAGCCCGGCAGTCGCACTTGGGACCACTCGGCCAACGAGGCGGTCAGCCAAATAATCAACTACAAAAGAATTCTCACCTGTATACCGATACTTATTTAAAAGCTTCACGAATTCAAAACAGTCATATCCCAATAGCAAAACGAGCCTATTCTCCAGGTCCCTATCATCGGCCGCCTCTCCCAAAGCCGTGAGGACTTCGGAGGACTTCGCCTGGGACACCATCGCGTCTGGGAAGTGACGGGAGAGGCGACGCTGGAGCCAGTAGGCATCTATATCCATTGGGTGGAGCGTCGCGTCCCTTCGTTTTTGTGTTTGTTCTTCAGTTAGCTGTCGACAAAATAAATAAATTAATATCATCATCATTTGTGTATTTTCTTTTATTTACTAGCTACTTCCGCACGGTTTCACTCGCTCTGCCCGACGCCTATTAATCGTAGCGTGATATTTTATAGCCTATAGCCTTCCTCGATAAATGGGCTATTCAACACAAAAATAATTTTTCAAATCGGACCAGTAGTTTCGGAGATTAGAGCGTTCAATCAAAAAACAAACTCTTCAGCTTTATAAGAGTAGTATAGATTTATTAAGGTACACAACACAGACAATACACAGAAAAAAATATACATATATAACAAAACAGCCTATAAGTGACCACTGCTGAACATAGCCTCTTCTCACACGGAGAAGATTTGAGCATTAATCACCACGCTTGCTCAATGCGGGTTGGCGATTACAAACTTATAATTAGAAATTATAAATCCAGGTTTCCTCACAATGTTTTCTTTCACCGTTTGTCAGTGGTGTCTAGATAATCTTAGAAAGTACATATAACTCGCAAAAGTCACATTGGTACTTGCCGTTGGTAGGTTTCGAACTTGCCCTCATGTATGAGAAGCATGCATTTCGTCGTATGATTGAGGTTACCGGAGGACCAATTACCCGAATCTAAACTCTGAATCCCAACAATCCTCCAATTCTTAATCCCCAAAAGGCCGGCAACGCACTTGTAACACTTCTAGTGTTCCGGGTGTCCATGCACGGCGCCGATTGCTTACCATCGTTGCTTCGTCTGCTCGTTTGCCGCCGCTATTAGGTAGTAGAATCTGGAGGACAAAAAAGTACATAAAAAAGGAAAAGAACCCAAATACTTACGTTAGCATGTATAGCGTTCCTCTTGCCCTCTGCATCGCTGTCCTCGTCAGCACTGCTGTCTTTCTCCTTCTCATTCTCTGAACCCTCACCATCCTCTTTGTCCTCCTCACGAACCTGTAAATAAAATGAGAATCATAGTTATCTAATCCTGTAGGAAATCTTTCTACAGACGTTACCGTCTGTCAACCAGAAAGCTCTACAAACGTTAAAGTCTATCAACCAGAAATCTATAGATGTTAACGTCTATAAACCAGAACTTTCTATGGATGTTAACATCTGTAGAGTTCAGTGAAAGAGCCATGCTTAGGCACTGTTGGACTGGTTCGACCAGAGTTCTTATTATTGCACTGGCGTGAAACAACGATTTATCGTGATCCCCATTAGGCAAAGCACTAGTAATTCCTCTGGTGTAGCGGGTATCCATGGGTGGCACGGATTGCATGGATTGCTTATCATCAGAAGATCTGCATACTCCTTTGCCAAGTGTGGGAGAGCCATGCTTCGGAACAAATAGGCCGACTCGACCGGAGGGATACCACGGCCGAGCAGAAAACCATAGTGAAACAACTCTTGCTTTGTGTTTCGTCGTATGAGTGAGGTTACCGGAGACCCAATTACCTCCCACCCCCCCCAACCTCCCCAATCCCCGAAACCCCAATAATCCTCAAATTCCTAAATCCAAAAGGCCGGTAACGCACTTGTAACGCCTCTGGTGTTCCAGGTGTGCATAGACGACGCCGATTGCTTACTATCAGGTGATCCATATGCTCGTTTTGCGGCTTAACACATAGAAAAAAAACATGGAACTGCTCTCACCTCTCCGTAAGCATCCTCATCATCTTCCTCGGAGGACTCCTCGAACTGCACGTTGATGCCGTAAGTCTCATCTATCTCACTGTTGCCCTCCGCTGAGGAACTGATGTTGAAGTCTGTGATCTTCTTGCCTGTAGACATATTATATCGCTGTTATTGAATTGAATACTTATCGCAATTTCTCGCCATGCTGTGTAATCCAGACTCCATGCTATTGCGATATTTAAAAAACAATCAAATTAATACTGTTTCAGCTGACCTGAGCATTTTTAAAATAAATAGTTAAAAATCAACTAAACAAGCATGTATTTCACTGTAAAATGGGGTGTCCATGGGCGGCGCTGATCGCTTACCATCAGGTGATCCGTCTGCTCGTTTGCCTCCTATTCCATAAAAAAAAACACCCTTTGTTCCACTATCAGGTAAACATAACACCATGTTCAATAACAAGACTAAAAAGGTACAGAATGCAAACTTACCCAAATTAACAAGCAAAGCAAATCTCTCATCGGCAACAGGTCCGAGCAGCATTTCAATCTCCTTTTTCTTCTCCGGATCCTTCAACTTATCATTCTTTAGCACGACCAGCACTTCATCACATGCTCCGCATAGAATATCTCTCGGCTGGTCTCCAAGAGCACTCTGCATGAATGTGAGGAGCATTTCGTAGGCATGCCTTGTGTGTTGTGCTCTTGGTCGGTACAGGACTCCTGGAGTATCATCAGCCCATGCTACCCGGGATGTTTTAGATTTTGATAGCTCATAGGATGCTTCATCTCTTTTCTGTCTCCTGTTAAGAAAAATGATGGTGAATTAAAGCATTTATTTGAATCTTGAGGTAGTCGATAGACTAGCTACTTTGATACATCAATGTAGAATTGTCCTTCAAAGTAGGCTCCCATATTTTTGATAACCGTAAAGTCAAAGTCAAAATCATTTATTTCAATTAGACCAGGAAGGCACTTTTGAACGTCAAAACAAAATATTTAAATAATAAGAAAAAATGTCAGTCTGTAGGTCAGACCTCTAGTGAAGCTATGTATTTGCAAAGTGTAGATTCCTATGGAGAAGAACGAGTAAGAAACTGCATAGGTTACTCTGTTTCAATTATGTTTACAATACAATTTTTGGTTACACCTAGTGTGAACCTATCATTATTCGTCCAATAGGGAATTAGGTAGTGTTACATCATTGGACGTTTAATATTTGATAACTGCTGTCAATGGACAAAACCTTTCTACGTACATTTGCGCTATTTGGTGACCAAAAAACGTTAGCCCCCATTGCTTTGTCAGGGAATGTTTGTGGTAGCACTGTGCAATTAAGCATGTTTTTTTTTATACTTGATAGGTTGACGTTTGACTACCATCTGGCCTGGTGGTAAACGACGATGTGTCGGGACTTGTTCTACAATATAACAAATGTGCATGTTTCATAATAATTGAAATTATTGCGAAAAAAAATCTTGATTAAGAATATAAAAATTTTAAGGAAACCGCGAATTCTGTCCGGACTAAGTAACACTATTCTGTGCTTCTATCATTTTATAGTCACAAGACAGTTTAATAGTGTAAGAAAGTTGGCTGTCTACCCTTAGAGTGTGTTTACAAACATTTCTCATGGATATTAGCCTAAATGTAGACAGAAATCAATTTTATGACAAAGTTCTGATAAGCAAAAAAAACTAGGGTGCTTACTTGACTTTTCGTTCCTCAGTTTTGTCAGGCTTCGTGCGCTGAGCCCTGTCTCCCATACGTGTGCCACCAAGCTTCCCTGACAGGGACAACACCTCGCCTGTAGCCTCATCACGACCACGACGCTCTATAAGGCGTACGTCAGCTTGTAACACCAAGTTCGAGTTCTAGAACAAAATAAAACGCAAATTGTACAATAACCTTCAAATTAAATAAGTAATTTATTCGTTATATTGACTTTAGACTAGGTTTAAACTATATTTTTATCGAAAATCATACTGAAATTGCACAATATCAAGGAAAATTATGCAAAAATATTATTAGCAAAATAAAAACTTACGGCTTTGTATTCATATTGCAACTGTCTAGCAGCCGCGTCAGCCATGATTATTTACTTATTTTAAACACAATTCACTAACATTTATTCACTAAGTATAGTTTTAATTCACTATTTTTCACGAAAACACAACACAAAACAAAAATTGTTAGGTTATGGTTATGCCGCCGTTGTCAGTAGCCATTTTTTGCATAGATTAAAAATCGTTTTGAAACGTTTCTATTTTGGATAAAAGGTTTTTTAGATATTCTTTCAAAAAAAAATCGTTTCAGAAATCATTAGTATCCTTATGTTGGCAACAACATTTTTCTTTTTCAATGATTATGTAATCTGATAAAAATGTAAACAAAATAAAATTTAGCGCATTCTGATTAACTTAATGAAAGCTTAACACATTCGATTGTTTATTTATGTAGAAACATAAGGGTTTTAGTTACAAACACAACATGACTAACGTTTTTATCGATTTTTGCATACTTTGACTAACAATATACACAGATATTATGCAATGAAATTGATTCATAATTAAGTGATTAATTTAAGACATGTTTATGAATGACATTACTACCTCTCGTAGATATTGACTATTATCATTATTACGAATTACGATTACGACCACGACCACTCTCGGTTGAGAGGTTGATGACCGACGGTCATTGACGTCACATGACGTATGTGTTTAGCATTGCAAAAAATGAATCAGAATCATATGACTGTTTTTATCGATTATTTATAATGTATGAAAAGTCTATGAGAGATCGTTTCTTATGTCAGTAGTAAAATAATATTATGCCTTGTAAACTTCAAAGAAGTATCTATCTAGACGGCCTCCTGTTGAATCAGCTTATGACCTTAGCGTTAGCTTTTATAATACTTTGATGTTTAACACGAAGGAGGATAAAGTAGGACGTCACATGTATAATTAATAAGCAAATATGTTTTAAAGGGGGAGGGGACCCATTGATATTCAATTAGTATAATTTCAAACTTTTGATACAAAAAATTTATTATGCTATGCCCGGTTAGGGTTTGGCTCACGCCAAGTCAAGGCTCGGGCTTATACTCGAGAACGCAGTCCCGTACCAGAGTACGAGTATGCCTGATATTATCAGATCTAAAAGTTAGGCGGACAATTTCCAAAAACCATAACCATATTTCAATGCGTTATCATAATAGTGTAATAAGAACTAAATATTACTTTGAAAATCAAGTATAGGTACATTAGATAGTGAGAATCACGAAGAAAGTATTTTCACAACAAACTTGAAATGTCATGTTCACGTTTCAAAGTTTACAAACACAGTCACGTGATGTAAACATTGACATGCGCTCGCACATGCACGATGCGGCGCGCGATGCGACTCGGCGACGACACGCAACGGCGACTGGTCGACAACCATTTCATTTCTTGAGGTTGCCCATATTGCAGTGCCCTTATTATATTACGTAGGTTAACGAAATAGCCGAATTTTACACATTTTTACAAAGATTTCTACCTTCAGTTGAGGTTGTCACTGTTCAAAACCGAATTGGAATGGAAGCCCTTTTCTTGAGATAGTTTGTATATTTAAGTACATTCTTTTCCGAATTGAATCATTAGTAGCTACATTTTTTGGGCTTTTCACTATCCATAATAATATTTTATTCATATTTTGGAAAACTTTCTGTTAAAGTTGATTGACAAGACCGTTTCCGGAAAAAATATCGCAAAAACGCCTAATTCCGCTTCAGCCCTAATTTATTGATCCTTAAAAAGAGCTACGAATATACAATTAACATAAGTGCGAGGAAGATAGCAATAAAATGAGAGTGTAGTAGTGATGTGCGTGAATCACCCACCAGCCTACAAAATAAGGTTCACTTCTGTCATGGAAGCACATAAACAAACATCGGCGAAATAAATGTGATAAAAAATGGCGGCTCCGTCGAACGGTAGTGGTAATTTAGTAGAAGAATTTGAAGAATCCTTTCAGGTGAGTCGAATTTTCTGAAAACAAATCATATTTTCATCAAGTTTTGTGTTTAATTTTGCATTTCATTCATAACCTCTACGAAATAGGTTTATTCACAAACGTCAAACTACGATAGTACAATGCTTGTGTACCAACCTAGCAAATCTAATCTAATCGTGGCCGGTGTTCCCATTGGTTGAAGCTTCGTATGCTAAATAAAATCGGCAGTCCAAGAAAGTCGAACAACATTCGTGTGTACGTGACAAAAACCACCATACGAAGCTTCTATTAGTTCGCGACTGTCGTGAAGGGATTTTGTTGCAAGCGCATCTCTCGATCGTGTCGGCCATTTTACTGATAATGTTTTCACATCGTTACGAGAGGTCTATCGCGTGTTTATTAATTGAATTAGTGAACTGAGAATTGTAAGACATTATGTTATATCGAGTTGTTAATCAATAAAAACGTGGACATTTAATGAACTATGGTGTAATAGTGACTGAAGTGTGATGAAACTTACTTGATTGATTTTTGGTGTTTGTGATAATAAAAACCACAATGTCGGTGGCTGGTGATGATGTTGGTGTCTCTTCGAACGGGATGGCTATACAAGTATTCCGCCCTACATGGGAGGAATTCAAAGATTTCAACAAGTATATCCAATACATGGAATCGAAGGGTGCTCACAAGGCAGGGCTCGCTAAAGTGATTCCTCCGCCGGAGTGGGTGCCTCGTAAGTCTGGGTACGACCTAGACCAGCTGAACGTGACGATCCCGTCGCCTATATGCCAGGTAGTGACTGGCAAGCAAGGTTTGTTCCAACAAATTAATATACAGAAAAAGGCCATGACTGTGAAGCAATTCGCCGTGATGGCGAACTCTGCGAAGTACTGCACGCCTCGTCACACCGGCTATGACGACTTGGAAAGGAAATATTGGAAGAATGTCACTTATGTGGCTCCTATATACGGAGCCGACGTGAACGGCAGCATCACAGACCCTGACGTAAAGGAGTGGAACATCAACAGCTTAGGCACAATCCTTGATTTCGTAAACTCTGACTATGGCATAGAAATCGACGGAGTTAACACTGCTTACCTTTATTTTGGTATGTGGAAGACCACATTTGCGTGGCATACAGAAGACATGGATTTATACTCTATAAACTATCTACACTTTGGGACCCTAAGACATGGTATGCAATCCCTCCAGAACATGGGAAAAGGTTTGAAAGAATCGCTTCCGGTTTCTTCCCGACTTCAGCTAAAACTTGCCAGGCTTTCCTAAGACACAAGATGACTTTGATATCCCCTCAAATCCTCAAGCAATATTCAGTTCCTATTAATAAGATTACACAAGAAGCCGGCGAGATTATGATTACATTTCCTTATGGTTATCATGCCGGTTTCAATCATGGTTTTAATTGTGCTGAATCTACAAATTTTGCCGCTCCTAGATGGGTGGAATATGGCAAACGAGCTACTCAATGTACCTGCAGTAATGATATGGTTAAGATTTCAATGGATACCTTTGTCAAACGGTTCCAACCTGATCGTTATGAATTATGGTTAAAAGGACAAGATATTGGTTGTCACCCAGAACAGCCAGAGAAAATGGTTCCTGCTCCTCATCCTTCTGGCCAAGATATTTTATGTAATAAAAATAATACTGAACTACCAGAATCGTTTATTGCGGCTGAGGAAGAAGGGCTTAAGAAAAAGAAGAGGCATCCTCTTCATTTGAAGCGAGCAATGGCTAGTAAAAGTATATCAGAAGGTGCCATCGCTGTCTCAATCCTTGGCCACGATGTTATGGATGATGATGAGATGACTATGGCTGAAGGTGACTTAGACATGATGACTTCAATGAAGCGCCCTATAATGCCTCTACAACCAGATGAAACCCAACTCGATGCTCTCGAAGATATTTGGCTAAAAGGAGATGAAATGGACCCTTCCGAAGCTCAGCTTCCAGATGTAGGCTACATGGATTCTGACAAAGATTCAGACTATGAAGCACCAAAAAATAGAAAGAATTCTAAAACACGGAAAAAGCGTAAAGATAGCATCAAAAAAGAAGGAAAAGTCAAGAAAGAAGTTAAAGATGAAGGAGACAGTAAACCGAAAGATGGTGAAGAAGAAAAACAAACAGAGAAAGAAAAAGACTCGACTACGGAGAAAAAGAAGGCGTTTGTACAGAGGAGAGGCAAAAAGGTGAAATCAAAGAAACTTTCCGAGGAACAACTTGAAACTATGGCTGCTCTAGTCTCTAATTGGGAATCTCCTCCACATGTTGAAGAGGAAATCCCGATATTCAAACCTGCACCAGATATCGTTGATCCTCTGACCACAGGCACTAGTGACACTACAGCCCAACCACCACCACAGACCTCTACCCTTCCAAGCACAGTAGCTACGCCAGTCGTCATTAAAAAAGAAACCAAAAAACGAAAATCGCCTAAAACTGATACTGAGAAAGTTGATAAACCTAAGAAAGAGAGAAAGAAGAGAGAGCCAAAACCTAAGAACCCAGACGCTCCTGTGAAGGAGAAGAAGCCACGAAAACCTAGGACACCTAAGAAGATACCCAGTACTTATGAGTACAGCTCTCCAGTCGAGCCTGTGATGTCCAGACCACATCAGTCCTACAAACCGGCGACAGTCACGAAGCCTGCCTACCAAATGACGGACATGACACTCCCTTCTCCATCTAAGTCATTATCACCACCAAAACCTGTTACTCCTGGGCCAAAACCTGAAAAGACCTACTCTGCCATACTTTTAGACCCTAGTTTACGGGTCCCGAAAGTTATACCACCCTTAAATAAGAATCCTAGTGCGTTTGAAGGGGAGTTCCATAAGTTTATGACCAAGAAGACCGAATCTCCGCCCCACCCTCATAGACCGTCCGTACCGCGGAGACCTACGCTTAAAGCTTCACCGCCAAATACTAAAGTAATTGTCGAGAGCGTTGAGTCTCCTCCAGTACCGCAAAGAGAACATGAATGGTCAATGCCGGTCGGACAATATAACGATTCAATATTCGTTAACTCACCTTTAGACTATAGGACGTACACCGGATCTGGTATGCAAAGGTTACAGCCTCCAGCCGACAGAAGTCAATGGAGACCAGATCTGTACCAGCAGAATCCTATGCCCAGTCCCCATATGCCCAATTCTCATATGCCTAATTCCCCCACGCCTCCCATGTACTCCCAAATGACAAATAATTACTTTAGGAGTCCATACCAGTCACCATGGCAATACGGTTATCAGAAATAAACAGTATTTTTCTAGTTAGGTCTTAGGTAATAGTGTGTCTCAGTTCTGCAATGTTTCGAAGCCTTTTCGCTTCTGAAGGTGGTGATAGGTACTTAAATGGAGAATATAGTTACGCAAATTTATCTTTATTCCCATAGAATCTGCACATGTTACATATTGTTAATGTTTGTACCGATAGCAATGTATAATATATGTTTTTATCTACACGATATTGTCATAAAATATCTATATTTTCCTAACTATTCTTGTATTTCAATCAAATTTCGTAAAATGCAGTTGATTCATATTTATAATGCAATTACACAGAGATATATAATAAATATGTATTAATATTATAATTAAATAATTATTAGTAAAAGGCAGCAATAAATAGATAGTTTAAAGTTTCTTAACACTGCAAATTGAGACGTTAATTATATAAATTGATATCGTTTGATCTAATTTAAGTAAACATGTTTTATAGGGCACCCTTCATTAATTACCTTAATGCATTATTAAATTAGTGGTTAGACATTTTCCGAAATAATTACTTCACCTGGAAGACCCAAGGTCTCATTGGTCGAGTGGTTGTAAGTGCGACTGCCGGGCAAGGGGTCTTGGGTTCGATTCCTGAGTCGTGCAAAGTATTACTGGGTTTAAAAAAATCTCAGTGGCAGCACGGAGTCTGGAATTGTGCCCTGTACCTATATGGCAATACGCTCACCCCCTATTACATGGGACTCATAACATAATAGTCAGTGGGTGTTTTACATGGTACAGTGGCATTAATTGTCGCAATGTGCACCTCTACCTACCAATTCGGGGATAAAAAGGCGTGATGTTAGACCCAATGCCTGTTATAATGTAAAAATATTTATACCGTATTGATCTGTTTTTTGGAATTATGTCTAACTAAAATCGCGCAAATATTATGAAGAATTTTACCATTAAAATTCTGAGTTAGATACTCAGAATTTTAATGGTATACAAAAAAATTACATTAGCATTATTTTCAGAAATTATTGGGGTTAAATAACGATGTATACTTAAACTAGAATTGACGATATCTTACTAATTATACTAGAATAATTTATTTATCTTTAAAATTAAATTCCTTAGAACACCGTAATTGTAAATTTCTATTAGCCAGTATGACGACTGATTATAAGCGTTTGATTAAATATCACAATGTTTCTCTTTTAAGTTTGTATAAATTATAATTAATGTAGTAACTATCGTCTCGTCAAAAATTCACCGAAACCATAAATAATGAATCGGCTTTAATAGTTTGAAAATTGACCTAGTGTCTAGAATCGTGGCTAGTATAATCGCCGAAATAAATTACCGATTTTAATTGAAAATATCTGAATCGATATAATGTCTAAAATCGTCAGCAAAGTTTTGGATCATGGTCGGTAATTATTTCGCACAAATTTACGTGATTTTAGTAATTATATAATTGAGTTATAATATGTCAACAATGTTTTTTCAAAATGGGATTATATTTTAGCGGTTTTGCGATGCGTCTGTTTTTACCCGACTGCGCCAATAGGAGGGTTTCGTTTGTATTTCTCGGGTGTCCATTTGATGTGTATCTAGTACCTTTAGTTATGTAGTTGGTGAGTTATACGTCAGATTTAAGATTTTATTTATTTTTATGTATAAAACAGGATAATATACAAAAGTTTGAGGAAAAAAATAAGAGGTATACTTCACCGATTTCAATTCGAAATTGAGTTAAAAAGAAATACATTACCGATCAATCTAGATGTTTCAAGGAATGTATGTCAAAAATCGGCATTAATTCAAAGATTTTCAATTAAAATCGGCGATTGTACCGATGGTACTCGCAAAAACAGTTATAGAAAAAAATGACGTATAACTTGCCTTTTCAGCTTTATTTTAGTCGTAATTAGTATTAATTTAAAATATAAGAGTTTTTTTTTACAATTGACAGAATTAAAAAGGAAGTGAAAATTTTTATTTCAAGTTACTATAAGATAGCGCAAAGCGATTCTGTAACATTCATTCTATGATGGAAATATATTATTTTAAATCATTTTTTGTTTTCTTGAATCAATTCATTTCTCCAACAACTGCTGATTTTTATGTTACTTTCTTCTCCACTCCAATCGACATTTTGGAACGAGCGCCTAGCTTCACTGGCGGACAGACTGACAGACTATTATTTATTTCATATTTGTTGACGTTTCAAAAGTATCAAATTATGGTTTAATTGAGATAAATTGTTTTGAGTTTGAGTTTTATGAAAAGTTTTAGACCATCCATTGATATAAAAAACCGACTTCAAAAACCAAAAACTAATAACAAACAAACAGTCAATACTAAAAAGCTAAAAATAACTATTATTAGTACTGATAGGTTACCCACCCACTGATAGGTAAGAAGTCGGTGCCATAAGTTCCATACAAAATTATTCATTAAAACCTTAATAGGTATCTAATTCACAATTTTGTGGACATTAAGTTATATCATTATGATATGAGCTTATGGCACCGACTTCTAACCTATCAGTGGGTGGGTAACCTATCAGTACTAATAATAGTTATTTTTTGCTTTTTAGTATTGACTTTTTGTTTGTTATTAGTTTTTGGTTTTTGAAGTCGGTTTTTTTAAACGCAGTTTTTATTTTATTATTTTACCATTTTCAGTGTAAAGCTACATATACCCGTTTTGTTACTTATAATATACATAGGTGCACAGTCCTCATCAATACAAATTAATCAAGCCCAAACTCAAGGTAGTTACTGTATACCGTTGAGGAGTTCCTTTAACAATTACACTTCTTCATCATCAGACCCTTAATGACAGCCCCACTCTATCTAGGTGTAAAGTCCTCATCAATACAAATTAATCAAGCCCAAACTCAAGGTAGTTACTGTATACCGTTGAGGAGTTCCCTTAACAATTACACTTCTTCATCATCAGACCCTTAATGACAGCCCCACTCTATCTAGGTGTAAAGTCCTCATCAATACAAATTAATCAAGCCCAAACACAAGGTAGTTACTATAAACCGCTGAGGAGTTCCCTCGACTGTCTGTCGACTCCATCATCAGGTCGACTCCAGACCCTTATTAAATTGTAGTGTTTAAAATTCGTAATTGAAAAACATAATAGACGCATTACTCCCCCATAGAATTTTCGAAAGTTCCCCTCGGTTTCCCTAGGATCCCATCATCAGATCCTGACTTCATGGAAATGGGACCATCTCGGGGGTATACCCTTTCAAACAAAACAAAAATTTTTGAAATCGGTCCACAAACGGCGGAGTACTGCGCGAACAAACAAAAATAAAAAAAAAACAATCAGCCGAACATAGTACCTCCTCCTTTTTTTGAAGTCGGTAAAAATAGAACGTCTAAGTTCTACCAGCGGTTACCGCATAGTATAAAGAACATGTTCTTTATACTATGGTTACCGTGCCCTTGGGATAAAAAATAGCCTGTATCTGATTGAGTATGGTCTGGACCATAATTTAATGTAAAGGAGACTGCCTCGTTGGCCTAGTGGCGAGTGCGACTGCCAGGCAAGGGGTCTCGGGTTCAATTCCCGGGTCGGGCGGATTATTGTTGGGTTTTTAAAAAATTCTCAGTAGTAGCACGGAGTCTGGAGTTGTGCCCGGTATATGGCAATAGGCTCACCCCCTATTACATGGGACTCATAATATAAATAGTGAAAAGTGGGTGTTCCATTGTACAGTGGCATTAAGTGCCGCAGAAAATGTACCTCTGCCTACCCCCTCGGGAATAAAAGGCGTGATGTTATGTTATGTTAATTTTAGTATTTATTCAGCAAATTTTCAAGAAATAAGTACGCTGGTTGACGCTAAAAAAACGTGAAGTCACAATACACAATCTCGTACAAAATTCATAGAAAACCGTCGTTTTTGACAGTTCGAAATAAGTATTGAATGTGACTAGTTGGCAAGTACACGATTTGTTCTAGATGCAGTATCATTGGACTAAATCATGGTAAAATAATAGGGTAGTTGCCTAAATTTTATTTTAATGTCCGTGTGGTAGATTAGTTTAAAACATTAGATACGTATTTTTTATTTTCTCACAAAAATAAATAGGTAGATACTTTCGACGATTGTGACGTCACAATGCGTTACATTTTGTCGCACTTTGTGACGTAACGACCTCCCACTCCTAAACTTAACTCTATTTTATCTAAGTATCGTAACTTTATACGAGAAAATAAAAAAAATACATATGTAATATTTTTTCATTATTTAAGTGACGGACTAATTAGATTAATAACTTTCATTCCCTGGCAACTACCCTCATTGAAGTAATGACTTCTAGAACCGAATGTTCGCTAAAATCCTGTTTTAAACAAATTAAGTTCTTTGAATAAAATGATGACGAAAAGTTTCTTGTATTTTTATTTTATTTCCATCAACAGTTCGTTAGAGTCCACTGCTGCACTATGAGTCTCCTCTACATAAGATGTTTTGTCATAATCTCCGCAGGCAGGCAGGTTGGAGGTCGCAGTTAGGGCATGCAAAACCGGTTTTCCGGTTTTGCGCAAAACCGGAAATGGCCAAAATTTTACGATTATTGAAAACCCGTTTTGAGAGCCAAAACCGGAGCTCAGCTCCGGTTTTCCCATTATTAAGTAACAATTAAAATTTTGTTTTAATCAAATTTTTTTCGAACACTCAAAAATAATTAATATTGAGGCATTAAATGTATCCGAACCGAACACAGCCTGCATCCACCCACTTTCACGGCTCCCTCCACTACCCCCGCCTGATGCTTAACTAAATGAAATGCATTTTCGTAGTCGATAAAACATATTATCAGCACGTCCGTTTGCATTTCTCTGCATTTTTGAAGAGATGGAGATTCTGAGATCGTTGAGGGCGAATAAAGCTTCACGGGTGCCTACACCAGAATGAAATCCGAATTGGCTGTCTCCCAGTTGTTCGTCGCACTTTACTCTTATTCTGTTCTGTATGATGTTTAAGAACACTTTTAGGACATCTTTCATTAGACTCATCAACCGGTACTCTCCATATTTTGTTGCATTTTGTTTTTTGAGTATTGTAATGAACGTAGACTTTAGCCAGTCATGTGGAAGAATGCCAGTTTCGTAAATGTTGTTGAAGAATTGGTCAAGTACGTCTAGTTGCTCTTCCTCAAATAGCTTGAGAATCTCGATGGGTAATATGGGTATGTTATCTGATCACGTAATATTTCCGATTTTAAAATAGTTGGACCCGTGTCATCAGTAATTATTTGGATATTTCTTGATGGGTCTGCGAACATCTCCGAGCCTGCACCCCGCAGTTGATTATTGATCTCTTTTTTAGTGCAATATGAATCATATTATAATAATGTTATTTTGTAGTTCGTCTTCAAAGTTACAAAAATAGGCTGGCTGTGTTTAATATTTAAAGATGCTACTTGTGTTTTCTATGTTTAAAATATATTATTTTTGATAGCAGACTTAATAGGTTCCAAAAATACCAAAAACTTAGGTACTTGTTGTTGATTTGATCTCAGTTAAATAATTTTTATACTATTATAAGTTCATTGTTATCTGTACAATTATTATGGTTTGTTGAAAAAGAAGTGTATCACACAATTTGTTTTATTTGTAGACTTAGTGGGTATTAAAAAAAACGGTTTTCTTTTTTAAATTAACTACATTCGAATTTTTTGATAAAACCGGACCTAGCTCCGGTTTTCGGTTTTGGTACCAAAAAACGATGTTCAAAACCGGTTTTGATGACTTTCCGGTTTTGCATGGCCTAGTCGCAGTATAAAAGGTGCAGGTTTATCAGAGAGCGCTGCTGCCCGGTCTCTGTCTAATGTGTAATGCGATACGTCCTGCGTGAGCGATCTGAAAGTAATGACACCCGAATTCAATGCGATGCAGCGGCTATGGCGTACGTGTAAGCGAATCGTTTCGCTTCGTTTTTGTTTCCATCATTATAACCAAACAAAAACATGACAACATCGCATACAAATATGACAGTTCGCGCACAAATATGCATCAAACCTCGGAACATTGTTCCGAGTATCAAACCAACTGATCGCGTCGCGTTTGCATCATGTCGCGTCGCTCCGCACCGCATCACATAGGCCTATTGTCACGTCTCACAGACAGGTATTTGGCCCTAAAAGCTGGCCAAAATTGATTTTTTTTATATTAGTTCTACTCCCTCTAAGCCATTGTTTCCAAAAATAAGGATAACTGCTCCAAACAATAGCAAAAAACACAAAGCGCTAGCCCCTTCCAGTACGTCGTGGGCTCAGTCGGAAGTTACCGTTCGCCAAAAGTGTTCGTGTGACTGTTCGATGCGCTCAGATTTCGTTGTTTTGAAATATTTGCTATCTTGTGACTGAACGATTTTGTGGTGGTTTTCATTATGGATTGTATACAACCAGGTATGTATTTTATTTGGCACTTACTTTTAACAAGTAATCTTTAGCTTTTCTTTATTTATACCCTTGAGAACTAAGCCCCAAAAAACTGCTTTTAAAAAACACATTTTGGAAGATCAAAGGGAGTTTTAATATATTTCTCATCATTTCTAAGCCAAAATTGTAATGATTAGCTTTAGAATAAACCTTTAGGATGTAATTAAGTACGAAATAGCCGCCCCAAAGTGCCCCTCTATTTTTGGTGATTTTTTTCCCTAGACACGCTCGGTACTCAGTAATTGAAGTTTTACTTATATTTGGTGTATTTTTGTTATAGGCTCTTCTGGAATGAGAGTCATGACTCGAAATGATTTATTTAATATAATGGAACGTTCAAATACCTATCTAGCTATCCTGAAATCCACAGAGTAACTGAAACGTGCGCTGAAGTACAGGTTCAAAATCTCATGGATCACACGGCACAACGACTGATTTTACATCTTGGTGAGGCAGTGGAACAATTGAGTGAAGCAGAAAAACAATCATTAGTATTAATAAGTAAATGGAGCTGCGATGGATCTCAACAGATGCAGTATAAAATAAAATTTGAAAATGAAACCGATTCGGACGCAAACATATTCCAAAGTTCCATGGTACCGCTTCAGTTGATTTACGGACCGGAAAGAAAAATACTGTGGCAAAATCTCCATCTTCACCACGGTATTGTTGGCCTATAAGAATAAGATTCATAAAAGGAACTACAGATGTGACAAATGAAGAGATTGACTATATTAAATCGCAAATAACAGCGCTCACTAAAAGCGAAGTCAACAGCTTTTCCATTAAGCATAAAATGCTTTTCACCATGATTGATGGAAAAGTATGCAATCAACCATGAGGTGCTACGCGTCGCCACGTCATTACAGTTTAATGATTTAGAGAAGGAGAGCCCATGCAAAAAAGAAAACCTAGAATTCGGCTTATCTTTGTTGCATGCTCGGATAAGATTTTTTGAGAGTATTTTACATGTGGCCTATAGATTACCCGTAAACAAATGGAACGTTCGCCTTACTGCCGAGGAAAAGCAAGCAGTGGAAAATAAAAAAAAAAGAAATCCAAGATAAGTTCCGGGAGAAACTCGGTCTGTTGGTGGATATACCAAAAGCCAACTTTGGAAATACCAATGACGGAAACACTAACAGACGTTTTTTTGAAAATGTCGAAGTATCAGCGACAATTACGGGGATAGACGTAAATTTAATTGATGTTTGAAAGCTATTGCCAAGAAACGGCAAAGTTGTACGTTTCTTTGTATAAGTTTTACCCAATGTCTCCGATATTGCATAAAGTGTTGCATCATGGGGCTTCAGTAGTAAAGGAAGCAATTCTTCCCATTGGACAACTGTCCGAAGAAGCGGCAGAAGCCCGCAACAAACACATTAGGATGTTCCGGCTCAACTACGCCCGAAAATTTTCCCGGGTAGCCTGCAACGCAGATGTTTCTAACAGGCTCCTCTTAACTTCCGACCCTGTCCGGACGGGCATGAGAAAGAGGAAGAATAAAAAAATATGTTACTAATTCGCCTGATGTTTTAAATTTGTTACTAGAAAGTGACGTTTTAAATTTAAGTTTTGATGAAGACGACGAAAATTCAGAATAAATGCTTGTATATGTTGCATACGCTTTTTTTTTACCTTTTCCAAGCTAAAACTAAAATGAAACATCGTTTGACAGCCATTAGGCGTACCAAATATTTTTGGCCAACTTTTAGGACCAAATACCTGTCTGTGCGTCTTAAGACACTTCAATAGGTTGGTTTTGATAGTTTTTTGTTTTCATGCCGCACCGCTTCGCATTCGCTTCTAGATCGCTCACACCACGCAGGACGTAACGTTAGTCGGGTACCTATATGACACCCGCGGGAAGAGTAGAGGTGGTGATGGCGTCATCACACGTCTTCATCCACACAGTCGTACATATTCTTAGAACTAGTCATAATTTTAAATTGCATGACGATATTAACAAAATTACTAATGGTCAATCATGTTACTTACTAAACTCATTAATTAACAGTTAGTAGATAATTATCAAGTTTTTGTGTCATAATTATAGGGTAGTATACAGTATATGAAAATTAAAAAAGTATTTTTTAATCGGTTTATAAATAAAAAAGTTATGTCAATCTAAAGAATAGCGTCATCACATCCATCATTAAAATTAAAATACCATAATATTGTATTCATCCTCACCGTAATAAATAATTCCATATTCAAATCTGTTTTAACACCTACTAATTACTTTTTGAATTACTCAAATCGGACATTCCATTCAAAAGGGGCTACGGCTCGAAGTGCAGAAGAAGGAACGGGATGGTTTTTAGTCAGTAAGAGTCTGACACTCCCTCCCGGCTCACCCAGGAGGGAGCAGTCTTTCGATGAATTTCCCCCCTTAAAAAAAGACCACCACGGATGGGGCTTAATAGGACGATACGGAGCCGTGGAGGACTTAACGGGGTGCCGGGGCCCCGGCTCGAAGTGCAGGACTAGGAACAGGGTTGTTTTTAGTCAGAATCTGACACTCCCTCCCGCCTCACCCAGGCGGGAGAAGTCATTCGGTGATTTCCCCCCTTGAAAAAAATGCAATTATTTCCCCATAAGTGATTCATTTGCAACTGTATACTGGCTGAGTTGAGTTTTGAATGCACTAAAAGAGTCGTTTTCTTATACATGCATGACGGTATTTTATTGTAAAGTTGTGTACAATAGTTAAGTTGATAGAAATTTTTACATTTGATGCCTATGGGGCTTGTACACAAAATTGCGATGCGAATTCGCAACGCAAAAAATAAAGATGCGAATTGCTGCGATCAGTGCGACAACGACAAGGCGTCTCCCAGGGTAACCATTCCTTCGACGACCGTCAACCGTACTAAACGTATTTTAAATTTAGAACTAGGTCATGACATTGATCGTAAAAAGAAGTGTGCCCTTCTGTTATTGCTTAGGATATACAGGAAAAAGAAACAAAGAAGATTTTGGGATGATAAGGTGTTGATGCGCGATGCGAATCAATTCGCAAGTTCTTGCGATGCGTAGAGAGAGTTCGCACATTTTGCGATGCGACGTCGGATTGCAGTTTTGTGTACGAGCCCTTACCACGGTTATAATATCGTACCTTTATTATGCCTAGCAGTTATTTTTTCTGTTTTAAAAATAGTAGGTACTTGGCACAAAGTTATAATAATTATGACTATAATTTAATACACGCAGGCATGTCTGAACGTGCTGACGAAGCAGGAGGCGTCTCCGTGCGTGGAGAAGGAAGAGGTGAAGGTGGAAGTCGAGCGGTTCATTGACCTGGCCAGACAGATGGAAGCTTTCTTCCTGCAGAAGAGGTTTGTATTGTATCATTTATTAACAGACTAGCTTTTACCCGCGTCTTCGCTCGCATCACAAAAGAATAAAAAGTAGCCTATATGATATTTACCAATACACACAGCGCCATCTATACTAATAATTTCGTTTTCTCTCGAGAATATCAATTTTTCCGGGTTAAAAAGTACCCTATTATTTAATCCAGACTTCTAACTTTACATCTGAAAAAATTCAAAGCAATCGGTTTAGTAGTTACGGCGTGAAAGCGGAGCAAACAAACAAACAAACAAACTCACTTTCCGATTTATAATATTAAGTAAGGATTTCAAAAAAGGAGGAGGTTCTAGGATTGTGTCTATTGTATTTAGGTACTAGCTGTTGCCCGCGACTTCGTTCGCGTGGAATAGTGATTCACAGCTCCTCCTCCGTAGATGATAGCGTGATAATATGCAGCCTATATGTTGACCCGATCTGTTAGTAATATTCACACAAAATTTGAAGTAAATCCATGCAGCACTTTTTGAAATCATCCCGGACATACATACAGACAAACAGACAAAAATTTTAAGAACCATATTTTTGGCTTCGGTGTCGATTGTAGATCACGCCCCAAGCATTCTTTTTAAAAATATTTAATGTACAGTTTTGACTTTTCTACGATTTTATTATGTGTGTACATATAGATAAAGATATAGATTATCAGAACAATAAGTGCCTATGTAGATACGTAATGGATACGTGAGTAAATAAAGGCTAAATTCCTTCAACCAAAATGAACTTTATACACAACAAGGCGGGCCAACATAATGGCTAATAATATTATCACGCTATCATCTACAGGGGAGGAGCCCTATACTAGGTATTTAATCAATTCTGACGACATTCGTTACCGTAGAATATCCCTTGATAAAGACTAATTCAAAAGCGAAAATTCTGCCAGAAGTCATAATTCTACGCGGACGAAGTCGCGGCCTTACAACTAGTGATAATAATCATCACCATCACACAGAAGTAACACCCACTTTTCACTATTTATATTATGAGTTCGATGTAATAGGGGGTGAGCCTATTGCCATATACCGGGCACAATTCCAGACTCCGTTCAACTACGAGATTTTTTTTTAATACCCTGTAATACTTGGCCCGACCCGGGAATCGAACCCGAGATCCCTTGCCCTGCAGTCGCACTTGCGACCACTCGGCCATCGAGGTAGAGAGCAGTAGTGATAAATAAATGTAGATTAAATAATGTTAGATTGTACCACTCCTTTTGATTATCTTACTACCTACTTCCTCGCGATTTTACCCGCTCTGTACTGCGTCTAATGATCGGAGCGTGATGTTTTATAGCCTATAGCAGGGATGGCGAACCATTGGCACGCGTGCCGTTGATGGCACGGAACACAACATTTTGGGCACGGCAGTGACTACAAAACTGATGAATGATCAGAAACCTACAACGCATTTATGGTGTCTTAAATATTTCAGGTGTAGTCATATTGCGGTGACAGTTTACCATACCAACTGTATACTTTATTGCTACAGATTGACAGTAAATAGTAATAATCAGTCGATGGCACACATAAAACCGTAAAACAATTTTCTTCAAAGTAATAGGGTAGACGACTAATTTTTATTTTAATGTCCGTCTGATAGATTATTTAAAAACATTAGACACGTATTTTTTATTTTCTTACGGAAACGAATAGTTTCGAAGATATATTGATTTGAAATGTCGCGTGACGTCACTTCTCAGTACATTTTATACTAAGAAATGACGTTTTAGCCCCCACTCCTAAACTTTGATTCGTTTTATCTAAGTATTGTTTTATTATACGACAAAATCAAAAAATACGTGTCTAATATTTTTTCATTACCTAACTGACGGACTAATTAGATTTTTAATTTTCATACCCTGTCGTCATCGCTATTGTAAAAAGTATGTAAGTCTGTCTATACGTTTTTTACTCAATCACGCCATAACCGCTGAAGGAATCGTAATGAAATTTGGAACATGGATTGGTTATGGTCTGGTATAAGACATAAGTTACTTTTTGATCCACGGAAACGCGGGCAAAGCCGCGTGCAGAAGATAGTATATGATAATATCTTTATATATATAATTCTTCTGTGAGTGTGTATGTCACTGAACTTCTCTCAAACGACTGGACCGATTTTGATGTATTTTTTTGTGTGTGTTCAAGGGAATCTGGGAATGGTTTAGAAATACGTGTCTAATATTTTTTCATTACCTAACTTACGGACTAATTATATTTTTAATTTTCATACCCTGTCATCATCCCCATTGGCACGCTAATGTGTAAAGGTTCGCCTTCCCTGCCCTATAGCCTTATTCGATAAATTGACTATCTAACACAAAAAGATTTTTTCAAATCGGACCATTTGTTTCTGAGATTGAGTGCGTTGAAACAAATAAACTTTGTAACTTTATGCACCGCGTAATCTATTTTGTTATCGTCTTGTAAAACAACTTGCCATAAGGAGTACTTTCGATGTATAAAGTACTAGCTTTTGTCCGCGGCTTCCCTCGCGTCACAAAAGGATAAAAAGTAGCCTATGTGATATATACCAATACACACAGCGCCATCTATACCAATATTTTTGTTTTCCCTCGGGAATATCAAATTTTTCCGGGATAAAAAGTACCGTATTATTTAATCCGGACTTCTAACTTTACGTCTGTAATTCAAAGCAATCGGTTTAGTAGTTACGGCGTGAAAGTGGAACAAACAAACAAACTCACTTTCCGATTTATAATATTAGTAAGGATAAGGATAAACAAAAATGATAAAGTAATAAAATAAAAACTGCGTTTAAAAAACCGACTTAGGTTTAGAATATCTTTATTTCTCATAAAGAATCACATACATAATTCACTTACTGAGAAACAATATTTTATACAAATGTATGCAATTTAGAGCACACAGTAGTACGTACATATAAACAAAAACAATACAAAAGAACAAATACAAATTTTCATTATTTAAAAATGTGGGCAAAGTGATAATTAAACACAAAGAACAGAATCAAGTAACACGGGCAGACCGGCAAACTATAACAAAAATATGAAGTAAATGTGGGTAAACCAATAAATTAATCAATCACTTGATACGTCGCAGAGAACCTAACGGGTAACCGGGGCTCCGGCTCGACGTGCAGGTGAAGGAACGGGGTGGTTTTTAGTCAGTAAGAGTCTGACACTCCCTTCCGCCTCACCCAGGCGGGAGCAGTCATTCGATGATATTCTCCCATTAAAAAAAGAAAATCACTTGATACATGAACTATTTTTACTAGATGTGGCATTGATGGCGTAGTTTATACTTAATGTAATGTTTTATTTTATTATTGTAGATGTACACGGTATTTAATTTAAACTATTTAGAATTTGCCTTTTACGTTATTAGGAGTAAACACTAGTAAATATTTAAAATATATATACAAGTATTCATAATTTGTAGTTATTGTGTTAATTTTAAATAATTGTTTGAACCGCGCATAACTTTTTTCTTGCCTTTATTATTGATGGTAGTCTATTGTATAATTTAATACCTTTGAACTCCAGACTTCTTTTTCCATAGTTAGTTCTAGGGGGACGGGTTACCAAGTAACTCCCACGTCTAAGATTAATTATACGTAGGTATTTGCTGTTTTGTTAAAAAAAATAAGTTTAACTCGTTAAGTACAGTCATTATAGACACAATTAAAGAACAATAGGTTGCGGTCACCGGTGACCTCGCGGTGTTTGACAGTTTAAATGATATAATCTGGTATAATTTTTCAGTAGGTGTCCGATATTTATAAATAAATTGTAATCAAGCTTACTACACACTGACATATTATCTTGAAGATAAGAATGCTTGGCAGCATGTTGGTTCGGCTCCACTGGACAATACTCAAATGTAGTCAGTAGCTAAATTCCAATAGTAGGTAATTTAATACATAATTTAACACTTTAATTCTAATGTAGACAATCTAGTTTCCTTATGGCATCAAGCATTTCTTTATTGAAACAAAGAGTTTCCTTTTCTTGTATAGAAGCACTAATTCTATGGATTGTCAGTATGCATATGTGAGCACCATGTTGGACTTTAAGATTTTTTTTTTTTTTTAATTTTAGTAAGTTATTAGTATAATGCGTCAAGCGTGTCTTTGCATTGTTCTTACATATACGTACAGTATTGAAATATGTATCAGAGACATTGTAGAACATACTTTTTAAAAAGAGTAACGAATGGAGTTTCTTGCTCGTTCTTCTCCATTCGAATCTACTTTTTGGAATGAGCACCTAGCTTCACCTAGTTTCACTGACGGACTGACTGACAGACTATTATTTATTTTGTATTTGTTGACGTTTCAAAAGCACCAAACTATGGTTTAATTGAAATAAATGCTTTGACTTTGACTTTGAATTGGGTTTTGATTAATCTATTCTGAATTCGTTGAATTTGATCTACATACGTTAGTTTTGGATGCAGTGCCTCAAATTTCAATGAGATAATCTATATGAGATTTAATTAGGGAATTGTAAATTACATATTTAACTCTTTGAGGGAGACATTTTGTTATATTGCGCACTGCCCCTGAAAGTGAGCCTAGTTTAAGTTTAATTTATTCAATGTGTGCTTTCCAGGTCAGGTTATTGTTTAAGATTAGCCCAAGATATTTTTCTTTACATTTTCATTCGAGTATTTGGCCATAGTATAAAGAAAAGGGAAGTAGGTTATCTTCATACAAATGCTCCGCGCGAGGCTTATATGTGTGCGCCATAGTATTTATGCGTCGACGCACGCACACTTTAACAAAATCTCGACCCGTTTCTCAGTGCGCCAGGCAGGGCTAACACTGCACGAGGTTCGCGCGCGCATCACTTTTCGCCATTGTTAAATGAATAAAAAATGTCGGATAATCGTAGAAGAACGTATTGTTGTGTGTTTGGGTGTCTTAATAATTCATCGATGCTAGAACTGCCTCTGTTCAGATTACCTATTGAACAGGAAAGATAAGCTAGTCACTTATTCTAGCATAATATAATTTGTACTTGATGATGAGATACCTACTTACTTATTTTTTTGTTTGTGTTAGTTTCCTATCAGTATCACATAGGAAGTAGGTAGGCCCAATTTCCTACTAGAATGTATTAAGTAGGTACTTTTGATCTGGCAATTGATTTGCCGCTATTGTTTTGTTTACGTTTAGTTATGGTTATGTTGATTTCTCAGTATTGTAGGTACGTTTAGTAACTAAGTACCTACCTAATTACAGTTATAAAATCGTAATTCAAAATAAGTAATTGACTATGGTCTATCGATTTATGTGGTTAACTAAAGGTAAACAATCTTGGTATGTAAGCTGCGCCTAAACTAAAAGCGACAACCCTAAGACAGTAGGCAATTATATCGCGGATTGGGAAGAAGATGGCCTACTTCCCTTTTCTTTATACTATGATTTGGCCGTGTATTTTAAGTTCAAGGTTTACATATTTTTTTTTCTATTTTTTGCAGCAAACCTTAAATAACTTGTTTTTGTAGTATTAATAGTTAACAGATTTGACTGAAACCACTCATTCAGCAGATTAAGATTACTCTAAGCGTCAGTCATTAGATCTTCAAGTGAGTCTCCAAAATAAAATAGACTTGTACCATCTGCATATAGAGAAATCTTCAAAAAGACTTCAAAAGACTTCAAAAACTAAAAAACTAATAACAAACAAAAAGTCAAAACTAAAAAGCAATAAATAACTATCATTAGTCCGAGCGTACGGCGCGTCGCGTTCCGCGCGCGCCTCAAAGAGCCATCAGACCACCACAGATGGGGCCCAATAGGGCTGTTGCCGATTCGGAGTCGCGGAGAACCTAACGGGTAACCGGGGCTCCAGCTCGACTTGCAGGAGAAGGAACGGGGTGGTTTTTAGTCAGTAAGAGTTTGACACGCCCTTCCGCCTCACCCAGGCGGGAGCAGTCATTCGATGATTTTCCCCCCTTAAAAAAAAACTATCATTAGTACTGATAGGTTACCCACCCACTGACAGGATAGAAGTCTGATTAAAATCCTGATTGAAAAACATAATAAACATATTACTCGTCCCTACAATTTTCGAAAGTTTCGCTCGGTTTTCCGACCATCTCGGGAGTATACCCTTTCAAACAAAACAAGCATTTTGGAAATCGATTCACAAATGGCGGAGTAATGCGCTAACGAACAAAAAAAACAATCAGCCGAACATAGTACCTCCTTTTTAATTTAGTATGTCTCACGATAGTTATTATAAAAAAACATAGTAGTACCTCCTCTTTTTTTTTGAAGTCGTTATAAGTAAAGATGACATTTTTTTAGTTTCAACATTTTTCATGGAAATACGCACATGAAATACTAGGCGTGAATTTGTAGGCACTATTCGCATCGCACGTGCCACCCGACGAGAAATACCTCTTCGAGAATGCCATGGCGTGACGTTTTGATAATGTACTATGAGTTCGTATGCGCTTTCGAAGTTTGCTTCTTGCAATGGTTCACCAGTTACTTTTTGTTTTAAACATTGTATTTCTTTGTAAAACTATTGTATTACCGAGCCAGAACTATTTTACTTCGGGACGAAAACTAAATAGATGTGACGATGTATTTTGGCTCGTGATCATTTATTCATTTCGGCCGTAAAAACTTCAGGCTTTCAGAGAGCGCTGCTATGTGTCCCTTCATCGGGTATGTGACACCCGCGGGAAGAGTGGGGGTGGTAAAAATATATTCTACCCTGCATGTTTTAAAGTTTATGTACGATGTTTCAGGTTCCTCCTCTCAGCCATGAGACCAGAGCTATTGGTGAAAGAGGATAACAATGAACTAAAATGTGAGCTCCAAAGGAAGGAGGAACTGCTCAGAAGGCATTATGACAAGATCAGCCAGTGGCAGAACTTGTTAGCTGATCTGCAGGTATGTAGTCATAACAACTTAGATCACTCAGTCCTCAAATCCCTTATTTCCCAAAGGCCGGCAGCGCATTTGTAACTTCATCGAGTATTGAGAGTGTTACGGGCCTGCGACGCCGAGCACGGGTGACTCGCCGCCCGACCAGAACCAGACCCGTACGGACCGGACCGTACGGCGGGTCGCGTTCCGCGCGCGCCTCAAAGAGCCATCAGATCACCACAGATAGGGCCCAATAGCTGCTAGGGACTATACTCGGAATTTTAATTAGATTCCAGATTTGACAATTTCAGTGTTGCAACGTTATGACAAGTACTTAATAGTGACGTTGCGAAATTATTCGATATGGAAATGAAATATTTCTGGATCGATTCTTCTCGTTCATAATTTTACTCTCGTAAACTAAGTATATCAGGAAATTAAATATTTCTGAACCGATAATTTAGTTTTGACGATTAATTAACGATCTGAGACTTTTCTTTTATAATTGTGTGGAAACAAATAAAAAAATGTAACCATGAAGGAACATGACAAATAAAACAGATAGATGTATTATGGTAATAATTTATTTAATAAATTGTCGCCGTCATCGCTATCGCTGTCACTTTCTGTAACATTTATTATAAAACACACACACTGATTGTTTATCGATTATTGTGTTCATCACTAAACTATTATATGTGGTATCATTATTTCACAAAATGACAATAGTTAATGTGAAATCTAGAATCGAATTAAAATTCTGACTATAGGGACTGCACGGTTGGTGCGGTGGCTGGGCAACCGGCTGCCGTGCAACGTGTCGCGGGTTCGATTCCCGCACGGAACAACACTTTGTGTGATCCACAAATTGTTGTTTCGGGGCTGGGTGTCATGTCATGTGTATGGCCCAATATAATTCTATATTTTCTCACACAGGGTCACACAGTATACAATAAGTGTCAGCAACAGACAGCGCAGGCGCCGCCCGCCGTGCAACAAGCGCCCGCGCCGCAACACGTCGTGCAACAGAGCGTACAGGTACGTTGCATATTCTCTCGATCTTTCATAAGAGATTAGCTCACACAGGACTTATTGTTACTTCAGTCCATAAGTATACAGGGTGGAATTTTGTAATGCCACCTGAAGGGAAAGTAGGTACTCTTATTACTTAAGATTGGAAATTTTAATCAAAGAACATTCCTTTAGTTTTGAAAAGAAACAAAACTGCATGCAATGATTTTTTAAAAGTTAGCTTGCCTCACACGGTTTAGAACCGACTAAAATCTGTCAAAGTTTGCATCCTATACTTTTATTGTGGTCCATGGCCCTTTACGGCGCCCCTGTGTGGGCGCCGAACATGCTGCGGCGTCCCGCTCGGACGCTGCTCATGTCACAGAGGGTCATGGCGATCCGAATGATCCGCGGATACCGCACGATCTCCGGGGAGTCGGCGAACCTCCTTGCCGGGTTACCGCCGTGGGATCTGGAGGCGAAGGTGCTCGCGCGCGTGTATCACATGCGCGCGGAGGCACGTCGCCGGGGCGAAACTCTGCTGCCGCGCCAGATAAGTGTGTGGCGGGATGAGCTCGGAATGGCAGCAACGACTGTCGCAACCGAGGGCTGGGCTCGCTGCCATTGCAGCGGTAAGACCCCTATTTGAGGAGTGGCTTGAGAGACGCTACGGCGTCCTCACCTACCGCCTGACGCAGGTCCTCACCGGACATGGAAGTTTCGGGAGGTACCTGTGTCTGATGGGGCGGGAGGAAACGCCCGGGTGTCATCACTGCGAGGATCGCCCTGAGGACACGGTGGAACACACCGTAGCGGAATGCTCTGCGTGGGCTGAGCACCGCCGTGCCCTCAGGAAAGTGATCGGCGATGGCGACCTCTCGCGTCCGGGCCTAGTGCAAGCCATGATGCGGAGCGAGGGGGACTGGGATGCCGTCTCCTCCTTTTGCGAAGCAGTCATGCTAGCTAAGGAGGAGGCGGGACGCGTGAGGCAGCGAAGCGCTGCCTCCTCGCAACCCAGCCATCGCGAAGGACACACCGGGCGTCGGGGATCGCGGGACGATCTCCGGCCACCGTAAGCGCGGGCCTGCGGACGGCGAGCATGGGTGGCTCCCCGTCCGACCAGAAACAGACCCGAGCGTATGGCGCCGAGCGTTCCGCGCGCGCCTCAAAGAGCCATCAGACCACCACAGATGGGGCCCAATAGGGCCGATGCCGATTCGGAGTCGCGGAGAACCTAACGGGTAACCGGGGCTCCGGCTCGACGTGCAGGAGAAGGAACGGGGTGGTTTTTAGTCAGTAAGAGTCTGACACTCCCTTCCGCCTCACCCAGGCGGGAGCAGTCATTCGATGATTTTCCCCCCTTAAAAAAAAAAAACTTTTATTGTATCGATCGATTTATTATTTTTCTTTCATTACATTTATGAAGTTTGTTAGAGAGATTTCATCCTTATAGACCCTAACAATCGATGCAATAAATGTACAAGGTGCAACTTTTAGAGATTTTAGTCGGTTCGATTACCGTGTGTGGTAAGCGAATTTTAAAAATCTATGAATGCAGTTTTCTTTCTTTTTCAAAATAAAGGAATGTTTTTTTTGAGTAAAATTTTCTATCTAAACTACTTCCCCTTCAGAGGTGGCATTACAAAATTTCACCCGGTATATGTTAAGCCGTATTTACACTTGAATGACGTGACATGTCGTGATGTTTTTTGACCGAAGTGATTCCACGTCCTCACAGAAAACCGACGTGAAGCAACGCTTGCGTTGTGTTTCGTCGTGTGAGTGAGGTTACCGAAAGCCCAATTACACCCTCCCCTTCCCCAATCTTCCCAATCCCTGAATCCCCAACGATCCTCAAGGGCCAGTAACGCACTTGTAATGCCTCTGGTGTTCCAGGTGTCCATGGGCGACGCCAATTGCTTACCATCAGGTGATCCGTGTGCTCGTCCTTATCTCATATATATAAAAGAAAGTCGTATTAGTTACACTATTTATAACTCAAGAATGGCTAAATCGATTTGGATGAAAATTGGTGGGGAGGTAGCTTAGAACCAGGAGACGGACATAGGATACTTTTTACCCAATTCTTTTTTTTTACTTTTTACCGAAAATCAAGAACGGGAACGGGAAATATCGGGATTGCGCGTACGAAGTCGCGGGCAGAAGCTAGTCTCATATAAAATTATCGTTTTACTCATTAAATCCTTTATTTTTCATCAAAAATTGCAGGCGCAACAAATGGCCGCGGCGGCCGCGCAACAAGCAGTGTTACAGCAACAGGCAGCGTTACAGCAACAACAGGTACCCCGCCCCCCGCACCCGCCCGCGTATCCCGCGAACGTGCAACGTCGGTAGCTACTGTAACATTGCTTTGCAACGGACAACGATCTGATGTGTTACAGGGTGTAACAGTTAATGACAGATCTTTTAAAAAATGGTTCAATATTTTGAAACTGAATTACTTTCGTTTTATAAACAGTCCACTGCTGCACTATGAGTCTCCTCTACATAAGAGGTTTGTCATAATCTCCGCAGGCAGGCGGGTTGGAGGTCGCAATATAAAAGGTCCAGGTTTATCAGAGAGCGCTGCTGCACGGTCTCTGTCTAATGTGTAATTTCTCAGTCGGGTATATGACACCCGCGGAAAGAGTAGAGGTGGTGGAGGTTGTTTGATGTCATTTTACTTTGGCATTACCATACGGCTTATTTTGTAAATTACCTTTTTTTTTAATTTCCAAAAGTAGTCCATTTCGATTGATGAACTAACTTCTAAAAGATCTTGCGTTTATTCTGTTGCACTTTGTATACTCAAAATGGTGATTAATGTTAATCAATCAATTGGTGATTCGTGATTTAATCAATCAATTGGTGATTTGTGATTTAATCATTCGGTGATTGGCGATTATAATTGTAAAAGTATTTTTATAATTCATACTTACACACAAAACAAATATATTTTTTGATAGATACTCAACTGATTTTTGTGAGACAAAAATTTGTAATTTGCCCAATGTAAATTCAACCTTAAGTGCATGGCGTTAAAGTTTATAGTTGTTAATCTTTTCCGTAATATTTTGGTTTGAATATTTCTGTAAGATGAATCTTAATTATAAGTTTATTTTAGTTTTATTTTACAGTATTAGACAAAATCTGCATTTAAATAATAAAGAAATCTAAAAAAAAAAAATTGGTTGCCTGTAAAGTCGGTATACGGGCGAAAGTTTTACGTGACAACGACTTTGAGTGGTAAAATAATTTTAATGTGAATATTCATTCGTATAGTAGGAAGAAGGATGAAATAATGAAGCGCAAGACATGAACCGGTGTGTATGCCTATCTCTCTCACTCTCTCTCTCGCTCTATCTCTCTCGCTCTTAGGCGGGCTAACTGTGCTCGAGTGGAAGGGACGCGTGCCTTTCACTTTTTATGTCTGTCTCTCTCGCTCTTAGGCGGGCTAACCATGCCCGAGTGGAAGGGACGCGTGCCTTTTACTTTTTATGTCTGTCTCTCTCGCTCTTAGGCGGGCTAACCATGCCCGAGTGGAAGGGACGCGTGCCTTTTACTTTTTATGTCTGTCTCTCTCGCTCTTAGGCGGGCTAACCATGCCCGAGTGGAAGGGACGCGTGCCTCTCACTCGCTCTCATTGTGGGCGCATAACGTGAGCGGAGCGTAACGCAGTTTCTTGAAGTGTCACCCGGCAAACCAATTTATAAGACGTTGTCACGTCAATAAAACCGTTTTATCTCAAGTTTGATTCTTGGGCTGCGAAAAGGCAACGCATTTTTTTGATATTTAACATATATAACATCATCATCACGCCTTTTATCCCCGAAGGGGTAGGCAGAGATGCACATTATGCCACTGTACAATATAACACCCACTTTTCACTATTTATGTTATGAGTCCCATGTAATAGGGGGTGAGCCTATTGCCATATACCGGGCACAATTCCAGACTCCGTGCTACTACTGAGAATTTATTAAAACCCAGTAATACTTTGCCCGACCCGGGAATCGAACCCAAGACCCCTTGCCTGGCAGTCGCACTTGCGACCACTCGGCCAACGAGGCTGTCGATATTTAACATTTTCAATAAAATACGAATCTGTTACCTAGCCTGTGTCAGACCATAATCTATCCCTGTGGCAAATTTCATCCCGATCCGTTCAGCCGTTCTTTTCATCTTCTCTTCAAATTCAAATTCTCAGTAGTAGCACGGAGTCTGGAATTGTGCCCGGTATATGGCAATAGACTCACCCCCTATTACATGGGACTCATATACTGACTAAAAACCACCCCGTTCCTTCTCCTGCACGTCGAGCCGGAGCCCCGGTTACCCGTTAGGTTCTCCGCGACTCCGAATCGGCATCGGCCCTATTGGGCCCCATCTGTGGTGGTCTGATGGCTCTTTGAGGCGCGCGCGGAACGCGACGCGCCGTACGCTCGGGTCTGTTTCTGGTCGGACGGGGAGCCACCCATGCTCGCCGTCCGCAGGCCCGCGCTTACGGTGGCCGGAGATCGTCTCTGCCTACCCCTATGGTGATAAAAGGCGTGATGTTATGTTATGCCGTTCAACCGTTTTGACGTAATTGGGTAACAAATATACAAACACTTACGGGCATTCATAATGTGATGTGATTTTGTCTAATACTGTATAATCTATAGTTTTATTCTTAAACATTAATTTTAGTATTTAATTATTATAATTTTCTTTTGTTCAATGAGTAGATAGATGCAAGTTTGTTTTTTTATTTTCCAAAAATATAATTTTAATTTGTCCTTTGTTTTTTGTTTCATTTATTTTTTTACCTGACCACACACCGCTTTAGAATTTTTGATCTGGCAACACTTGCAAGGTATGTAGTTTTTTTGCTTTCCACTGTGTAGTGGCTCCATCTATTTATAAGACATAAAAAAATAAAGGCATACAGCACAAGAAAAAATAAAATATCTTGGGTGTAAAAAGGTATTTATTATATCAACTTATCAGTACATCTGTGGTGACATCTACCGTCGCGTCGTATAAAAAATATATTGAGTAACTGCACCAACAGATGGCTCTACATGGATTCAAATTCTCGCCTGCAATATAGGATTGTCCTAGTGCAGGCAAATCACATTGTGACGGACAATTGTACGTATTTACGATAATAATATGTCATTTTTTGAATTATGAATAAAATTTATTATTTTATTAAAATATAAACGTTAATAATTTTGGACATTTAGACGACATAAGAAAAATGTAGTTATTATAATCAGAAAGTATCATTATGGGTGTGATAACGAATCAAAATGGTAGACCGATTAAACTGGCAATAATACGGTAGTTGGCAACTAGTCAAATACATATTTTTTTTCGAAACGTCAAAAACGATTCTTCTTCTTATAGTGCCTCTTCAATGTTGAAGGTCGGCCGTCAGCTTCTTGTATTTCTCCTTGTCGGTAGCCATGCGGAACAATTGTTCGAGAGATGTAATGCCGGTCCACTCCCGGATGTTTCGCAGCCACGATTTTCTTCTGCGCCCAGCAGGTCTCTTCCCCTCCACTTTGCCCATCATGATCAGTCAAAAACGATACTGAGGCCTTATACGAGTTTCTATTACGTTTAAAGTACCTAATCGAAACGAGTACGCGTTCGGCGCTGTGATTGGCGAGCACCAATGAACCAACTAATTGGAGCGCTGGACGAGGTTTCGTTTTGATTACTTTAAACGTAAAACTAACTGGTACTAAGGCCTCGTTCTATGAATTTTGTACGAAATACTATCTTACGATGTCATCATATTTTCGCACCAAATAGCATACTTATATATATATTATTATTATATTTATTTATGTTCATATTTGAAATATGTTAGTGTAATCTTCTATTTTCTCAATTAAATCGTTGCTTGCTTCTTGCTCCTACCAATCACTCTTCTCTGCATCACCCAAAGGTCAGACTGGGAGAAAATGCCTGCGGCATTAAGTCCACCTTGTGTACACCTTGTGCATGAAGCGTTAATAAAATAAAATAAAAATAAATAAAATATATCTAAAAAAAATGCGAGAATAAATCGAGATATAAGTATATCGACAAATCAATGAATGAAAGTGTAACATATTTCAATATTAAATTGCACCATGCTTGTTAGTTCACTTAAGGATTGCCGAAGTAACGGACAATGCAGATGATGTGGCTAGCTCTCCTGCTAACTGTTCACAGTCTTAACATTATCTGAGTCTAGAATCCAGAGCAGCATGTAAGCACAAAGTTCTTCATTTCTGGATTATCTGTAGAGAGATGTGGTGCAAATTCCTGACAGATGCAGAACAGCTTGGCTCAGGGTATGTTCCTGGCTGGTGGACGAGGAGCCTATGCCGCCACACCACTCCAGGGACCACTGGCATATCTGGAGAAGACGGCTACAAATATAGGTATAGTCTGCACTAGTCTGTAGTATTATTTATGCGAAAGCTATTGAGAATGGGTAATTGTTATTCTTTCATTTCAAAACTGACATAACATAATTACATTACGCCTTTTATCCTCGAAGAGGTAGGCAGAGGTGCACATTACAGCACTTAGCCACTGTACAATGTAACACCCACTTTTCACTATTTATGTTATGAGTCCCATGTAATAGGGGGTGAGCGTATTGCCATATACCGGGTACAACTCCAGACTCCGTGCTAGTACTGATTTCTTTTTTTTAAAACCCTGTTATTCTTTGCGCGTCCCGGGAATCAAACTCGAGCCCGGCAGTCGCGCTTGCGACCACTTATTGGATTAATAACACATGTGACTTACAAGACGTTTAATATACTTCTGTTTACCCCTTCTTGCAGACATGGTGGGTCTGGGTGATGGAAGAAGGTGACGCGGCCGCGGGAGGGGCAGGGGCAGAGGCCGCGGCAGAGGCCGAGGTAAGAACAATACTATTTTTTTTCGATTCAAGAGGAGGTATAAAGTTTATTCCGATTTGTTGGCGCGTTATTTGATGGGCCGACGTTTCACCACTATCTCGCCTGTTGGTCAGCGATGATGCTTCCTGCGATGGATCACGTCGTCGTTAACGCGAGGAGGAATCCACGGAGAATAACTATATGTAGTAAAAAATATCCTTTGCGGTACGTTTTAATAGAAAAATTTGTATTTGTACAACCTGCATCTTCAAATTTGAAACTTCCTTATCTTCTTCACAGGTCGTGGTGCATCCCCTGAGTATGGTGGCAGCATGACTCCTCCATAGCGCGCCCCCTCCCGGCGGCGTCCGAGATCGCGCCGGACACACAAACATACACACTCACAGACATACAAGGTGTTTTATTATGATTTACAGTATAACGCCACCTATTTAGGTATATGGGAAGTATAGTTTCCAGAATTAGGCAATAGATGGCGTGCAACTTATGATGGCCCTTGTGCTTTTGAAGTTTTGATTTTTGTATTGCTTGTTTCTTAAATTTAATTTTAAGTAATTACAATAATTGATTAGATGCCCATTTCATTGTTAGTTCAGAAAATTATTCACAAATTATAAATGTCGTACTTACCCGATCCTTTTTTAAAGAAAACTTATGTTTTTACAAGAAACACTTATTTAATTTATCGAATTATAAAACACCTTGTATGATGTACACATATTTAGCACAATATAATCAAATAAATACATATTTTAACTTGAAATTACAATAGGGAAGATGACTAATATTTCTTTAAGTCCGTTTAGTAAATTAATGAATAATATTGGCCTGCAGATTATTATGACCCTTGAATCTTCAAATACCGGTATTTTTTTAATCTCAGCTGTAGCACGGAGTCTGGAATTGTGCCCGGTATATGGCAATAGGCTCACCCTCTATAACATGGGACTCATAACATAAATAGTGAAAAGTGGGTGTTACATTGTACTTACAGTGGCATTAAGTGCCGTAATGTGCACCTTTGCTTATCCCTTCGATGATAAAAGGCGTGATGTTATGTTATGGACATTAAAATATTAATTTTTACTAGTAAGGTACCATAAACAAAGTACAGTTTATATTGAGCGATGACAAAGAATCTGGTAAACGTTAAATTCAGTTTATATCTATTACTTACCTAACAATAAAATATTCTACGGGCAAATATTTTAACCATCAGTTAATTCTAAACTGTAGAATAAAATTGACACATGACAGTTAGTATGGAAGAATATAACATCAGAGTAACCTTTCAGTATTCAGGCGTTAGTCTGTCAAGCTTCTCTCATTATTTATCTAACGGAATAAATAAATAGTCATCTTCCTTATGTCACCATGATTCCAAGAACAAATATGGAGTTTCTTGCACGCAAATTATATAAAAAAATAACGTAAATTAAGTACATTAGGTACCTATATTAATTATAAATAACTAGCTTTTACCCGCGGCTTTGCCCGCATATTCTTCTTTTATCCCATGGGAGCATTTAATCGGGATAAAAATACAGTCGTATACCAAATTTTATCAAATTCCGTTCAGTAGTTTCAGTGTGATTGATGGACAAACATGCAAGCAAAGAGATTTTTAATACTAGTGTGTAGTTTAGTCAAATATGAAATTACCATTTAGCCACGATTGCTGAGTAAAACATAGGTTCAATGCTCAAATCAAACACAGTGTTATTGAGCTTTTTGGATTTCCAAAATTGACAGTAATAGGGTAGATGCCTAATTTTTATTTTAATGTCCGTCTGGTACATTAATTTAAAACTTTAGACACGTATTTTTTCTTTTCTCACAAAATTAAATACTTTCGACGATATATTGATTTGAAATATGGTGTGACGTCACAGCGTGCCACATTTTGTAGCACGATATGACGTAACGACCTCCCACTCCTAAACTTAGCGCCATTTTATCTAAGTATTGCAACTTAATACGAGAAAATAAAAAAATACGTGTCTAATATTTTTTTATTAACTAACTAACGGACTAATTAGATTTTTAATTTTCATACCCTGTGATCACACCAATTGTACAGTTTGTTGGTATAGATATATGGCAATACACTCACCCTCTATTACATGGGACTCATATCATTACCATTGAAACGTGGGTGTCACATCTCATATCTGTGTCTGTCTACCCCTTTCGGGGAGTAAAAGGCATTGAGATATACCTAGTAAAATTATATTTAAATGTAGTTTTAATTGTAATAATAATTATCAAAAATCATTAAATAAATCAATTAGAATTAATGTACATATTGTTTTATTTTGGAGTCTCTGACCGCTGCCTCCTCGTCCACTGGTTGTTAAGGCCCACTTTGTGCACCAGTGGATGTCTTTCTGATCGATGATGATGCCATTCTATGTTCCAGTTACTTTCCTTTGTTCCTGTTCGGAGCGGTAACGGGATCATAGCGCTATCAACATTTTATATTAAAATAATTCATTAATTAACACGAGTTGTCCCAGCGCTCGATAGATGGCGTTGGGATCGAGTTAGATGGCGCTATGGTTTCGTTACCGGGATTTATACATATAGGGTTTTTTTTAAGGGGGGAAAATCATCGAAGGACTGCTCCCGCCTGGGTGAGGCGGAAGGGAGTGTCAGACTCTTACTGACTAAAAACCACCCCGTTCCTTCTCCTGCACGTCGAGCCGGAGCCCCGGTTACCCGTTAGGTTCTCCGCGACATACATATAGGGTACGGGGAAATGTTTACTACGGTGTGAGCAGCAAGCATAGTAGTTGTGATATTATACGCGATTAATATTTCAATACAGTGTGTTAATTCATCCACCCTCTCCAAGTCGACCTTCGTTCAGTTCCAATTGCTTCTACACCGTGAAATCTATTTAGTTTTCGTCCCGAAGTAAAATGGTTCTGTCTCGGTAAAACAATAGTTTTACAAAGAAATAAAATGTTTTAAACAAAAACACAACGGGCCGCGGTCGCGCAGCCCCGGCGGGTAGCACCCGCGCGCTCAGCGATTGGTTTGGCGATCGCAATGGGAGGGCCGCGGCCGGTCTAAAACTCAACTGATTGTATAACCGCCCGTCTTGCGATAATCTATAATAAGTTTGCGACAATAAGTCGTCCCATTAGTAGAATAATGTTCTATTTGCAAATTGTCGACTTTTCAGTACAGCGATTATAAATTTCGTGTGCACATATTTGCTTATAAATCTGTTATAAATGATACTAGCTACTTAATATTTGTACAGTATGCACAGAAGTTAGTACCGCTTATGATAATATAATTATTTATTTTATAAACTATGCCTTTTCAAGTATAATGGGTAGCATGTGCATATACAACGTTCTTTTGCCAAAAAATATATTGAATGAGGTGTCTTAAGGATACATAAAACAATATTCGACGAAACTATTCACGATACATCGGCATATCAAACATTATTTTACGAATTTTGGCGGTTGTATCCGTGTTTTATAATAGTTTGCGGGCGATAATCACAACATCGGCGGCTGGCTGCGGGATAGTAGAGGTACAAAAGTGCGGTCTCGTGAGTTTTTAATATTCCCAAAAATTCTACCTCAAAATACGATACATTGTCGCTTGTCAGGAGAAAGCAAAACAACTTTTTTGAAAAAACTATTATTATCATAGCATAAGAAGGTAAACGAGCAGACGGATCACTTGATGGTAAGCAATCAGCGTCGCCCATGGACACCTGGAACACTAGAGGCGTTACAATTGCGTTACCGGCCTTTTGGGAATTGGGTATTTGAGAAATGTGGTGGATACAGAGATTCGGGAGACTAGGGAAAGGGGGTAATTGGGCTTCCGGTAACTTCACTCTCTCTCAGCCCACACTTTATAGATGGCCCGGCTCGACTGGAGTGATACCACGGCCGAGCCGAAAACCGACGTGAAGCAATGATTGGGATTGGGGAGTCGGATTTTGGGGTTGGGGGAGAATTTTAATGCCGTTCAGGCCACACGACGCTCTCTATCCACGGCACGTAGTGATACACCCTTGTGTACATCCCGGCGTCGCCTGCATACCCACACGCTCGCCCGTATGACGTCACACCTATGATGCTATACAGACATTTTGAAAGGCGTGGTGTCACTTGTAGAGGGCCTCCGCTGTCACCCTGGAGAAAAATTAATGAAATGATTTAACGTTAACTTTGCTACATAGGTAGATGGCGCTAGAGTAGCCTAAGGTGCAGTCGCGTCATTTTCTAAGAGGTAACTCGGCTATCGATTCTGAGTCTGAATTGTAGGTAAATATTTTTCATTTTTCTGTAAATCCGTAAGTGCGAACTACGCGCCGCCGTCTTGTAACTAGCTTTATAACGCGGCTCAACACACACAAACTCAAACACGTAATTGACATTATTCCTTATTCCATAAAACTCCAATAAGAAACATTGCTGTCGCTTATTCTGAAATACTGTCGAACTTAAATGATTTATTATAGCCGTATTTTTAACTATTGGCCCAAAACTTTCTCTTACATTGAACCTTTCTTTATGACTTCTGTGACATGCTCCCGAGAAATGCCACGGTTTCAAAACTACATCTTGTATATATAATAGAAAATTTATCACCACCATTATTTCTGCCACACGATGTCCATTAACGAACACAGGACTTCCCCTATATATAGTAAGAAACTATATATTTGACAGAGCTAGATCAATCTCTGAAAAACTTTGAACCTTTTGACGTGAACTGTGCTTTGCAACCCGCCTTGTTGAGAGCAGAGATTATGACAAACCGTCTCATGTAGAGGAGGTCGATAGTCCAGCAGTAGCCTCTACCAGACTACCAGACTGCCTCGTTGGCCGAGTGGTCGCGATTGCAAATGCCGGGCAAGGGGTCTCGGGTTCGATTCTCGGGTCGGGCAAAATATTACTGGGTTTTTTCAAAATCTCAGTATAAGCACGGAGTCTGAAAATGTGCCCGGTATATGGCAATAGGCTCACCCCCTATTACATGGTACTCATAACATAAATAGTGAAAAGTGGGTGTTACATTGTAGTTACAGTGGCATTAAGTGCCGAAATGTACACCTCTGCCTATCCCTTCGAGGATAAAAAGTACTGTAAAAAAGAACTATAACAATATTACCTCGCAAGTATCCTTAGGTTCCTTTAAATCTCCATAACAGAGCTGTGTCTCTGAGTTGTATCCCTGCTTCAGAAGCCGATGAGGCGGGTAGTTCTTCAGACACTGTTCACTTGAGAATTTCTGTAGTGTTACCTGAAAAACATATTATAATGACTTTAAGGCTGCGTTTCCATTGGCGCGGAGCGGGGCGTAGAGGAGCTAAGCGGTGCACGAGTTGACCACTATGGTCGATATCTCTGCTCCGCTTCAATGGAAACAACTTGAAGGATTTTTTGCTCTGTCTCGACTGTCAAAGTCCTATAATGAAATTTCTGGTGAAGTGGATATTTTTGCTGACACGCTACCATTTTAAAAAGGCTGTAGTGAGATTGTTGAGTGACCATAATACGTAGATTTTTAATATGTACCTACTTAGATTTTTTATTTCAGTTTTTTATTTTATGTTTTAATTTTAAGTATTTCTTAGTTTTTATACTTTTTATTTTACTTTCCAATTGTCACAAATACTGATAAAAGTGTCATCGTTAGGTTACTGTGCATTTAAAATTTCTTACAATATAAGTGCTTAGATATAAGACCTAATGTAGCAACTACTGGTTGTCCAAAAATATAAATAAATAAATAAACAGCATGAGCGGGGTGGAGCAGAAATGAGTGAATATCCATAATACATAAAAATACAGCGAGGCAAAGCGGTGCGGAGGTCAACGACCTTCCGTTGCTAGGCTCACCCCCTATTACATGGGACTCATAACATAAATAGTGAAAAGTGAGTGTTACATTGTACAGTGGCATTAAGTGCCGTAATGTGTAACTCTGCCTACCACTTCGGAGGTAAAAATGCGTAGTATTATTTTTGTATACGGTCTCTCTGTACAAGTTAGAAGACTCCATATCCTCACCGTCTGTAGATTATCAGCCAATGGTTGGTGCTTGCCGAGTTTGCCCCAGCCTGTGGCCTGGGCATTGAACTGGTCTTGGCCTTCGTAATCTAAGCACGCTGGGAACACGTCCTTACTGTATTTTACACTGCAATTAAATAAATATAGTTATTGGTTTCATGACAGAGTAATAATTATATGTCACCACCGCTACTCTTCCCGCGGGTGCCGTACACCCGAACCTCAAACAATGGGACTGCACGAAGAGATTAATGATGTGACGACGGCAGAGTGTAGTACTCTTCCCGCGGGTGTCGTATACCCGACTAAGGCACTACACATTAGACAGAGACCGGGCAGCAGCGCTCTCTGATAAACCTGAGCCTTTTATACTGTGATTTTCAAATACTTTTTTATTGGATGAGCCGGTAAACGAGCCGATGCATCAAATGAATTATGAAAATAAATATAATAGATAGATCACACCGGAACACTGAAGTGGACATGAACAACTGTCTTGGTTCCTCACAGAAAACCGACGTGAAACAACGTTTGCGTTGTGTTTCATCGGTTATCGGAGGCCCAATTTTTCACCCGCTACTCCCCAATCCCTGAAACCCCGACAACCCTCAAATTCCTAATTGCCAAAAGGCCGGTAACGCACTTGTAACGCCTCTGATATTCCGGGAACCAAGGGCGGCTCCGATTGCTTACCATCAGGTGATCCGTCTGCTCGTTTACCGGCTTATCTCATGAATAATCAGAAAATATTATGGGGGAAGAAGAAAATAAATACTCATCTCACCATCATCTCATAACTTCACGCCTTTTTATCTCCGAAGGGCTAGGTAGAGGTGCACATTACGGCAATTAATGCCACTGTACAATGTAACACCCACTTTTTACTATCTGTTATGAGTCCCATGTAATAGGGGGTGAGCCTATTGCCATATACCGGGCACAATTCCAGACTCCGTGCTACTGCTGAGACTTTTTTTTAAACCCAGTAATACTTTGCCCGACCCGGGATTCGAACCCAAGACCTGTTGCCCAGCAGTCGCATTTGCGACCACTCGGCCAACGAGAATATAAACACATCGGTACATAATACAACGTTACTCACGGTCTATCAATCTCGATCAAGGCGATGTCATTGTATTTCGAAGGTGGCGCGTACTCCGGATGTTGCATGATTCTCTTGACTTTATATATCTGCCACAACTTCATGGGATCTGACCTCTTTAGGATACCCATAGCCACGAACGTCACAGGTCCTCTGAAAAAATCAATATATATATTTACTGGCTTCCTTCGTTCGGGCATCCTATCTCAAGACTGCGATGAGGATATTTTTTTCGACATTGTAAGTTAGTTTTTTTCCTTTTCTATTCATTTTCTGTGTTATCTTATACATGTAGGTACTAGCTGTTGCCCGCGACTTCGTTCGCTCCTCTCCGCCTCCCCCGTAGATGATAGCGTGATAATATGTTGACCCGACCTGTTAGTAATATTCATTCAAATTTGAAGTCAATCCATGCAGTACTTTTTGAGTTCATCCCGGACATACATATAAGCAAACAGACAAAAATTCTAAAAAATGCTAATATGTATTATGAACTAGCTTTTGCCCGCGGCTGTGAGATCAGGTTTAATAACATACAAGCTTTTTTTTTAAGGGGGGAAAATCATCGAATGCCTGCTCCCGCCTGGGTGAGGCGGAAGGGAGTGTCAGACTCTTACTGACTAAAAACCACCCCGTTCCCTCTCCTGCACGTCGAGCCGGAGCCCCGGTTACCCGTTAGGTTCTCCGCGACTCCGAATCATCATCACATACACGCTAGGACTGGCCTGTCGGTTATGCACGGCTAAAACAATCATGCAAAACCTAGCGTGTATGGCTTCCTTTACAATCTGAATAAAAATGAAGTTTTCTCACATGGCAGTTTCTATGATGCAGTGGGCGGCAGTCAGTATGAATCTGTCACTGATGAGGGAACCACCACACAGCCACTGAGCTGAGTCGACCTCCTGTCCGTATCCTAGTAGTGCCTGTAAGAATGAAGACGGTTAAAAATTAATGTTCATAAGAATTTATTTATTTATTTATTTTATTTTATGTTAATACGGTTTACACTGCCGTACACATAATGCCACTGTACACAGTGGCATTATGTGCCGTAATGTGCACCTCTGCGAAACCCTTCGGGGATAAAAGGCTTGTAAGTTATGCTATTAAATATTTTGTGTTTTCTAACCATGTGTGGGTACCGCGACCTCTCAGCGTTTTCCCCGCCGTGCACAACTGCGTAGAATTTGACTTCGTAATAATTGCACTGTTTTTTATTATCCCAAATTTTTTCCAATCCCCTTGTCTGACAGGGGTACGGCAAATAGGACAGGTGTTCGAGGCATTCTGAAAAATAAACCATAATTTTAATAGGAGTTACGACAGGGTGTGTTTAAGTGTGGGAGAGCCACGTAAGAAGGTTTTATTGAGGTTAAATCTAGTGGGGTGATCGATGAGCTGGCGGTCTCCCCATACTGGTAACTGTCCAACGGGCCGGGCGGTTGCTATGATCAATGATCTTTTACAAAGCAATCCTGATGCAGACCTTTTTTTCGATGGTGTTAGTGCAATGTCCAGATACATTTTGGCTTATCTCAATGACTCTTAACACTTAATTTTAGACTAAATAGGTTGTTTTTGAATTGTTTGTCGGTTTTTATTGTTTGGTTGATTTTTTATTGTTTTATTACTTAAATATTTAACTGTATTGATCTCATTATTGTTCCTAATTTTAGTTATAATTTAATATTTTAATTGTGTATTTAGTTACATGTAGACGATTTGGTAGACACAATACTGTTAGTCTATATAGTTGTAATTATAAATAAATAAATAAATAAATAAATAAATAAATAAATAAATAAATAAATAAATAAATGATGTAGCGATTCTTAGCTGGGCACGAGGCGGCGACATGAGGACACGACTCAACAGTTTGATGTTTGTAATATGGATGATTTACAGTCTGGGAGAGCCATGCTTCGGCACGAATGGGCTGGCTCGTCCGGAGTGATACCACGGCCGAGCAAAAGACCGACATGAAACAACGTTTGCGTTGTGTTTCGTCGTGTGAGTGAGGTTACCGGAGACCCTATTACCCTCTTTTCTCCAATCTCCCCAATCCCTGAATCACCAACAATCCTCAAATTCCAAATCCCAAATGGCCGGTAACATACTTGTAACGCCTCTGGTATTCCAGGTGCCCATAGGCGATATCGCTTGCTTACCATCAGGTGATATGTCTGCTCGTTTACCGACTTATCCCATAAAAAATAAAGATCCATAAGCTCTGTACTTACTATCTATCGCCTTCCGTCCGCTTTTAAAGTATACCCCACCTCCAGTGTCCACGATAGCATTCCTGGAAGAAAACAAAAGACACTTGCTTGTCAGTTGTTTCTGTGACTACTCGATACAGTGAATGAATTATTTTTATTGAGAAATGCTCACCATGTGTGCCAGAGCCATGCTTCGGCACGAATGGGCCGGCTCGACCGGAGTGATACCACGACCACGGCCGTGTGAGTGAGGTTACAGGGGGACCAATTAACTCCCCCTCATTTCCCTAATCCCTAAATCGCTAACAATCCTCAAATTCCTAATCTCCAAAAGACCGGTAACGCACTTGTAACGCCTCCGGTGTTCCAGGTATCCATGGGCGACATCGATTGTTTACCATCAGGTGACACATCTGCTCGTTTACCGGCTTATCCCATAAAAAAACCACATCCACCGAAAACCGCTGCAACTCCGGTGCACCAGTATGTACAGTAGATACAACCATGAAAACACCGGAACACTGAAGTCCGGCGCGTCCCAGGGACATAAATAACTGTCTTGGTTCCCGCAACGAAATGAATCAGAAGATAATTATTATGTATGTCTTTACCATTCACGGGACCACAGGGTCCCGGTCATTTGGGAGGCGTACGAGGGGCCGAAGCCAACTGCGCAGAGGCCCTTTAGACAACTTTAATCTAAATGTAATGGACACACAAACCGGCGACTATCCCTGTATGCATTGGCTTAATTCATTCTGTCTCCTGCAGAAATTCACCGAGGGAAGTGGAAACTATAGTTTTTTCTTCTCCTCTTATAATATCTTCTGATTCATTTCATTGCGGGAACCAAGACAGTTACTCATGTCCCTGGGACGCGCCGGACTTCAGTGTTCCGGTGTTTTCATGGTTGTAGCTACTGTAGATCCTGGCTTACAGGAGTTGCAGCGGTTTTGGGAGGTTGTGGCGGGCTTGTCCCAAAAAAAAAAAATCCCTGTATGCACTATGGAAATGCACCCAAGGACAGTCCCCGGTTAGTGTAGGACTATTGTGAATAATGGAAAAAAAAAGGTAGGGCTATGGATGGGTTGCTGTGGACTGGTAAATTGGGAACTATGGATGACTATGGCACCTGCCGAAACAATGTAATTTTTACACGTAAAAATGGCAGGCGGAGACTCGCCAACTCACCGACCGGGCCCCGGGAATGGTTGCTAGATATAGCAACAGAGGGGCAACGAGAATGTGAGTGGCTGAAGGGTTAAGAAACTACCACCGCTTTCTACTCAGATCATCTGCTCCAGCCGAAGCCTCCTGCATCCCTGGCCCACTCGCGACTTACGAATAGTTTCTTACCCTCCGAGCAGGATTACTGCTCTCGCGACTCCACTCTGGACGGCCAATGAAGGCAAGCCAGAGGCGGGAGACCTGTTCCTTGTCATCTTTCACTCCAGCCAGCCAATAAAGGCAAGCCGGAGAAGAAGGAACGGTGACTTCTCCCTGGAGCACTCGGGATGATGGTAGCCCGCGGGATCGCTAATGCCCGTCACCTCGCCTCAAGGTGCCCTGCTATTATTATTATAGAACAAGAAAAAACCATAGTTGCCACTGGTGAATTTAACACAGGAGACAGAATGACTTAAGCCTAACGGCACAAAAGAGATTGTACAACTGGGTGAAGCCCAGTCGGGAAGCACCACGGAATTTTGACTTACAGCTTAGTGGGTCCTATGTATGAGCTGTTATACTTGCTTACGCAAAACGCCTAAACGCACGATGCTTGAATATTGTCTATTTTTATAATAACTATCGTGAGACATACTACCTCTAAATTAAGTAAAAATAAAAACGCGGGTTACTCACGTGAATATACTGAGAAAAGCTCTACTAGTACTGCGCGACGTCGCCGCGACCGCGCACGCTGCTCATGAGGAAGAACCCCTCTGTGGTTCGAAACTAGTAGAGCTTTTCTCAGTATATTCACGTGAGTAACCCGCGATTTTACTTAATTGTTTATTTTGTTGGAGTAACTAAATCATCATCATCATGCGTATAGCCACGTACCCACAGTCCTCCCTAACGACCTCACATCGCGACGTTGGAAGCGACTTACGTACAACCACGCGTTGCGACCTACATCAGGTCGCTAAGGAAATTATGATAGGATTCTAAGATTATTAAATTAAGTACTGACCTTGTGTCATTGACTAGTTCACAGTCGTTACAGCATATTATAGGCTCCTTTCGTTTGAATGAACATATCTAATGAAAAAATGAGATATAATGTTAATAATCACGATACCCTCATACCCTATTGCTACGATTATGATTGGAACGATACATCGGATCAATAGGAAGATAGGAAGTATGGCCCGAGTGAATAGGTTGCTTACGGGACGACGTGCTCCATCGTAGACCGCATCATCGCTTACCAACAGGCGAGATAGTGGTCAAACGTTGGCCCATCAAATATAAAATAAAAAAAAGGTTTTTATAGGGCGGGGGCCTTAGGTGGGATGAGAGAGTGTCCCACTCTTACTGACTACCCGAGCGTACGGCGCGTCGCGTTTCGCGCGCGCTTCAAAGAGCCATCAGACCACCACGGATGGGGCCAAATAGGGCTGATGCCGATGCGGAGCTGCGGAGGTCTTAACGGGTTGCCGGGGCTCCGGCTCGAAGGGCAGGAGTAGGAAAGGGGTGGTTTTTAGTCAGTAAGAGTCTGAAACTCCTGATGATTTTCCCGTCTTAAAATGAAAAAAATAAAAGGCTCTTACTGACTAAACACCACTCCGTTCCTACGCCTGCACTTCGGGTAGTAGCCTCAGTCTCGACTTCTCGAATTCTCGATAGGGAGATACACATAACACCCAAACCCGAAACAATAATTTGTAGATCACACAAAGAGTAGCCCTTGTGCTGGAATCGAACTCGCTACACGTTGCGCGACAGCCAGTTGCCCAGCCACCGCACCAACCTCTTAATGCTACTTAATGTACTCTTAATGTACAATGTAACACCCACTTTTCACTATTTATGTTACGAGTCCCATGTAATAGGGGGTGAGCCTATTGCCATATACCGGGCACAATTCCAGACTCCGTGCTACTACTGAGAATTAAAAAAAAACCGACCCAGGAATCGAACCCGAGACCCCTTGCCCGGCAGTCGCACTTGCGACCACTCGGCCAACGAGGCAGTCATTATTAGTTGGATAGTTAAAAGCTGATATATTACCTTAGGTTGACTTTTAGCCTTCAGATCGACGATAGACGACAGACATTTGAACACATGGACGCATTTGCCGACACCTTGCTCAGTTTCACACCGTTCTCCTAAACAGGATAGAATTATATATATTTTTTTAAATGTATTGTTTTTAATTTCATATATTTTTTTAAAATTCTCTACAAATTATGTTTCTAAATACTACATAGCGATTGTGTCACCTGTTTAAACTGTCAAATACCAAGCGGTCACCGGTGACCGCGACCTATTGTTCTTTAATTGTGTGTATAAAACCGGTACTCGACGAGTTAATCTTGTGAAATTAAGATTTTTCTTTCTTTATAAATGTTAATCGGCGTCACCCATGCGTTACCTGCATTCTAGGCATTAGATATTTGAGGATTGTTAAGGATTCAGGAATTGGGGAGTAGCCGAGTTGAGAGGGAAAATAAAAATAATTGGGCGTCCGGTAACCACACTCACACGACGAAACACAACGCAAGCGTTGTTTCACGTCGGTTTTCTGCTCGTCCGTGATATCACTCCGGTCGAGCCGGCCCAGCAATACCGAAGCATGGTTCTCTCACACTTAAAATGATTACTTAACCAAGTCCCTAGCACTTAAGGATAGCCTTTTAAGGGGGGAAAATCATCGAATGACTGCTCCCGCCTGGATGAGGTGGAAGGGAGTGTCAGATTCTTACTGACTAAAAACCGCCCCGTTTCTTCGAGCCGGAGCCCCGGTTACCCGTTAGGTTCTCCGCGACAAGGAGGACCTAAGGACTTGTGGCGACACAAGTCATACGCCAAATATCGATGAAAACATTCCAACGGACGACGTCACAAAAATCCTACATCGCACGAGTAAAGTTTACATGCGAACAAACACGGATAGAAAATCCCAACGAACAACTGTTGGGCATAAAGCCCGCTAGGCACGATCACCTCGCCTGGTCGGAGGATCCTCCTTTTCCGATCTTAGGAAACTATACTCTCTGTTCCCTAAAGACTTACGGCGCGATTTTCTCCCGCGCCCGCCACGATATGGAATAAGATCGCGCCGTGAGTCTGTAGCCGAACTGTCTAAGGGCCGAAACACATAACCGCGTTGCGTCGCCGCAACGCTAAAATCGGTAGTTTGCGTTGCGGCGTTGCGGCGTCGTGAAAAAGAGCGTTTTATTGTCGATCAGTAGGGTAACCAGTTCGTCATGATTTTTTATTGTGGATAGACGTGTCTCTGCCATGGACCATCGTGGAAAACTTATTGCTTATTTGCTATTAAGAAGACTTATTTGCTATGCTGGAACGAGCGCTGGGCGTTGGGCGCCGCGCCGCTAGAATCGACAGTAGCGTCACTGCGATTTAAGCGGCGCGGCGCCGCAACGCCGTTATGTGTTTTGGCCCTAAATGTATTAGTAGGAGCCCATGAAGGGATTTCGGTAGTTACTCGAGCGCGTCAGATTAACATATGGGGAAAACCTAGTGTCATGTTGAATATACCCACCATATATCCGATATGATTAGAAGGGATAATATGACTAAAAGATATGAAGATATGACTAAAAATTTTTTAAAAAGTCTGACTAAATAAAGTCAGTTTCGTCAGAATAAGGGGAGGTAGGTCAATACCATGCTAAAGGAAGTGCGTTTATATAATCTGCCCATTCCAACTTGATTTGCAAGAGTGGGGGGATTTTGAAGGGTTCTCGTTTGTACTCTCCAGAACATTCAACCCCACCATGCAAACTGGCAGATTAAGAGTTTTATTATTAAATACATATGGAGCATGTACACTATCAATATCTGACACGCTCGACCACTAGAACAAAAGTTACGCTTAACAATTTCAAAGATCTGTGGATTCCCCCTTCCCCAACCGGGGGAAGAAATTGTCACTAAACCATTTCTTCTTTCTATCAGCATATCTTCAAAATCCAGTCCCAACGACGCTCAAGTAAATCCAAATTTAGCATCGTGGGCTCCCCTACTATATCCGAGTACGGCAGTTAGTTTGAATTTAGAACAGCCATTGTTTCATTAGTCACGTATATTTGACACACCGTGAAGTCCACCGATGCAATGCATGTGTGCATCATGTTACATCTTACAGTTCGTTAGTTTGTGTGTATGCTTGTTACTAAATCACATTAAAACCGGTGAAGGGATCGGTGTGAAATTCGGAACATGGGTTGGTTATGGTCTTTATAGTTTTTGAGGGGGGGAAATCATCGAATGACTGCTCCCGCCTGGGTGAGGCGGGAGGGTGTGTCAGACTCTTACTGATTAAAAACCACTCCGTTCCTTCTCCTGCACGTCGAGCCGGAGCCCCGGTAACCCGTTAGGTTATCCGCGACGAGTAATTGGCATAGGCATATGCCACGGGAACGCTGGCAAAGCCGTGGGTAGAAGCTAGTAAATTAAATAATAATTCTATATATAAACTACGTTTAAAAAATCCAACTAATTTTTTAATTCGTATCTTATCTTACCTATACGATTATATAAAGCGGAAGTTTGTTTTTTTGTTTGTTTGTTTGAACGCGCTAATCTCCGTAACTACAAGTCTGATTTGAATAATTCTTTTTGTGTTGGATAGCGCATTTAGCGAGGATGGCTATAGGCAATAAAACATCACGCTACGACCCATAGCACCTAAACAGAGCGTGAGCGCGCTAGAAAAGAATATATATTAAACATTTTCCTGAAAACCGCATCAAAATCGGCTCAGCGAAACGCGATATAATTGGGCACAAATACAAATATACAGGTTAAATTGAGACACGCCATCTTTTTTGAAGTGATTTAAAAATATCGTTGTTTTCCCGAAGTTAAAAGTTTAAGTGTGGGAGAGCCATGCTTCGGCACGAATGGGACGGCTCGACCGGAGTGATACTACGGCCAAGCAGAAAACCGACGTGAAGCAACGCTTGTGTTGTGTTTCGTCGTGTGAGTGAGGTTACCGGAGGCCCAATTACCCTTCCCTTCCCTAATCTCCCCAATCCCTGAATCCCCAACGATCCTCAAACTCCTAATCCCCAAAAGGCCGGTAAAGCACTTGTAACGCCTCTGGTGTTCCAGATGTCCATGGGCGACGCCGATTGCTTACCATCAGGTGATCCGTCTGCTCGTTTACCGGATTATGACATAAAAAAAAGTAAAATGGTTTTGTCTCGGTACAATACAATCCTTCCTACTTCTCTACCGGCTTGTTACTCTTTCACGCAGAAACTTCTGAACGGATCAGAAGGAAATTAGGTACACCGATAGATCATAGTATAGAATAATACATAAAAACACTTTTTAATCCGATAACGCGAGTGAAACAGCTGGTAGAAGCTAGTTTTTAAACAGTTTTATTTAGTTCATGTGTTTGGGTGTCTAGTAATTGTAATTTCACCCCCTTCCTGACGACAGATCGATCTGATATTTATATATATATATATCACTGATATTTGGTACACACTCTTAATCTTGATGACCATATACGTACAATATAGTCTAATTGTTTCCACAAAAACCTTCATTATTTTTTTATTTTATTTATTTATTTATTGAATGGTGAATCAACAGCTACATTACATAGATTTAGCAGAAAATAGCAACATTGAGCCGCTTACAGATACTTTTTTATTTTATTTATTTATTTAAGGTCAGCCAACGACTGTTTACACATCATATTACAACAAATCGGTTTACAATAAGCATTTGTAAGTGTAACAATCAATTAAAGGTTAACACATCATGCACAAGAGAATAGTTATTAGCCTTTTTTTAAGGGGGGAAAATCATCGGATGACTGCTCCCGCCTGGGTGAGGCGGGAGGGAGTGTCAGACTCTTACTGACTAAAAACCACCCCGTTCCTTCCCCTGCACGTCGAGCCGGAGCCCGGTTACCCGTTAGGTTCTCCGCGACAATAGTTATTAGCCTAAGTTTAGATTATTAAAAACAAATACAAATTTCCCATAAACAGAAATCTATTTAAGGTGAACTCACAATTGGCTAGTTTCCAGTGTATGAAAATTAAAAATCTAATTAGTCCGTCAGTTAGATATTGAAAAAATATTAGACACGTATTTTTTATTTTCTCGTATTAAGTTGCAATACTTAGATAAAATGGCGCTAAGTTTAGGAGTGTCACGGTATTTTAAATTAATATATCGTCGAAAGTATTTAATTTTGTGAGAAAAGAAAAAATATGTGCCTAAAGTTTTAAATTAATGTATCAGACGGACATTGAAATAAAATTTAAGAAACTATTGGAACAAACAGTAGAAATACTTAATATAACAACAAAGATTGATCAATTAGAAAAAAATAACAAACAAATAATATTTAGCAATCCATCATGGATATCAAACGAAAGAGCTTGATTGGCAGAATATAGCTCATTATAACTGTTTATAAATAATTCGTTATTATAATTAAACAAGAAATATTAAAATAATTCAGTTTACCAAACCTTCGACACGATCGTAGGAACACTTCACGGTTATAAACAAAAGAATTATGCTTAAAACACAGTAATTTAACTTAAACATGGCTTCGATTTGTAATTTTTATTTTACTTATTGCTACAAGCTACCGCGGAGCGTGTACTGTGCTGACTGGGATTAACTCTAACGGTGACTGAGTAACAAAACTGGTTTGATATAGTCGTAAATAAAATTACTACTAACTATATTGTTGTTTTTGTTTTTCTGCGTTTCTTAGGTTAAACTGAGTCATTCGGACGTTTCGCCAACTTGCCGACGCTACGTTCATTTGATTTGATTGATTGATTTTAATTTAGTGTCGTGTTTCTAAACTTCGTCTGCCTCGTTGGCCGAGTGGTCGCCAGTGCGACTGCCGGGCAAGGGGTCTCGGGTTCGATTCCCGGGTCGGGCACAGTATTACTGGGGTTTTTAAAAATTCTCAGTAGTAGCACGGAGTCTGGAATTGTGCCCGGTATATGGCAATAGGCTCACCCCCTATTACATGGGACTCATAACATGAATAGTGAAAAGTGGGTGTTACATTGTACAGTGGCATAATATGCACCTCTGCCTACCCCTTCGGGGATAAAAGGCGTGATGTTATGTATGTATGTATGTTTCTAAACGACTGCGGAATAAAAAAACTCCATATTATAATAGAGATTTTGGTCTTGTCCATGTTCATTTTTAAGACGACATCGAGGTCGCTGAGCATGGTGTTTAGATCCTCCAGCGACTCCGCCATGATGACGACATCATCGGCGAAGCGGAGGTGTGTGATGTATTCGCCATTGATATTTATGCCCAGTCCACTCCAGTTTAAGCGCTTGAAAACGTCCTCCAATGCGTTGGTAAACAGTTTCGGAGAAATCACGTCTCCCTGTCTCACGCCTTTCTAAGTGGACCGACGACATCGCCAGAGTTGCGGGGAGCCAGTGGATGCGAGTGGCGAGTTGTCGTTCGACGTGGAGGACTAAGGGGGAGGCCTTTGTCCAGCAGTGGACGTATTCCAGCTGTTGATGATGATGATTTTTTTTATGGCATAAGCCGGTAAACAAGCATACGGATCACCTGATGGTAAGCAATCGGCGTCGCCCATGGACACCTGGAACACCGGGGGCGATACAAGTGCGTTACCGGCCTTTTGGGGATTAGGAGTTTGAGGATCGTTGGGAATTCAGGGATTGGAGAGATTGGGGAAGGGGAGGGTAGTTGGGCCTCCGGTATCCTCACTCACACGACGAAACACAACGCAAGCGTTGCTTCACGTCGGTTTTCTGTGAGGCCGTGGTATCACTCCGGTCGAGCCGGCCCAGCAGCGCCGAAGCAAAAATGATGATGATGTATTAGAGAATCGGTTACCAAAGACTTCGAAAAAGGAGGTTCGCAAATTGACTTTGATGTATGTAGTCTCGTTATTGACAGAACCGATATTGATGCGGTTTTTTAAGACTAAAAAAGCAGAATAAGGCTGTTAATTTGACTTGTAGGTACGTAGGTATGGTTATAAGTGGGATTTTCCCTCCTAATAAAACACAATTGGGCTGGCTCGACCGGAGTGATGCCCCGGCCGAGCAGAAAACCGATGTGAAACAACACTTGCGTTGTGTTTCGTCGTGTGAGTGAGGTTATCGGAGGCCCATTCTCCCCAATAATCCTTAAATCCCTAATTCCCAAAAAGCCGGAAACGCACTTGTAACGCCTCTAGTGTTTCGTTTGTTCATGGGCAACGCTGATTGCTTACCACAAGGTGAATCGAGCGGCGTATTCCATAAAAAAAAATTATAAATGCTAAGCTTGAAAGGACGTATTTTTCTCCTTGACGTGAAATATGACACAGAGATAAATTACAGTGTTGAATAATACATAGGCTTTTTTTATATTTGATGGGTCGACGTTTGACCACTATCTCGCCTGGTGGTGCGCGATGATGCTGTCTACGATGGAGCACGTCGACCCATAAGCAACCTATTCACTAGGGCCTTGAAGACACCCATTCTACCCTCCTTTTTATTCGTAAATTAGTAAGTAAAATACACTTTATTATTAAAAAAACGTTCATAGGATCTTAATTTATTATGGTCATTTACACAGGTTAACTCACATTAAAAAAAATACACTTATCATGTCAAAAGAATATTAGATTTTCAATCTTATTTACAACATTATAGAGATGAAAATCAAGTAAAGAAACACAGTGTAGCTTGATGAGCTGCGTATTTATCTACTTGAGAATCACTTAGGGACATTACTATGCCAAGTACGTAAGTAATGTTAAGGAAAATATCTGTTATAAGTACTTGCTTTATACTATTTTTAGTTTAGCTGTGTGACGACGGCATAGTTGAATACAAATGTCCACCTTAACTCCTCCCGCGAGTGTCGTATACCCAACTAAGGGTAAACACGTTGATGTGAACAGACTTGGTAGCAGCGCCCTCTGATTAACCTGGATTTGTTGATCGCGGGACGATCTCCAGCCACCGTAAGCGCGGGCCTGCGGACGGTGAGCATGGCATGGCCAGAAACAGACCCGAGCGTACAGCGCCGAGCGTTCCGCGCGCGCCTCAAAGAGCCATCAGACCACCACGGATGGGGCCCAACAGGGCTGATACCGATTCGGAGTCGCGGAGAACCTAACGGGTTATCGGGGCTCCGGCTCGACGTGTAGGAGAAGGAACGGGGTGGTTTTTAGTCAGTAAGAGTCTGACACTCCCTCCCGCCTCACCCAGGCGGGAAGTCATTCGATGATTTTCTCCCCTTAACTCTTTGAGTACCGTCTTTATAGACAGAAATAAAGAACGATAGGTTGCGGTCACCGGTGTCCTCGCGGTGTTTGACAGTTTAAAATAAAAACCTGGATTTGTTAATATACGGTCTCCAACCCGGTTATCATTTGTAGAGGGCAATGCCTAACGCTATGGGCTCACGACGCGATTTTCACCCGCGCCTGCCACGGTGGCGGAATGGAGATTTAGCTATTTTCAAAAGTCACGAGGCAGGAGTTTCCAGCGGTGCCGCATACGCCGCGGTTGCGATTATCGCCCGCAAACTTGGCTGTTGATTATTCCTCCCGCCTCACCGAGGCTCCCGGCTTCAATTTCGTATTTAGATTAGGATATTTTTTAGTTCAATGAAAAACGATTTTAACTTATCAATAAATAAAAATTTCGATACCACGGATAGAGGTCGCTTGGATCACGGCAGAGGGCGTCTCAAGCAACCAGTAGCCGCGACAGTCGCCGCGGACTGCTGCTCATGGATATGAGTATCTAGCATGACTTTTTTGTGGGGGGAAAATCATCCAAAGACTTCTCCCGCCTGGGTGAGGTGAGAGGGAGTGTCAGACTCTTACTGCCTAAAAACCACCCCGTTCCTACTCCTGCACTTTGAGCCGGAGCCCCGGCAACCCGTTAGGTTATCTGCGGCATTGTTTATTTAGCATTAGTGTCACTAGCTGAGATAGGGCGTTGCTGTACGCAGGTCGTTTCCAACCTCGCGATATGTAGTCTGCAGGGGGGACTGTGGAAGGCAGTGGACAGAAGGGGACTGTAAGAGTTGAAGTAGTAGGTGATTTTATCACGCAGGAACGATTTCGGTACGAATTCGCCGGCCGCGAAGGACTTAACGGGTAACCGGGGCTCCGGCTCGAAGTGCAGGAGTAGGAACGGGGTGGTTTTTAGTCAGTAAGAGTCTGACACTCCCTCCCGCCTCACCCGAGCGGGATAAGACATTGGAAAACCACCACAGCGTTATGTTTCGCCGCGTGAGCGAGGTTACCAAGGGCCAATTCTTGACTATTCCCAAATAATTCCAATTCCCAATCCATTAAAAGGCCGGTAACGTGTGTACCATGGGGGACGCCGATTGCTTACCATCAGGTGACCCATCAGCTTGTTTACTGACTTATCCCTTAAAATTGTGGTAGTTCACTACATGATATAAAACAAAGTCGCTATCCGCCGTCAGTCTGTCCTTATGTATGCTTAGATCTTTAGAACTACGCAACGGATTTTGATGCGGTTTTTTTTAATGGATAGAGTGATTCTTAACCTTTTGAACGCCAGAGCAAAAACGCATGAACTTGCCCTCAACGCCAGGCCACAAATTCACCGCAAATACCTACGAAAAAAATAGGGATTCCAAAACTTCATCGATAATCAATTTTATTTTCATTTTCGTCTTTAATTTCGAAATATAATGTCCTTATAACATTGAAATTTAATTCAACATTACATTTCTTCCTATTAAAGTAATAATTATACACTATTTACAGACTTGTATAATACCGTAATAACAGATATGAGACTACAATATATTTAAATATAATAACTGTAGGTACAACACTATTCTTGATCTGCTGTCTTCATATTGTGACCATGGCGTGGACGGCCCGCCATTTTAATAACTACTTCGCTTCCGAAATAAGGATGTGGCAACGTAATATCTCGTTTATCGATGTTCTAGTACAATATTATTTTATAATAAATGAAACACGTTTTTTAAATCAGATTTACAATTCCGAATGTAACAGGTACTTAAAAATATATGATTGAAATAGGTTAAGAAGGTAAAAAAAAACTATGAAAAAATAGAAAATTTTAATAAAATGTTATACAGTATGTACTATGTATATATGTTTTTAAATATTAAGTTCTATAAACCTGGCATAAAAAGTAACAAATTAAAACAATTAACGATTATATATAATTATCACAATTACCAATCAGTCTTATACTAATAAATCTTTTGAATAATAGAACAAAATTATACAAAATCTACAATGCAACCTGCATTCTGATCATCTAATTCGCTGGGTGCAAAGTGGGTGGTGGGGACAGTGAAATCGATCTCAGCGCGCACCGTGGCTAAAAAGTAGTCATTAAATTCCCACTCATTATAATAGTCACTTAATATAAATCTTGAACTCGATATCACAAATAAATTAATCATAAATATTATTCATTCACTTCACTAATTTCTGGTCGCCGCGCTTGTGACGTCACGATATTGTCGTCTAGTCGTGACCATGGCGTACAGGGTACTGATAATTCGGGTTGCGTTAGGGATGCGCTTGAGTTGGGATTAGTGAATATCGAAATTCGACCCAACCAAATTTTATTTTTGACTATGTAGCTTATTGAATGATTTTTAAGACTGGTTTTATAAAATTAATGCTGCTTTACCAAATTATACCTAAAATAATATATTCCAGAGGAAAGTTTCGAATCGATCTTTGATTTGAAATAATGATATTATCCAACATGCGCTACATCACTAGCGGTCACGCAGTTATGACTCTGGCGTGTGAGGACATTCTTTTTTCAGAGTTTATTTCTTTCTTTTTAACGTAAAATTTCTCAATATTTATAATGCAATTTAATTAGTTTTATGGAAATAAATAAATTTTGGACCTTCTATTTTACAGGTATATAAATAAACAGGCATTAAAGTAATGTTTAAATAGTTTATTTTGAGTTTTAATGTACCGCTGTTTTTGTCACATATTTGTGTCGTTGGCGCTCAGGGACAGTTTTCGCTTGTCACGTATTTGTGACCCTGGCGCTCAAAAGGTTAAGGAAGGTTTGTGTGTATAATATATGCATATTGCACCCGTGCGAAGCCGGGGGGGATTTCTGGTCATAAATAAAACAACAAATAAATATCTTCTTACATTGTTTATTTTACATAATTTATTTAAAAACATACAACATTGTCAGTAATATAATATCTAAGTTACAACTGCAATATAAAGCCGAAATTAATGATCGATTCATTCATTTTCATTTTCTCTTCTTTGGCAAACGAATTTCCAATACGATGTTGTCGACTATAGAGCCAATGTCAGTTTAACTCCAGCTTCTTTCAACGCTCATAACTCAATCCAGACTGACATTTCCATATATGAGCCGATAGACAATTTCGTTTGTAATGTCATTCTAGATAATATTTTCCATAAATCATCGACTGCCGCCAGAAAAACACGGCACCACTTTTATTCAATGTCTTTAGAATTAAAATCAATTATTAATTTCAGTCAATTGCATCTACAAAACAATTCATAGCCATTCGTTGTTTACAAAAAATGCTATCATTACACAAAACAAAAATCATAAATAAATAAATAAATGCTTCAATACTAATCATTAACTTAATCGTGCAAAAACGTAGGATACACTTACCACGCTACTCTTCCCGCGGGTTTCGTATACCCGATTAAGCGACTACACATTTTACAGAGACCGGGCATCAGAACTCTCTGATAAACCTACAGCTGTAGCCAAATGCCATTTAGCGCTTGTCTACATGTAGAATAGAAAACCAAATTATATGGAATTGACGTAAATTTTAACACATGTCAGTGTCATCCCTATACATTTTGATTTCTACTCTCTCTGTAAACAAGCGCTAAAGTGGCGTTTGGCTAAAGGCACTGAACCTTTATACTGCGACCTCCAACCCGCCTACCTGCGGAGATTATGACAAACCCTCTTATGTAGAGGAGACTCATAGTGCAGCATCTATATTTTTTTAATAAACAAAGATGAAAAGCTTGGTAGTTTAAACGTGCTAATCTCAAGGAAATTAGGGATGATGACAGAGTATGAAAATTAAAAATCTAATTAGTCCGTCAGTTAGGTAATGAAAAAATATTAGACACGTATTTTTTTATTTTGTTGTTACTTAAAATGATACTTAGAAAAAACGAATCAAAGTTTAGGAGTGGGGGGTAAGACGTCATTTCTACGTATAAAATGTACATAGAAGTGACGTCACGCGACATTTCAAATCAATATATCGTCGAAAGTATTCGTTTCTGTAAGGAAACAAAAAATACGTATCTAATGATTTAAAATAATCTACCAGACGGACATTAAAATAAAAATTAGTCATCTACCCTATTCCTTTTATTTTGGATAACCTATTTATCGATGAAGGAGCCGAGCAGAGCGGTGAAAGAAACTGCGGGAGTAGATAATTACGAATAAACATACATTTTTGCACGATTACGTCCAATTTTTGGTCAACTACTACTATCAGATCTGTTATCATTAAATTATATTTATTTACAAATTATTTAAGTACATACTTCAATTACGTATCATAAATCTATTTCGTTTTCGTCCCGAAGTAAAATGGTTCTGTCTCGGTAATACAATAGTTTTACAAACAAATAAAATGTTTAAAACAAAAAATAACTGGTGAACCATTGCTAAAAGCAAACTTCGAAGGCGCATACGAACTCATAGTACATTATCAAAACGTCATGCCATGTAATTCTCGAAGAGGTATTTCTCGTCGGGTGGCACGTGCGATGCGAATAGTGCCTACAAATTCACGTCTATACTCGGAATTTTAATTCGATTCCAGATTTGACAATTTCAGTGTTGCAACGTTATGACAAGTACTAAATAGTGACGTTGCGAAACTATTCGATATGGAAATGCAATATATCTGGATCGATTCTTCTCGTTTATAATTTTACTCTAGTAAACTAAGTATATCAGGAAATT